TGGTAAATGTAGGCATCACCTTCTCCAGAAAAGTTCTCTTTATGCTCAAGCCCATACCTTTTTGGTTTCTGGCTCAAGAGCTTCAAACACAGAGAGACATCAAATATTTGTTCAAGTTAGGAAGCAATTTACGATACCTAACCATAATTCTAGACAGCGTATTGAAAATGGGTTTTAATTATACCTCATCTCCAGTGTGATCAGTGATGAAATGAAGCCATCCGTGCCATTCGGCTGGTACTTGAGATGCGTTGTAACGATCCTTTGACGCATACTCTACCCATCTGTGTCTACCTGTTAGCAAGTGTACTCTATGTGTCAATGCAAAAGCCTATTGACTTAACATTCAATAAAGATACATTTATATAGTAAACGCATCAAGTTATTAGAAAAGAAGAAGAAAAATCGCGTACCGTATTGAGTATCGCCCAGCTTCTGGTAATATTTGTTACCGATCTTGTCTACACCAACAAGTGTTGCTCCTATGTTGTGTATTTTAGTTTGCCTTGAATGATCAAAGAGAGAGACATTATCAGAAAGTGCGACTTTAACAGCAAGGTCAAATATAAAAGAGATTGGTAACTATATATAAAACACAATAGTCAACCATATGATATCATACACTAACATCCAGAATGCGAAAAAATATGGATATCCTGATGTTAAACAAAAACGAAATTTGTAAATAACTACAATTCCCCATGTGGCAGAGCAATATGCTAATTCCTAAAACCAAATGACATATACTTTGCAAATCCTTGAACAAAAAAAAGTAGTATACAAGAATCAATCCACTGATCAAGCTCCATATTTATATTAAGCATAAAGAAATGATCTATAAGCAAAGTTGATGTGAATGCAGTCAAATTCACCAATTATCTAAGTCTATATGAGCGACATGTCCAACTTATGCTGAATTCTTCAAGAGGCTATTAAATTTTAGGCCATTTTCTTATCTATGCCCTTTTCTGTGTAGGCGAACATTACATCAGTTTCTACTTAAAACTCTTTATTCTATTCGACTCGAAATGACTACTGGCATAACTTTGCCAATTGCTTCAAACATGAAACATGTAACTTGACCAATTCCAAAAATTCACACAACCTTCTTCTTATACTAATCCCCGAGTCAATTTCCCATTACATCTATGAGGCACAGAACTATGCAAAATATCAGTAGTTCAAGCTGCCTGACTAGTAAATAGCTCAAAATCGGTGAGGTCTGATGAAATGATGTTTGCTCACACAGCAAAGGCCACATATAAGAAAATGACAACGAGCTAAGGATTCTTGAACAACCACTTGAATCATACACACAATCCCTGAAGAAGTAAAACACTATGCACTAAATAACTATATATCGAAGATAGATACTTACAAGAGGTTTCCATCTGGTAGGCATCTCCTGTAATGAGTGGGAAAAAAAACGTGGAAAGAACAAATTAGAAAATGGCTTAAGCTCGGAAACAAAAACAATAAGAGCTCAAAAATATCTCAAAAATATTACAAGCAACCAAATACATTTGAGCCAGTTACAATAATCACCATCACCACTAAAACTGGTGTTCACCAAAATACAAATTGTTAATTTTCCATTTTCCATTAAGAAGATGAACATTCATCAAGCAACCCGTGACACTAGGATATATATAACTCAATTGGCAGACAAGCAGAGACAATAGCAAAATGAAAGAATGTCTTCAAAACCGAAAGATCTTGCCGATTGCTGGGATTTACGGGATCTAACAGGACAAATTCAGGGAGATCCCAGAAGAAATTAAGCAGGGAAGAGGACGAGATAATTGATAAGAGAGACGAATAAGAACTAACATGAAGCCTTCTTCTCGGATCATCCTGAGGAAACAGCCGAGACCTTTCTCCCTAATCGTCGCCAAAGCACTCTTCGCCACCGTCAAAGCCATCGTCTTCTTTTCTCCTCTGAATCTATTGATTTGATTTCGATTGCTAAACAAACAACAAGAGCCAGATACGAAATGGACCCTTGCCTAAACGCACCGTTTTGGTTTATTTACGCTTTGTTTTGCATGATTCGTTCGATCGATGTTTCATGGGCCAATGGCTCGTTATGGCTTGATGCTGTGGTAAAATGAAATATTAACTTGGCCTCATAAAGCTTTCGGTATTTATAAAACTGTCCAACGTTTTCATTTACAAAGTTGACTGTAATTGTTCGTATAATGATTAAAGCACCCTTATATTACTAGTATTTAGGAAAATACCCAAAATTTACCTATTTATCAAACAATGACCCCATCTTGTATTCTTGTGTACCCCAAAATTACCCCATATTATTCGATGTTTACTAGTTACCCCAGCTAACTATTGTTATTTACCGAAGTCACCCATAACTTATTGTTGTTATAAGGCTATCCCATACATGTTGATGTATTTATAAAAAAGATTATATATTTTTCAAAAGCTCCTCGAAGCTCTTGTGTATACGGTTAATTTACGCAAGTGTAACTGTGTAAGGTAAACTACCAACTTAAACTGGAATTACAAAAACTATCAAAAGAGGCAAAATACCTGCAATTTATACATTCACACACACATTAAAAAACGGAAGCTCGAAAAAACATCGTCCCAAACGAAACCCGGTTCCGTTCCGGTTAAAGAAGAAAAGAAACCAAAACATCCTGGTTTAGGTTCGACCAAGCAAAGTCGACATATGAGCCGCCGAAAGCGTTTGGGCTCTCAGAGGCGGTCTGTTGCCGGAAAGTCGCAAAGGTCTATCGTTTCCGGCGTGGAATACGTCGTGACCACCTAAATTTCTTTCCGATGCACCACCACATCCGGAGGATCGTCGACAGTGAAGGCTCTCCCGTCGCTGCTTCAGTTTTGCGTTGAAAGGATTCTCTGGTTTTGCGAGATCCTCTACACTTAGCGCTTCAGACAACGATGTGAATGACTGTGATTTACCTTTGTAATGCTTTGACAATCCCCTCCTGTTGTGAAAATTTCCAAGACATAAATTTCAGGGTAAATTTCCAAGTTGCAAATATAGTTTCCATATTAAAACCTTTTGTATTATACCCCCAAAGTATAGGATTTCCAAGAAAACACCCTAATTGTTGGGGTTTATTCTAACAAAATCTAAACACAGAGGCGGAAAATGAAAACTCCTTGATTCTCCTTACCTTGAAGAAGAAGAACTGCGACGGTCTGAATCGTCAGGAGAATTTGGAAAAGAAGACGGAGAGTGAAAACCTTCATCTGCCTCCGCGTCTGCGTCTCTGACGGAGTTTCCGTGTCTGGGTTCTTCACCCAACATAAGAGACTCCATCTGTTCTTGATAATGCATTTTTTTCCTCAAAGCCGCTTCTAAATCATCAAGACTTAAGAGAACAGAAACAGTGGCTTTTTATACCAAAAAAGATAATTATATTTGATGATGAACGTGTATATATAGTCGGCCCATAATTAAAGATAATAAGTATACTTTCTTACTAAACTTTTTTTGTCTAAAACGTACAAATTGAGCATATTTGAGAAGTTACGTAATGGATATTCGAATTTATTACATTATCTTATGAAATCTGTTTCTCACATAACATGTTCACGCCCATGAACATGGGTTCTGGTTTTGCGGTCTTTATATTATAAGGTTTTTCTGGTCGGGATAAGATAGATATTTCGGGAATGGATGTGCGCGATGACGACACGTGAAATAATGGAGAAATGGACGGAGATTGGATGCTTGTTACGTGGTGGGTGGAAACAGATGGCACGAACAACGAGGTCATCGAGAATCTCTGTGTGACGAATCTAACGATACGTGTCGAACTATGTTGAACAGATTCAGAGACTTTTAGGCCATGATTGATAAATGAGCTTTATTTAAGTATTAATGGACCGAACTTAGGGGGCCCCGTAGCACATGGTCGCTTTAAACAACAATTTAAAGGATTGACTGGTAAAAATCTAAAATCTAAAGGAATGAAAACAATATAATTAGAAACAAAATGAAGCTATTGAGCGATTCCTTGCCAAAATTAGGCTACGAAAAAGGTCTATTTCATGAACGGGATGCAATACTCAAGCTTCTTGCGTTTACAAAAGAAAATCACTTCAACATTTTGATGTATACTTACTTCCCCGACAATAGAAAATAACACAAAGCATATGCGTCATTTTACCGTTTTGTCTGTGTTTTCAGTAATTGGTGGTTCTGTATTGAGTTTATAACTAAGATCCTATTATATTTCTTGGACTATTACAGAAAATGGACAGCGGGACAGGATCCTCAATTTCTTCGAGAATCAATACATGGCCACTGTTCAACCATTTTAAGAGGTAAGCAAAAAGAAGTAGAATAATTTGTTCGCAAGAAGGTCCACATCAGAGAAACAACATGAACGTTATCTTTCATTCCTACGTTCTTTATCACAATTCACAAACCACCTATAATTACATAACCTTCTTACGAATTTGAGTGTGTTCAGAATTGGTCAATCTAATCTTGTGTCGAACAAGCATATCAAAACCACATACTACTACAGAGTACTACTTCAGATTTTCAGATGCATCATGATATTTGTACAACAGTGAAAATGTACATATGGTATGAGACAGTTCGAATTTCACTATCAGAAACAGTTCCCTGATTAGTAAATATGTTTGCACAAGCTCTAAATTCATAGACTGCAACAAGAGAAATAACAGTGCGTGCCATAAAATCAAACAATTCTTAATTCAAGGAATCCATCAATCATTCATGTCTCATTAATGCATTTGAAGAGAAGATTATGAGTCAAATCAAAACTCAACAAAACAATCTCAATCTTTTAAAGCAAAAGAGTAGCAGATGAAAAACCAAGCACTGAAAAGTAGGATAGATTCTTCAATCTCCAGATCATAAATGTTGAAACAGAGAAAACAGTAGAAGCTAACGAAGCAGGAAAGATACTCTAAAACCAAAAAGGCATTACACTAGTTGGACCTGAGTCGAGACGAGACGAGATCATCATGGGGATGATCGATCAATCCTTTTTCTTGAGCCTCTCGATCCGCTGGTTAAGATGCTCGATCTTAACGACCAAATTGGTGACGGAGAATAAGATCCAGTAGAACACAAGTGCGGCTGCGATGAGAAGCGCGTTTCGCTGGGATTTCATAATTGATTTCTGGTGACGGAGGTGCTCCGACGGTGTGCAGGAATCTCCGTCGCAGGAAGGCATGGTCTCGTACTTCCAGTAGATATCCATCAAGAGGAAGAGACAGAAAGGCACTATCGAGAGAAATGGTTTCAGGAGATTGCGCGTGACGGCGACCAATCCCTTGCGGAGTCCGTCGAGCCCCGGCATAGTCAAAAGCACGACCATGATCGCTTCAGCCGCCGCAGCGTAACCTAAAACAACCCATTCGAGAGCCATTCTCACGGATCTAGATCGACGGATTAAGGTTAGATCTGAATTTGTTCTTCGCAGCTTGAATTTTCAATTTTGCTGATTATTTTTTTCTCTGTTGTGGAAGAAAAAGGAAGAGGTAAAGGAACGTGAAACACGTGGCGGTGTTCGCGTGTCGCACGTCGTTTAAGATGGAGAAGACTTTTAGTAGACCCAACTTAAAATGCGGCCCAAATATTTACAAAGTCAAGATACATTAAATGGGCCGTTAATTTAAAGCCCGAAAAGGTCTAGATTCATAACGCCGTCCATTCGTCAACGGCGTCAGTAGAAAGCGAAACGGCAACGTTTGGTAGGTAAGACACGCGGATCAGATTGTGCTTTGTCTCCTAATCCAATCTCTGTCAGAGCATATATACGCACACAATAAACGGAGTTAAATCATCACACATACTGAATATTACAAAAAAAAAGTCAGAAAATAGAAAATATTTCCTCTCTTCTAATCTCCGACCAAGAAACAGAGCTGTATGGCAACCAGATCGAAGAGCTTTCAGTTGATCACCGGCTTAAGGAAACACCTCGTTAAGCCCGTCCTCCCACGCGCCACCGCTTCCGCCTCTGGACTCTTTGCTTCCAGGTATCAAAACTCTCTCTCTTTATTTTTCCTATTTTTTCTTCTTACAAATTGTTTGATGTTTTCTTTGAACCTAAAAAGACGACGTTTTTCTGTGCAAATGATTATGTTTCCCAAAATGGACAATTTAGTACATCGTTTTTACTATATTGAAACTGATATAAACATCTCAGAGGTTTTTCTTTTTGACGTCAGACAACATATTAGCGGTTTGGTGTTTGATTCTTTCTTTGACTCGTTGGTCCGAAGTCCGAATATTTTTAATTTTCCACTTCGTTCAATTCAAGATACTAATCAGATATAGATGTAGAAAGTTAAGATATCCCCTTTGCCAAAAAAAAAAAGTTAAGATATGGAGACTTGTATTTTTTGGATTAGCTACGGATTCAGATCAATTAAATTACAATATTTGTGTGTTTTATATGACAATGTTAAATATTTGCATATTTTTCTCCAAATGTTATATACTTGCTTAAATTTACCAAAATAGATATGAGCGAATCTTTTCTTCTTTTTTTTTTTACAAAAGTAGTACTGCCATGGTTTACAAATATAATTTATCTTGAAATTGGGTTGAAATTAAATATATTCGTTTAGAAAGCACAAGCAGTGTACAGTGTGTACAAAAAATAGGATATGCCATTTGGCGCAAATGGATAATACTAAAACAAATCTGCTTCAGGATTTGAAACGTGTCATTGGTGGATTTACATCCGCACCCCTGATAAATTTATGTAGATTACTCGCAATTTTCGAAACGTTCACTCGATAGTCGATTCAAATGTCGAAACTCAAAACTATAACTGAAATAGAGTTGGTTTTTTCATCTTTAACTCGAAGCCTCTCTTTAGTTATCTGCTACAGTCCATTTTAAAGAACACATTATTTTCATATAATAATATATGAGATGAGTAGACGAGACGTGGCTGATTATCTAATATCGTGAGATTACGATAAGAATTGGACCGACAGCTTTGAATATGTAAATTGATAGAAACTTTGATGTGCTGACGATGACATATTTGACATTACTTGATTTATAGTTTATATAATTAAAGACTTTTTCGGGTCACCTTTTAAGCACAACAAAACTTTCCATCTTTAATATATATACAAAGACCAGAGGAAAAATAAATCTTTATCGTGTTTGTACGAAATTCATTACTATTATTTTGCTCATTGGGGCCAGTGGGTACTGTTAAGTATTAACTTATTAAGGTGGCAATGTCTCACCTACCAAGCAACAATCTCCCACCCAACGGGAAATTTGTTTTATTTTTCCCTAAAATTTTGATCAAGAATTTTTCGAAATATTTGAATTATTAATTTTTAATTTAACAGAAGGAGTGGTCATTCCTCGGCGTATGACAAGAACGTGGAGGATGAATTGCACGCAAGTGCAGTCCCTGATGACGTCATAAAGCCAGATTCTGATCAATATTGGTCTCCGCATCCTCAAACCGGAGTCTTTGGTCCCTCCACGGTTGAGCACAGTCCCGCTGCGGAGGCTGCTCAACAGGATTCGGCGGTGCTGGAGGAGACTGCCTGGTTTCGTCCCACGAGTCTCGAGGATTCGGACAAGACTCACCATGTCTAAGTTTCTCTCCCTTCCCGTTTGGTTTGTTCTTTTCTGATAGCATGTTGTAACTTGTAATAAATCTCCAAGTCGAAAAATGTATCTCGAATAGTGCCCCGAAAAACTTCGAAGTTATGTTTCATGTCTGAACGTTTTATGTTTACTAGTTAACGAATATCACCAAACCACACCAAACCAAATTAAAGAAGTTAGGAAATTTTGGTAAGTTTATGACGTGGAGATACAAAATCCAAACCTGAAGTCGAGCCAAACCCGAATAACTGAAGCGATACAAAACCAACATCGCTTTCCTAGGTTTTGGTAATCTTTTCATGAGATTAAACCAAACAGGTTAAGAAAAGCGCAAATAAATAAGATTATAAACCGGTTTATCAAGCCTTGACCCAACGACATCGGATAAAATGAGAAAGAAATCGGTAGTATCATGTAAGTCAAAGATTCACCAAACTAATAAATAAATGGAAAGCTGGGACTAAATCAAAGATACATAAAGCTTTATCAAGAGAGTGAAAAATATACAAAAAGAACCAGTGGTATATTGTTCTTCTAACTCGTCACCTGATCTGTACCAATAAAGTAAACAGAGTCTCTCTAAGACTAATTGTTCTCCCTAAAGACTAATTTTTCCTCCAAGTCATCACATAAAAAAAAGCCTCTGATGGTTGCTCAAAAAGACCCATCACCCCAGAATTTTGAATGCCTCAAATGTGATTCCCAATCTAACGAAAACCAGAGAAAGAAATGGTCATATGCCTTGTACCTGCAAATCTCATTTCTGACTTTGATCTCTCATATGGTTATTGATCTCTTCTTCTCTCGTTAAAGGCTTTCGCGGTTGGCTTTGATGGCGGTCTATTTATCTTCTCGAGTAATCTGCTAAATACTAGTTTGACCGGTATACAGGCCACGGTTGGTGGTCCTGGTAATACCCGTCTGTTAGAGAGCTCGTGTGTCCGGTCTCGTAACGCTTTCATCCCGTTGTGCCCTTGTTCGCCGCTGAATGACGATAGTGTCCTTGTCTTTTGACTAGGGCTTGCGTTTGTGTTCTTCACCAACTTCTTTTGCTGCTGCTGCTGCTTTCCAGGTGGTCGTGGAATGCGCATTGGATTGCTTCTCCTGACAGAGTTCTCATCACTACTCAAATTTCCTAAACCGAGTTTCTTAAGCGGTGGTCTTCTTCCCTGATCTACTGGAGAGTGATCCTCATCATCAGCTTCAAGTGATGATGACATTGGATGCAGCCGTGGAACCCGTGAATTACTCCTTCTTGCAGTCTTCCAAGCAGGGGGAAGTAAAAAGGGTTTCTCATGGTAAGTTGTTTCATTGCCAAAGTATGACTCAGAGGAACCATCTGCTAAGACTTCGATTTCGACCGGATGTCCAATTATTGCCCTGCCATTTAACTTACTCATAAGGGAGACTATTGGGACAGGCCCTTTCTGATAGCTTCCTCGCACTTCTAAATCCACATCCATCAATGGAGAATACATCTTTCTGCCAAAATGTCGATGGGAAGCATCAAACTCCTGACCTAAACCTTCGAGTTTTTCTTCCCATCTCTTCTTCACACCAATCGGACCTTCCCAAGGATCATCTTCCCAGTCCAGCATGTCATGGCTGTAGATGTTCTTGTATCCAGATGCAGCCATAGTTGAGAGCTGATAATCATCATCAGCTGGTCCAAACATTCTGTCCCCGAACTGCCTTTCGCTGGGATTAGTGTCATCAGTTCCATCACTCATATCATTTGCCCCATTATAATCTAAACCATAACCTATAGGCTTTTGGCCAAATGCCCTTCTCTTATACTCACAATACCTTCCTTCTTCCAGGCGATTACGGTGCATTTCTCTCTTCCGTGCAGACCTTCTTGGAAGATTGCGCAGGTTTCTTTTTCCCTTGAGCTGCCACTTGGAAACCGTGCCAGCTTCGTTATCAGGATCTTGGGAATAAAGGTACGAAGAGTCGCCAGAAATGGATGACTCATAACAATCTTCCTCACTGCTGGTGCTTTCATCTTCTGCTGACATATGTCTACTAAAATTATTGTGTCGTTCTGGATGACGTCCAGATCCTGCAAGGAGAAGATTTCAAATTCTAATTAGGGAACAATATAAAAAGCAACTTGGTTTCTAAAGTTAAGAGGCTTGACATCAAAGAAGAATCAGAAGTGAATATCATCATTTATATGATAGAAACTAGCTTTTAACCGTCTATAAAACATTCACCTGACAGCAAGGGAATGTCATCATCAGTATCCTCCTCCATATCAGAAGAATCAGTTTCAGACTCATCAGACTCAGATTCATTATCTTCCAAAAACTCAGGAGGGTCATATTCTGAAAGCGTATAGCGAGAATCACCACCGGGAAATGAGGAATGCATTGCCTCCCTATGGCTTCGAAAACTCTCATGCAGGTCTAAAACATTATTAGATTCATTTGGTGTAGTCATATATTTAGTCCTTTTAGCTTCCATCGTACTCCTAGAGTTCTCCTTTCCTGAAAGAGAGCCAGAATTGCATAAGAAATTGATGTCAAAAAGACCAGAAGCCTTTAGGGTCCAACCATCTTGGAAGTTTCCACAATTATCTTACCGAGTGTATAACTGGGCCTCTCCATGCTATGATCTCCACTAGAAGAAGCTGAAGAGTTGCTTCTGGCCAGAGACTTTAAGGAAGTATCAGGGCCATTAGAAGATGAAAACCTTCGCTTTGAAGAAGCAGTTCTTAGCCCAAAGTCCTGCAAGCCTCTCATTCGAGGCACAACGTCGTTCTCACAACTAGGCTGACCTTCGTCTTTATCTTTTAGCAAATGCACAGCACCACCAACATGGTTGAGCCCTAGACTATCAGTGGATTCTCGTGTCCCATTAGAGATATCCTGAACTCTAGCTATAACCATTCTCTCCTTGGCTGCATCAGGAGAGTCATCTTTAGGCTTTTCAGGGACTAGTTTCGCTTCCTTTTTCAGCATTTCCTTTTCAAGTTCAAGAGCATGGAGAATCGCATCTTCTCTACGAGCATACTTTTCTCTCTTTCTTATTGTCAACCCCTGGGTAGATTCTACCCTGTCAATGCAGTCATCAAAATCGCCGCACCGAAATGGCTTGACCCGCTTGGATTTCTCTAAATTGTACCAATCCCTTAGCACACATTAAAAGATGAAATGAAAATGCTCTCAGTATCAATCCAGAAGAACAAAAGTTTAAACAGGTAAAAAGAAGTGACTTACACACTTGCATCTTCTCTCCCGAGGAGCTTCACCGGAGTTCCAGATCGTGGAGAAGTGATTTGGGTAGAGTCAAGATCTTCTTGTCCAAGTATCTTCCCCGGCCACCACGAGCCGTTCCTCCTCCTGACCCACACAATAGACCCAACCGTGCAATCCGCCGCACCTGATCCCGGACTTCCCATCCTTCTCTCTCCCTCTCTCTCTCTCTCTCTCTCAAGTCTCAACACTCAAGATCACACTTTCTCTACGGGTTTCTTCTATGTCACTAACAGAAACAGGCTTCAAAAGTCCACCATTCTCCAGAAGGAAACAATTTTCTCTACGGTCATGTATTGATCTACCCGAAAATCAACTCAGCCGCCGGTAATATAGGCGTATCCCGGCGGATCGAAGACCAACTGAAACAGACGGCAATGAACAAAGTGAATCCGGCGAGGACTAAGCTTTCCATTCAGATTTGGAAAATTCCCATAACCCTACGCTTTCCGCAACCGCAGGTTAGGTTAACCTTCCTTACTGCTTTCCGCCGTCCGTCTATCAGCTATGCTAAGCGACTCTCTCTATCTCTCTGAAACCTCCGCCTCTTCGTCTCTCTCTCTTCTCCGTGACTCCGTCTCTCTCTCTCTCTTTCGCCCTTTCTCTCTCTCCTCCGGATGGTGATTGCGAGCCGCGCGGTTCCTCAAATTTTACACGCGCTCCCGAAAAGCGCGTGCTTTCTACGTCATCGAAATTATAGGCCCATTGACCAATCCAAATGTTGGGCTTCATATCTTTTAGGCCCACCAGAATCGGTTTCTAAAAGGAAAGCCATCATTTTTGGGGAAAGTATCTGTATATTCGTGATTATTGACGTAATTTGCACACGGTTCGTTGTTTTTCAGCTAATTAGCTCTAAGAAAAATCATGTTTTATATAGTAAGCAGAAAATAACAGGCCATAAAATGCGATTTTCCGTATAATAATTAAAGAAATGTTAGTTTTTTTAGATATTTAAAATTCAAACTTTACGCTCAAACGGTCACATCCGCTCAAGGGAGTTAGGGTTTATGGTAGACAAATGTATATATACCCTTCTTCTTCGGACCCTTAGACTCATAGCAGAAACTTCTCGTTTTTCAACTGTCCCACCAAATCAATTTCAGAGAAACTCTCGGTTTCTTCTTCTTCTTCGCGATGGATTTCGACAGCCTCCCGAGAAGAGATCTTCAGTTTTTCTGCAAAAGGAACAAAATCCCGGCCAATATGACCAATATCGCCATGGCCGACGCTCTCAAAGCTCTTGAGATTGTAAGTTATTGCTCCTCTTCTCTTTCGATTCTATTGTAAATGATTTGAGATTCATCTACCTATCTGCAAGTAAAACTGTTGGGAATTGCTTGGACGAATATGAATCGGAAATTTCTCTAAGATCTGTTAAATTAAACAAAATTGAATCCCATTTTGCTCGAATTTCTGGATCTCGAAGTTTGTTTTCGGTCTTGATTATCTTTGAGTCCTCAGATCTATGGATAACTTGTAAACCGGAAGATAATTAGTTTTTGTGATTGATTGTATAGGTTGAAGGAATTGAGGAGTTCGCGAATCGATCACCAACGAGTGTAGCATTGCCAAGTGGTGCTCGTACTGCAGCTAGAAAGAAGAGCACGAAAGATGAGACTCAGTCCTCAGAGCTGGTGACTCGGTCTTGCCTTGTGACGAGCAAGTCCCTAGCAGGAGAGATGGATCAAGAGAACACAAACGCGAATGTGCTCCAGAACCCATCGTTACTACCTCTAAGCCGGAGAGGAGCAGCAGCTACCTCGGTTGCTATCAATTTGGAGGCTGCAGCTACAGCTACTCCAGTGGCGAGAAGCACAAGAAAGGCTCAGGTTGCTGCATCCTCTAAGAAGGAGGAGTCGGTCCAGCGAGTTTACAGCACTCGAAGGTCTGTCAGATTGTTGGAAGAATCCATGGCTGACCTTAGTTTGAAATCCACAGTTGCACCAAAGAACAAAGATGCTGAAAAAGAAGATTCTTCACAAGGTATGCAATACCATCTCTCTCTCTCTCTCGTTCTTCAAACAGATTACTGCCATGTTCTTGTAAGCGGAATGAGTTATGTTGTAATATGCAGGTTCCGAATTCCAGGGAAAATCGGATGAAAACACCGAGGAGGCTGAAGTAATCTCGGTGAGAGATTTGAATGATTCGTTGGAGAAGGAATGGGATGGTTCCAAGAATGATCCAGATCTTGATGTCTTATATGGTGATCTTGGTGATATCACTTTCTCTGATGCAAACACCACTGCGGAGCAGATGAGTGGCATAGGTATATATACATACACACAAGCAGACCCATCAATGTTGTTGTTTGCTTCATTATTTATCATCTTGTTAACATTTCCTCATTGTTTTCCTCTTTTGCAGAGTCCTACACTGTTTCAGCGTCGGAGAGTTTTGTTTTGGTCGAAGAACAAGTATCGCAGGAGGAGGATTTCGTAGTTGTAGACCATGCTGCTGCTTCTACCACCACCACAAACATTGTGGCTTGCAGCAAACTATCAGAGGAAGCTGATCCATGTGAGGAGGATGATGATTCTGGTGTTGTGGTTGACACAAACCAAGAGGCGTTTGGATCTGAAGTCGCTGCTAGTGATAAGGTAGACTGTGTCCCAACAGTTGTGGCAGCTGATGATGAATCAGAAGAAAGCGAGCTGGAGGTAGAAGAGATGGATGAGTCTGATGAGGTGGCTCCAATGTCAGACAAGAAGAAGACTCAAGATTTTTCTTCTTCTTCTGAGAAAGAAGCTGAACCAGAGAGCGAAGATGAATGGTCTGATTATGATCCACGCGAAATTGATGTGAAGCTGGATTTGGCTGCACTTGGAGACATCAACAACAAGAACAAGGATGATGTTGAGGTCCTTGAGGAGATAGTTGTTAACAACAACGGAGAGATTAAAGCAGAGGCCGAGCCTAAAAAGACGAAGAAGAAAAAGACGGTCGATGAAGAGAGCCTCAAAGCCGTAAGCAGGAGGCAACTAACGAAGATGGTGAGAGAACTTGCTATTAAGAGCAAGCAGCAACAGGACAAGTGCGCAGAGTAGAGAAGCAAAAACTCTTGTAGCCTTTTTGAAAATTGTCGTTTCTTTTGTTTCCTTGCGTTGTTCTTTTTAAGAAACTCATAATCAAAACTATTTTCTTAATTTTCAATCGTAATTTCTTCGCTACTTAATAAGGTGACGAATTTTGTGATGAAAGGCACAAGAAACTGGAGAAAGAAAGAGACAAAAAAAATTATCAATCATCTATCACAATATATCTTAAAGGGACATTGAATAATCCCATAACAAGTTTGCAGATTATACATTTTTTCCATCAGAATATACAATGAAGCTCCAATGTCACATGATGCATTAGCTTTCAGAAGCAGAGCTCTGTAAAGACAAATAAATAAAAAAGCACTTCCATTACAAAAGTCTTAAGAGGTTTTGATTTTGGCCATGGCTTAAAGGTGGAGAGACTGATAATACCAAGAGCTTGATTTGGTACTTTTCGTATGTCGATTAAGCTAGTCAGGTTCTTTTGACAAATGGACTAAGTTAAAAGGAGGGACCAACCGATGAGTAACCAGCGGCTTTAACCTCTTTGAGCGTAGAGGATAACCAGTCTAAGCCTTCGTAGAGCCCATCTCCTTGAAGAGCACATGTGCCCTGTATATGCCACTTCCTGTTCTTGAGATCTAATAAGCCAAGCCCTTCACATACTTCCCGAGGAGACATGGCTCCTCTCTGAGATTCACACAGAGCTTATTGGTAAATGAGAGCGAAAGACAAGACACAAGATTTCAAAAAAAAGGAAAGCTCAAGGTTTTGATATTTACCATGTCTTGTTTGTTTGCAAACACTAGAATGATACTGTTGAGCATGAATGGGTCTTTTATGATCTCCTGAAGACATAAATTAGCAGAGGTTAGAAACTCCACAGAGACTACTTTTACCCAAAACAAAGCCTTGTACAATATATCCAAACCTGAAATTCTTGCTTAGCTTTACCAATTCTCTCTCGGTCCAAGGAGTCTACCACGTATATCTGCATGTGCATACCACCAAGAATCATATTCTGGAGAATCAGATCCCGGAAATGAGAATAGCATTGGAAACGAAGGAGAGACTTACAAGTCCATCAGTATTATTGAAGTAATGCCTCCACAAGGGCCTAAGCTTTTCTTGGCCACCGACATCCCAAACTGTGAACATCACATTCTTGTACTGAACTTTCTCAACATTGAAACCTGTGTAAGCAAATCTCAAAATCCTCAGCAAACCAGTAAAATATAACAACACAGATAGTGTGCAAATCTTAATGCTGCAGCAATCTGACCTACCGATGGTGGGAACAGTCGACAGAACTTCCCCAATGTGGAGCTTGTACAGTATCGTTGTTTTGCCAGCCGCATCCAGACCGAGCATAACCACCTGAATCAGACACTCAAATTGTCAAGAAATACAAACTAGAGAATCGCATTTGAATATTCTCTAGCTAAAAGCACAACATCTCATAGGCTCATACCAACAACGTGTAACCAAATTTTATGAATTGCTACATCAACAGTCACTTTTAAGCTCATTTGATTCGTAAACAGATGAAAGAAGAACAAAATAAGCTATATCATAGATCCCTGACATCAATTAAGGGCAAAGAAAACCCCAAAATAACTCTCTTAACATATAAGCATATATCCCAGGATCAATCAGTGATTAGCAGCAAAACGATATTAATTCGTTTCAATTTAAACACCGTTTTATGATTTGTTTTCTTTTCCAAGCTAGCACAAAACCACGAATGATCACTCATAATCTGCTTCAAACTCCGAATTAGAAATCGGTTTATGACCGCAACCGAATAGATTAGCACGCGATTCCGTCAAGAGGGGAAGAAGCTAGAAAAGGATCGAAAAATTCCACAAAAATTAAACAGAAGAATGAGAGAAGGAGAGTACCCTCATCTCCTGATTGCCAAAAAAAGTATCGAAAAGCTTGCGAAAAGATTGACCCATGTCAACTGCACAAGCTAAAACCCCACAATGTCACTCTTCTATCGGCACCGAACGGAAATCGAAACTGAAGGAAACAGAAAATCAAAGCTAAGATGAAGAGAGGAGAGAAGGAGAAGGAAAGAGGGAGAGGTAGCGTTCTCGGTACAAGGGATTCCAGATGTATTTAATATTGATTATTAGATTCAGTTTGGTTTAAAACAGTCTCTGCGAAATCCAATTTTAAATCGGTTAATACGGATTTTGGTTCTTTCGTTTATCATTATAAATCAAATTTATTTGATTCAGTGTTTATAGCAATTTCTAAACAAACATTTTGAAATATTAAGGCCATATTCAAAAGTCTTTAGATTGTAATACAAAACTAAGGCGACAAAATATTAAGATTTATTTAGGCACAAAAGATTAGTCCATATTCAAAAGTAATAAATTAGGCTCATGTCTATGTATGTCTAATTAAAATCCGACAATGGACAATCGGTGGTCAGACCACCGGAAACAGCCTCTCGCCAAGAGACTCAAGGCGATAAACCACAATGGTATTAGATTAAAATGCGTATAAATATAGTGTTTCTATTTTCTCTCTAACCTCTTCTAATAGATAGTTTTATAATTACAAAGTCCCCATACTATGCACATGTAAAATACTAGTAACGCTTATAAGTTTAAGATTGAATCATACTTAATATAAAGTCTGACAAAAGATTAAGGTCCGTATCACTTTACAAAGTTAAGGCATGAGCAACACAAGTCTGAGTTTAAAGCCATAGATACAAATACAAAATGTTTATTCTTCTTCCACTCTCTTATCATCTTTTTCATGTGGACATCGGCTGCGCTATCAACCATTTCAGGTTCCTTCTCCCTTTGAGGCTTTTGATCATCCATCTTAGTGCAGAGAATTTCATTTTTTCCCAAGCAAAATTGTTCACTAAAAGGCATTTATACATATTCATTTGTTCAATTTATTTCCCCCATGAAAATGATTTCAATGTTATTGTTTTACAAAAATCAAAACATTCACCTCAAAATTTTAGTGTCAATTTTAATAGAACATACTCTGTGGTTACTATCTCCGATAATTAATATGGATGGGACTACATGTTGTTGATAAAGTAAAAGTCTTGGGTAGTAAGTAGGATTTCCCGGTTATAAGTAGGATTTCTTTACAGCTTTGCTTTATGGGCTTTCTTAATGGGCTATTGATCCGTGGGCGTCTAAATTAGGGAGACTTCTTTTATTGCTTTATCGTGCATCAATACCTTTATCATCAAAGAAGGATTTATTATTAGATCCGGTTGAGTCTAAAACAGTCTTCTCTGCGAAATCCAATTTTAAATCGGTTAACATAAAGCAAATCAGTATAAGGCCGGCCTGAAACCGGTTAAAGCAAATTCAGATGCCGCCGTGTTCGAGAATTGCTTGCTCCCGCTTAAAAGAGAGTTCATTTGATAGTATCGAGTCTAACAAAAGAAGAAGAATACGAGAGAAAATCCAAAAGCTCTACAAAAAATATCAGATTCACTGAATAATTTCTTCCCGCGGAAAAAGTAGTTTAAGAATCAGCCATGTCGTCTTGAATCTCGTTGGGAGCTATAAGTCCAGGAATCGAAAGCATTCTTTGTCTCTCTCTTTCCATCTCAGCAGCAGCTTCCTCGGCATATAAATCTTTGTTATCCTGAAGGAAAACAGAAAAGAATCCATTTTTCAATAGAGTTTTAATGAAATGACAAGAAACAAATCATTCTAGTCAGTCAATTAATACCATACCTGAGAAGAGAATTCCTTGGACTGTATAAGGAAGTCTCGTACGTTATTCTTAAATCTGGCACTGTCGCTTCTCGACTCGTAAAGTCCATTCACAAACTGTGTCACCTGTTTGTTGCAAATTCAAGGTAAGTTGAAGGAAAAAAAGAGAGCAAATCCTCTGGTTTAAGTTAGTTATTTAGTTACCTCTGATGTAGTCATGTTTGGGAACGATGAGCTTAGAAGCTTGATGGTGTTTTCAAGAACAAAGGCAGCATTATTTGGATATTGATGCGGTGCCGTAGCAGCATCCCACAAAGGTTGCGTCAGAGAACCACTCTCAACCTGCATTTTATTATTTTTAATAATTTGAATTTGACCTTCCTTCCTGAATCCACAGAAGCTAGGATATGAAATGAGTTTATAATATGATTATTTACCAGGGAAAATAGATGCTGTAGCACCAACACATGAAACTTGAACCCAGGCTTATGGAAGGTATCGGTCAAGACGGCAAATATTTCTTGCTCGATTTGCATAAAGTATGTCCGATAGAATTGGTTACAGAAGTCAGATTTCTGTCACAATCAGATAGGAAGCGCATGTTAGATAAGTCAGAGGCAGAGCACAACTAAATGGGGCTAAAAAAGCGAAACAGTCAAGCAGATTAAGAGGGAATCACCTGAAACTTTTTCAGCATCTCGACCAAGAGATTAAGCCCAGTTTCAGCAATATTCCTTTCGGTATGCCTAAATGCCCAGATGACTGAATCCATCACTAGTTTCACTTGCTGATCATTATTATTTAAGACGCAAACAAAAACTGAAACATTAGCGACTGCTGGAAAACTATTTCTAGCTTTCTAAAACTAAATGCAAGAAGACAATAATCACCAACCTCACTTGACAACTGTATCAATGCAGGGAAGCAAAACGTAGCAATAGCACGAAGTAACGAGAAAAACTTTAGGCGGTGCTCTGGATAATCTTCAAAATTCTTTGTAATCATCTGCAGAAGAAAATGAAAATAATTGACCTTCACTAGTTACATCCATGTATGCATGCATAACTCTACTGGTTTCAGAATCAGAATAAAAAGACAAGATAACCCCAATCTGTATATTTATTTTACTCCATCTTTTCTTTCAAAAATAGTAAAAAATTATACTTTCAAAGTTTATGTTGAACTTGTAGGGTGAGGAATGCACAACTTAGAAATGCACATGTGGGAATTATTTTTTATGGACCATAAAAAATCAGTTACCTCCAAAGTGCACTGGAAAACAGCTTCAAAAATGTGAGGCACCTCATCTTGCATTACGACCTTGTACCTACACAAACACATCAACAAGTTGCTGGCTTAGAAGGTAAGTAGATTTCAATGTTACTTGCACCTTGCGGTAGGACTTCTTTTGATAAGGCAAGCATCAACAGAAAAGAGACTCACTTGTTTATTATTGTCGCAAAGAGTGATAGAACTTCTGATTCCCTTGCATCAGGTACATTTCTCGCATAGTCACCAAGTACTGGATCCATCATTGGTGGAACAAACTGTTTTCCAATGTGTGGCTGGTTTTCAGCTTTGTCTAGAAACGTTTCTATCAGCTTAAGGATTTCCCTCTTAACAGACCTGGTCCACGAAGCATGGAGATGTAATATTTATTCAGGTTTGCAATATAGGCGCATCAAAATCTCTGGCTTTCATTTTCTATATAAAGCTGTCCTACCTTAGAAGTTTAACAACAGATGTCCTCGAAGCATATGGGCCACCATTAGCAATGTTGCTAGACACGAGTTCACTGTACATTCTGGTGCAGAAGAGGAAGAAGAAAGTGAATAATTGCAAAAAAGAGAGGGAGATAAGAAGTGTAGAAACATTGTAGAAACATTGTATAAGGATAAAGAATTACCTATAAACATTCAACATATCCAAGAAGATCAAAGAAATCTGTGATAAGAAGTATGTTCCTAGTGAAGTTGCAACTCTGGTATTTGTCTGCACCATGCAGCCAAACCTAAGTATATGTAGCACTGAAGAAACGAAAATAAAAGTAAGATCAATAAAAAAATATCAAAGTAAGATATCAGACCTGGAGGATATTAAGTACAGTACGTATCACATCTGGGTCCTTGAGAATATCTGCATTCTGACGTGCTTGTCCTATTATTTCTTCCCATTTCTGCATCATAGAAGAAGGAAAAACTTTAGCCAGCTATGGATAACAAAAGCAGAGCAGTACCTTTTTACTTATTAACAGACCTGATTCGGGAGAGCCATCAACCTCTGGAGGTATTCATCCCTCTTCTGAGGATCTGATTCTGATTGGATCATACTACCAACCTGGAGAGAGAGAGAGTGAGATCACGACAAGAAACAGCTTCCCATCTCCATAAAAGAGACACGGCTAAAAATACGTACAGACTCATAAAAAGTGTGAATCTGATGAGGCTCAAGATCTCCAACAGTAGTAGCAAGGCCTGATAGTAGTTCAGATACAAATGGCTCCTTTTCTCCAACCTGAAAAGCACAGAAGCCCCCATTTTAGATAATAAAGTAAGAAATAAAAAGGTTTATCAAACGAGCCTGTACTTACCTGAGCAATAACGAATTTGCGCTTGCATTTCTGAACAATTTTTAAGAATGTATCACAAGCCATGTCCTGAAAGGAAACGTAGGATATAAGGTTGAGCAGATATTTAGATAAACCAGACCACACATAGGCCATAGATCACACGGAAAGCAACAAAGTGAGCAATACTTTCTTATGAATACTGACTACGGAGATGTAATACATGATTGTACAACCGGATATATATGGATGGCAATGAAATTGAATCTCCCAAATGGTCTTATTCATATGAAAGATTTAACCAAGAAACTATAAGTCTATAACTCCCGTAGGAGATCTAAGGTCCAACTTGGACAAGGGAAGAATTACCTGAACACCAGGATGCGTCTCATGCATGAATTCAAACAACTTATGAACAACTGTCTTCAGAAACTTCCAATGGGCCCTCAAGAATCTTGAATATTGTCCAACAACATACCTGGAACGAATTCACAAGAAGACAAAGGTCAGATACTCAAACGAATCATGCTTGAAACAAGTTCAAGTTTTACGATAATATAATGCTAGCAGGGAATAAGTGATCCGATCAAAATCTCACGCAACATAAGTATGAATAATCCAAGCAAATTTTAACAATCACACTACGTTTTCAATACTAGCATCCATGATGTAGAAACAAACTCACATGATGTTGCTCGCGATAACAGCTTTATTGTCTTTCCCTTTGACGATTTCACATAAATTCAACAAATCACGAATAACCATCACCAGAAATCTGTTTTCCTGAAAGAAGGCAGGGAGTTCGGACACAATTAGCAAAACAAAAATCGACCATAAATTAATGGGAGACCAGTAAAGATTACTAATAGGCAATAGCATAAGAAAGATGCTACCAATTACCTAGAGCATAAAAAGTATTTGTTACAGAAAAAAATCTCAACTGAGAGCAGAGATCTTACCTGTTCTACATCCATGGAACCAGAAATTGACCCAATAGCCCAACATAACGTGTTCAGATTGTTCCATGCCCATTCCTCCCCGCTTAACTGTTTGCTTAGCTTGCTCAACATCTTTGAAAGAACAGCCGAAAGTTGACATTAATACAACAGGGTCAGCCAAGACTCCAACCTTGCCAGATACGGCTACTCCGCATGTTAAAATTTATTGACACAAATGCTAATACTCATTATTTTCACAGCATCTACAACCATTAGTACGCATAACTATAGTAAAGGAAATGGAAGTAAATAGTTCCACAGAATAAGGACAATCTGAATTCTGACATCCCTCGTAAAAGGTACCTGTCTTTCGGTATCGTCATGATCAAGGTGTGAGAGGTAGATTAATGTCTCCCGCATTATCTGCAACAGTGTAAGATATGAAATGAGACTCAAAGTAGGATCTATATAAATAAAACCTCCTTCTGATTAATATTATAACGCTATTGGTATCCTACGAGTCAAAAAAAACAAAACAGACTCGACTGTCGAATAAAGCTTATTTAATAAAAAAGTAATACAAAAGCTAGACGAACATTCATTTCTAGTTGTTTTGTTAAGTTTTAAAATGCATCGAAATTAGTATCTAGTATGTGAATAAATGAGAGGTAACAGATAAAAGAAAAAACTGTATATAGCTAAATAATCTTTTAACAAAAAATTTATAGACATGCTTTTTTAATAACTATACATAAATTCATGCTGCGTGTGAGTACCTAGCATATCTTATATAACTGAAGATAGGCAGGCAATATGTACAGTTGGTACCTTATACTGGACAAGAACATCATTATCCTTCATTGTTTCACGGACAATATTCCCATTTTCGTCTTCAACAATTATCACTTCTTCAGGCTTAGCCATGCGACTAACCATGAGGCCCCTTAGTTTTGACATTGGATCAGAATAAATTTTTTGCCTCTCTCCGACTTTAGATTTGACAGCATCAGCCGTACGAGGAAGGAAAGGCATCTGACAATAGGCAAGTAAAGTTAAGTAACCAACACAAAGCAAGTTCAACCAGCACGATAAAATTCCATCTTACAAAATAATATAAAGAAGCCATACTTGCATTCCAAACAGATCTGGAGTTAGTGCAGGGTGGCCGACATGATGATGCAACCCAAACAACTCCGAAACTAATGAATTCCAATAGTCCAAACAAACCTGTTCACTCGTAAGCAATCAAAAGCTGTTAATTTCCAAAGCAATGACAAATAACCTGAGACCATTCCTTTCATAGTATTATTAATAAACAGCAAAATGTTATTAACAACGATAATACACATACCTTGAATACTTCTGTGTCATCAACATATGATATGCTAATGAGATATCCCAGACCCGCAAGTAGCAATGAAATATTTTCAGGTGCAGATTCAAGGACTTTTATATGTGACTGCAAACGAAGAACACAGAGCCCGCTATTATTTCTGAAATGCATAATATTTATGAAAGAAAAAAGACTAGAAACATTAAATGTAAACCCTCATTCTTACACATCTAAAGCTTAAAATACCAGGGAAACGAACATGATACATCCTATTCAACAAAGAAAGAAAATTACCTTGAAAAACGAAGTGAAAAACAGTGCCACGTTCTGGATAAAAGCCTAGAGGTAAAGAAGATATACAGTCATTTTCTTGAAATGTTAAAAAGAAATATATGTGATGGCCGGAACCTAATGCACACAAAAGACTTGCCTGTTCTTCACCACTTCCAGCTGAATATGCCTCCGGGATGTTTAAATTTAAAGGAAGCATTTCCTGGAGACAAGAAAACAAGTATGGGCATCAATCAAGAAGCAAGGTAACATAAAAGTCAACCTGATAGGGTAAAGAGCCAATAAACGACCGGAGCGCGTACATTAACCAACTAAAAGTGAAGTCCTATAGTACGAAAATCAAATGAACAAAAACCAAGAAGACAAAGAAAAAGCAACAAAACAAAGATAACCATAACCAGCACTACCTGCAACTGGTTCATGAAAATGCTGTACATCTTGACATATTGCGCATCGTAGAAGTTCCCAAAATTAAGAGCCGCAACCTGCCAGAAAAAAAAATCATTAGACAATGACAGTAAAATAGTGACAGTAGGAAAATGCGGACTATAAACTAGCATACCTCTGACAGACATTGAAGAGCGAGATTCCTATATGCTGGCACGGGGAAGAACTTAAGAAGGGTCTCCAGCTGCGAATAACAAGATCAGTAATGAGGAATATCGTAACTGTGAGACTTGTTAACGTATCTCAGTCCACTTGTTCCAAATATATTACCAAGGGTGACTCGAAAATATAGCCCAACGGAATCCAAGAAAGATAGGCATGCAATGCCGAGAGCGTTGCACGTATAAGCTCTTGTCTTTGGGAAGCTGAGAGAACGTATAGGCATAACTCGTGAATGAGTTGAAACTCGCTGCACATAAGGAACCAGTATAAATCAGTAGAGTATGGAAAAAACATCAGTTGCAAATTATAGCAAAATATTTGAACATAGTTCGCTCTTTGATAATTTTTTATAAAAAGTAAACTTCCTGAAAAGTTTAACTTGCCTGTTTAGAGACTCTTTCAGCTCTTTTATCTTTTGCTGAGTCATCTCTCCTCTTGAGAAATCAAAGACCTCTTCACTTAGGAGCTAAGGAAAAGAAGGAATGTTATTTGTGTCCATCACGAATTTAACGCAAAGGTACTTAGATATTACTTACTTTCAAAATAGCCATGCAATTCTCACAGATAGTTTCACTGGTTTTAGCGGCTTGAACTAGATCAGGAATAAAGCTTTTCCACTTCACCGGCCACTCATGTTTAACGATCTGTATACGCATCAGAATATAAGTTATTCCCAAAGACTAAACAAAGAGTTTTCAATCAATCAACACACAGAAAAAGACTCAATGCAAATAAGCAAGTATCAGTATTACTAGCAAGAAACCCTGAAGATACCTGAACAAGTGTGACATTTAACTTGTTGACATAAAGCCTTTCCGATCTGAAAGACGCTTCATCTCTTGAGAGCTACAAGGCAAATTCATTATCAAAACAATTCAGTTAACCTAGCATCTTAATTCCAACCCAAAACTAAACTAATGCCTCTTAAATATATAATACCTGCACAATGACTTCAGAGATGTAATTTTTCATTCCATCACGTTGATCAACGGGTAATGCATTCCACCTATATTTAATAACACCTTCTAGCACCTGAAAGTGGAAACCATAAGAAATTTTACATAGCAAGGGACTCAAGACGAACCTTATTTGGAAGTTGAATAAGCAAACTTACTTGAAGAGCAAAATATTTGGTATGCATACTCCTGGTGTTCTGCAGAATGTGAACCACTTGAAGCCAAGTATCAGGATTGGCTTTCAAATCCCGCAAGATATTATCCGCAGCAGCTCTCTGAAAATGAAACCAATCTTAAAACACACAGATGCAAATACTTGGATTTTAAACGAAGCCACGGCGCTAAAACAATCTGCAATCCAGAAATTTTCTACCCAAAACTTATCCAATTTTTCTATGCCTGTCAAGCGATAACACAAAGACTAAGGCGCATTCCAATTTCGGGAAAAGGCTAATCGAGAAAAGCGACGACAAGACGCATTAACAGTTTTGGAAAAAACAACATAATGGTGGATTTTACTCGCTCGTTCATCGTTTCAAATTCTCCGAGGAGGGATAAGCAATAGACTTACTTCTTCCTTAGATCCGGTAGCGTAAAAGGCCTCAACAGTAGCATCGAGTAAAACGACGTCAATCGGCTGACTCAAGTCCCTTAGCTTCTCAGCAGCCATGGCGGAGGATATGCCCAAATTCCAGTAGAATCGGAAAAAAGGAGATCGGACGCGAGACTGAAGCAATGGCGGACGAGAGACGGGAAAACCCTAATTAAGGAGAGGGAAAAACAAATTTGAAGAGAGAGGGAGAGAGGTTTTGCAGAGCGCAAGAGAGGCAGTTTAAATATTTGAGAGGTTTTTGAACGCAGCTTGAGATTGACGCACGGACTATTTTTTGAGAGAGAGAGACAATGGAGTGACTTCTTCTTTTATTATTTGTTGACCGCCAAAGGGTTTTCTTAAAAATAAAATAAAAAATCTTCTAATGATGTTCATTAGTAGATTTTATTTTGTGTGCAATTGTATTTGTATCAAACTGTACTATGCGATTAGTTTATTTGATATCTTAAATTATATGACATTTGACATTGAAGAGAAAACAAATGATGCGATTAAAGGATTTGGGTGCTAAACATTTATATGGGGGCGAATCCGGAAATAACGAAAGTTTCGGGGGTTCATTTTGAATTTTATCAAATATAGATCGGTGAAGATGATGACGTGGAGAGCGAGGCTGACGAAGCTTTGACTCGCCTGAGAAAGCGGACCTTGCTTGCTTCAACTGGAAGTTGACACCACGATTCAATCTTCATCGATTTTTGCAGATTCAAATTGATTTCGAAGATCAATATTTACTCTATCAGATCTCAGAATTGTTTGAATCCATCGTTTTAGGTTTTCTGATTGTCCAATTCACCGGGATAATAAATGGCTTCCTTAGAGATGAATGACCTGAAAAGTAAGTTCCGATAAACTCTTCGTTTAGGGATGTAATCATGAACTAGTATCCATTGATTTCCTGCTCTGTAAATATGGTTTTGAATGAGATATTGGCCATCTCGATATCGATTGAGATATATAATCATGAACGAGTCGTGCAGAGATTTCAATTTGAACTCATCTCGTGGAATTTCGCTGATGTTGATGATATATGTGCGCAGAGATTGGGCTAGGCTTGACTGGATTTGGTGTCTTCTTTACATTCCTGGGAGTGATATTTGTGTTTGACAAGGGACTCATCGCCATGGGAAATGTAGGTATACATAACATCTTTGTGCTCTTACTAGTTTAGCAAAGCTTTAAATGATATTAAGACTATGATCTATTTGAACAGATTCTCTTCGTAGCCGGTGTGACTCTAACCATTGGGATCAACCCAGCAATCCAATTCTTCACAAAACAGCAGAACTTTAAGGTTCTTTTCACTATCCCTTTTGTGTGTTTCAATCTGATTCTTGAAGATGAGAAAGAACTCACGGGTCTGCTTCCTTGTATACTTACAGGGAACTATATCATTTGGTTTGGGTTTCTTGTTGGTTGTGTTTGGATGGCCTATTTTCGGTTTGCTTCTGGAATCATATGGGTTCCTTGTGCTCTTCAGGTTCGTTTTGTGGTTTCAACTTTCAACACTTCCTTTTGTAGTTTTGGTTTGTTTATTGATTGTCTCTTCATGTGAAGTGGTTTCTGGCCTACACTCGCTGTCTTCCTTCAAAGGATACCTTTATTGGGATGGCTTTTACAGCAACCATACATCAGATCGGTACGTTGCATTGCTTTCTGAATTCAGCCTCCTAAATCTAAAGCATTTGTGCCTGATACTATTTCTATTGTATGTATCAGTTGCTTGATCGCTACCGTGGAAGGCGTGTCCCTGTCTAATCCAATCCTGTTTGCACATAAGTACATAACATATAATCGGCTGTCGATATACAAAGGTACATACATATGTGATATGTTACAAACTCGCACTCATCGTTGATGCGTTGTAAGTGGTTCTTGTGACTGGATTTGTGAATATTGTTAGATGTAGTGTTGTGGCTTTACTAATTGCCTCTCTTGTTGTTTATGTGATCATCCGCTTGTTATTTAAAAGCTTCTTCTGTGATTAGATGGGTTCATGATACATTTTGTGTCTGAAACCTGTCAAATGTTATCTCATTACTATCCAATAATATAAAGGGCAAATGAAACCTTCAAAGTTCGTTTCACAATCGATACTTTGGTTCGCTATCGTTTCTATCTCCGAATCTAGTTGAAAATTTCAGGTTGAATTTTTTTTAAAAAATTGTGATTGTTATTCACAACTATAGTTGAAAAAGAAAAACAAGAATTCCAAGAAAAAAGCACGTTGCATATCTCACCTACTCACCGGTCCAGCGGATTTTGGAAAAAACAAAATGTGACCACTCATCACTGATTCACTATCATCCACCAGAAAAATCACTGACTCTATAGTTTGTTGCCTATAAAATGCAAAACATACCTACTCTCTCATCCTTACTAACATATTTGTATTTGTCGGAAATCACATACTCAAGAATAACATTTCATCCAATATCAGTAATACTAATTACATATTAACTTATCTATTTAGTCAGAAAATGGTGGTCAAACTATACGGGCAGATAAAAGCAGGTAATCCACAAAGAGTATTGCTCTGTTTCTTGGAAAAGGGCATCGAGTTTGAAGTTATTCCTGTCGATCTCAATAAGTTTGAGCAGAAAAAACCAGAGTATCTTCTTCGTCAGGTATAAATTATAGCATAAAGTAGTTTAATCTTTTATTGCAGAAAACATTTTTTTAGTTTACGTAATTCTTATGTTGTATATATACTTGTGTTAGCCGTTCGGTCAAGTTCCAGCTATCGAAGACGGAGATCTGAAGCTTTTTGGTGAGATCATGTCTCAAAATTTTTAATTTTAACTTAAAATTATGCAGATAACTGATAAGATACTTTAAATATGTTTGATTTTTGGTTTCAAGAATCGCGAGCCATAGCGAGATACTACGCGACCAAGTATGCGGAGCAAGGAACGGACTTATTGGGCAAGACCTTGGAGCAACGAGCCATCGTGGAGCAGTGGATGGAAGTTGAGGCTAACTACTTCAACGTTGTGGTTCTACCTTTAGTTATAAACATTGTGTTCAAGCCCAAGCTTGAGCCATCCGACGTCGCTTTGGTCAAAGAACTAAAGGTCAAGCTCGAAGAGGTTCTGGATGTCTATGAGAACCGGTTAGCTACAAGCCGGTACTTGGCCGGTGCTGAATTCACATTGGCTGATTTGACTCATATGCCCGGTCTGAGGTATATAATGAATGAAGCCGGTTTGAGCGGTATGGTTACGTCTAGGGAGAATGTTAACCGGTGGTGGGATGAGATTTCGGCTAGACCGGCTTGGAAGAAGCTCATGGAAATGGCTGCTTATTAAGTTAGTTCGAGCTTATACTGATGAGTTTTAACATTTTTCTGTTTTTTGTTTTTTTCAAATAAGTTCGATGGCATGTTATATATAACTGTCTTCATGAGATAATAGAATAATAGTTTTTATCTAAAAGTCTAAAAGTTTGGAAGGTTTTGATAACCACTGGAAATGAAATGATACATTTGTAGACCAGAACACTATTTTACAACATTTTAAAATGATGTATTAAAGAATATGTTATATGCCTTATTTTGAAGTGAATTAGTATACATACATATATAAGTAAATGCCTTTTCATCGAAAAGGGGTATATAAATCAATAATCAGAAGAAGAAAAATAATCAGAAAAAAATCGCAAGACATTTGTAATATTGATGAGCCATTAAACTAAGAAGTGTTAGTTTTGTCTTCGTAATCTTCTCAGCTCTTTGTAACCAAGAGTCTTTGTCCTCTTCAATGAACAATGTCCTCTCTTCCACATTGTGATTAATAGGATTGATGTGAACTCTCAACGTGTGAGAAGGTACGACTTGGTGGTATAGAATCTTTGTTGTTTGATATGTCGAGATGAGCATTTGGTTGGTAAAACTAATTTTTTCTTCAACCACCTCGAATCCCGATGAATCTAAGGTTTCATTTGTATTCACGTCTTCTTCATTGCCTCCTATTCGATTTACGTTTTCTTCGTTATATATGTCAAACGAGAAAAAATCATCGATATCTATGTTGTTGTTGGTATTGTTTCCTGTAAATTGAAAAATGTGAAATTATCGTTACATAAGAAAAGCACCTAAACAATCTTGAATGTGAAACAAAATTACATAGCATACTCACCATGAAGTCCAAGATCTTGGTCAGTATCATCCAAACTCGAAATGATATTATGCTCTTCTGTATAACCCTTTCGATATTAACACAAGATAATAATGTTAGGTATAAAATATAAATTATATCGTAAAACTATCTTTAAATATTCTGATATATATATATAGACTATAGTACCTGGTTCATATGATGATTTGACATTATTAATGGCTCATCGTAATTGCCTATGTGGATCACTTGATCTTCAACGCTATTATAATGGTTGGGGTTACTTGAAGCGAAAGTGAAGTCGTTCAAAACACCATGATTGTTGTTGTGAGTCATACTCGTGAAGAAATCGCAATCGCTAATCGCAGAGTTCTCTACACGCAATGGCGGTAGAGATATATTGTGTTGTAACATTGAGCATTCGATCTCATTATTAACCTGCATGAACATATATACACATGACGTTTAAATTCATCATCATAATCATGCTATATACTTTTGATCCTATTTTGTTTTATTGAGATATTAGTTATACCTTATATGGATTAGGGAACGGTCCATAAGAAGAACCATAGTATTGTGACCAGTCTTCGTTACTGACCGCGTTTGCGTTAAAACGCCCGTTTCCATATCGCGGTTGGAATGCGTTTTGAACTTGGTGAGTAGTTGAACTGATCTCAAGATCTGAACAAGCGTCAAAACTCGAACTGCCACTCACGTTCGTCATCGCGTGGACGTAAGACCGGTGCTGGTCTCTTGGCTTAGCTTCAATCACAATCTTTTTAAACACACGACAAAGTGCATATGCATCCTGAAAAATATAAAAAATATTAGACGATTTTTTCTAGTGATAATTAGTTGAATAAATTAGCTAGCCGGCGAACCTGCATGCCGTATGCAGAAGGCTCGCATTCGGTTTCATCGAGTCGATATTCGTGCATGACCCAACCGGTTCTAATACCATGTGGTGCACGTCCACGGTAGTAAACCAATGTCTTCTTGGTTCCAATGGCTCGGTCTCTCCAACTAACCCGGCGGTCTTTACCCGTGGCCTTCCAATACCCGCCTTTGGTTGCCCGGTTTGTCCTTGAACCGTTGGGATACTTCCGGTCCCGTGGGCTGAAGAAATACCATTCTTGGTCTTTGCTCGGAAGCAATGATTTCCCTGTCATTTTTTTTGCCAAAAAAAGAAAAGAAATGATTTCTCTATCATTGAGTTTATAACTGATTATAATTTTGAACATCGTATTGTGTGTGTGTGTGTGTATAAACAAGAAACATATATTTCCCGTCGAAATTAATAAAAGTATATTTAGGGTTCCTTCATCTATGTTATATTCTTATTCTTTTCTTCAGCCTCTCTTGCTTCTATTGGTTCTAGACAGAAAATATCAAAAGAATAATAGTTCTTAATTAATTATAGAGGCTATGATTTTGAATCCAAATAATATTTGTAGAATTTTGAAACAAAAGTACAACAGAGTAATGTTTATCATAAAACCATCCTATGTATCAAAAGAGATTCAAGATCATAGTAACTCATGCTGTCATGCATACACGAAGAAGATCTAATATATATTACCTGGCAAGTCCCATGGCTCACACTTGTAGAGATCAACTTCAGCGATGACCTCAAGTTCGATTTCTAGGCCGTTGATCTTTCTTTTAAGATAGTAAGTAATTAGTTCCTCGTCCGTTGGATGAAATCTGAAACCTGGTGGTAACGAGACAGGAGCCATTTAATCTTTCAAGTTATTCTTGATATGATTTTGATTAAATCAGTTTCAAGATAAATGAGAGAGAGAGGACTCGAGGAAGAATAAGAAGGTATTGGAGAATAGATATTTTTTGTATTCGTTGAGGGTTCGGAGAGGAAGGTTATATATAAAGAGACAAAAGACAGAAGAAACGAAAAAGGAGAGACAAAAGTGAATAAAGGGAAGGTCCCCATCCCAAAACAACAAATAATATTAAGAACTAATTTCATTATTTAAAATTAATCTTTTTTTTCTGACTCATAATGTACTAGTTACTCTAAGGTTAAGTTTCTTGCTATAGCATTATTATTTTATTTTTGTTAAAGTATAGCATTATATTTTTCTTTATGTATACACAGCAAAAGGTTCTCACTTTGGAGTTTCTTGTTCATATAAATTAATATATACTACAATTTTTTTTTTTTATACTACAACTTCAAAATTTAATAAGAACAGAAACTTTGAATGTAACGTGTATTTTTTTTTTGTAAGAGTGATAGAGATTTCGTTCTTTGACTAGATTTTCCTGTTCCTAAACAACACATAATAAAAATATATGTTCCTAATCCATTTGAGAAACCGGAATAATGTGGCGATTCTGTACTTAATCGAGAATTATCGCCCTAAATGTAACACCGTGTTTCTTCAGATCAAGTGGCCTCCTGATCCCATGCTTCTCCAAGTGTGGTCGGTCTGGAATATAAGTCCACGTGTCGGGACTCTATTGGCTGCATGGGAGATCGAATCTTGGGTTAGCCCCAAACTGTTGCAATCTCTCTTTTTCCTTTTTCATCTTTGGCGGCACTTCTAACTGAAATAACCGTCTCTTTTGTACCCACTTGCGAATCCATTATTTTCCTTCTCATTGTTTATTCCATATGTATTTCTCGAATTCAAACTACATAATGGATTATAGCTCGACTAAAAAACTCCATTTTACTTATTGGTTGATCCACATCGTATTCGTGTATATTTGTGTATGGTATCACTATCAGGCTGTTAACTTAGATTGTGTGATTACGGAAAGATATTGAAATTTAGAGGTTTTAAGTCCAAGACCAAAAGCTCGAGTGGGTACAATCTCTTTTCTCCCAACAAAACTTTACGTTGTTGGTTCCGGCCAATATATATTTACTATGGAAAATTATTGACTGAAACTCCAAGAATTTACCATGGTTACAGGAAATTATTATATGATAAAAAAAAAAACAATTTGGTATGAGGCGTGGAGCTATAAATATAATCAGTTCATAAGAAGATATTCATATTCGGTACCTGGTAAATATAAAACCATAATTTATCTAGATACGGCATATGAGATCTGAAATCCGATTTATATAAAAATCGAAGAAGACCAAAAAGCAAATATGAAAACTGTGATCATGTGGGTCCAGCAGTTGTGAACATGTGAATAAATCCTTGGAAGCCATTGATGGGCCAACCATGGAGAATCACTTCTCAGCCTTTCTCATCATCGTCATAACCTTTTTCTCTCCTTATTCCAATTCCATATTCTCTTTGCATGTATCACATCCATGTATACATGTGCGTACATACGAACATAATATTTAATGTATATGCAATGTGTACATACCTCTCTTGACACATTTCCCTCACATGAATCCATCTTTTGGTTCTTTACTTCTTTCTTCCTGGCGTTCACACACACATATCTCTCTATAAACTAATCAATAGTACAAATTAGCCCTACTTTGAGATAGGGTATATGTATATTTAGATTTATTAAGGCATAAATATGTAAATTTGTTATAAACATAATGTTTCTTGGTAATGGTCCTAAGATCTGAATTACCTGTGGGCTGTGGCCTTCTTAAAAGTTTAAGATTTGATAATGTTAGTTAAGCTCAGGGGCTATATTGTCATTTCGGAAAATTATAAAGCGGTCACATGATATCCAGCGCAGAGCGCACGTTAGAGTAGCTCCCACTTCGGTTTCAGGCTAAAGTGAGCCGAACAATGTCTGAGATCATAAAATTATGGAGATCTTACAAAAATGGAAAGTTAATGTAAAACACAAAAAACGATCGAAAGAAGAAGCCTACGGTTGTTCTGTTCCTTTCGATCTTTTAAGCTCACCAAATTTTCATCTTCTCCTTCAATTTTTCTTCTTTCGTTTTGAAGGAACCTCTTCACCAAACCAATTTGTAAACCTAGTTCTTAATTAGAGGAAAATAAAATAAATCGATTGAAATCTGGATGAAATTTCCGTTTGTGGAAGATGAAATCTCGATGAGTCTGATTCCAAAAATCTGAAATTTGAAGAGAGATGCTAGGAGCGATTCATTTCGGAGTATTAGCAGCTTGCTTCGTCCTCTTCGTCCCCATGGCTATGGCTGGTTGGCATCTGAGCAGGAACAAGATGCTCTTCTTTAGTGGCGCTTTGTTCATTTCCCTCGCCGTCTGTGTTCATCTCACGCCGTATTTCCCTTCCGTCTCCGACATCGTAGCCTCCGTTTCCTCCGTCGTTGTTTACGATAATCGAATCTCCTGTATCAACGAGGTTAATCAGATTGTCTGGGATGTTAAACCGAGACCCAATCCCGAGTCAATTCGAAGGCAGAACGGGACGAAGCTCGATTATTTCGAGAAGAATTGGGATTGGATGAAATCGAGGAAAGTTTTGAGTTGTGAGTTTCAGAAATTGGATAGGTTAGATGTTTCGGAGCTGTTGAATGGGTCTTGGGTTGTTGTAGCTGGCGATTCCCAGGCGAGATTCGTGGCCTTGTCGTTGTTGAATCTGGTTTTGGGTTCGGATTCGGAAGCTATGGGGACGGTTGAAAGCGATCTCTTTAGGAGACATAGTGATTACAACATTGTGGTTAAGGAGATTGGGATGAAGCTGGATTTCGTCTGGGCTCCTTACGAGAAAGATTTGGATGATCTCGTGGTGTCGTATAAGAAGAGGAACAAGTATCCAGATGTTGTGATAATGGGAAGTGGGTTATGGCACATGCTTCATGTGAACAATGCTTCTGATTTCGAGTTTTGGTTGAAGCAGTTGAGCAGTCATGTGGAGTCTCTAGTGCCCATTTCGACAAAGGAGCAAGAAGGAGGGAGAGGAACGGTTGTTCCCGGGAGATCTATGCATCTGTTCTGGATTGGGATGCCGGTTTTGATCAACGGGATGTTGAATACGGATGAGAAGAAGGAGAAGATGAGTGATACGGTGTGGCATGAGTATGATAGATCACTTGGGGAGAGTAAGATCTTGCGGCAAATGGGAGGTCCGCTTGTCTTGCTTGATATACAGTCTTTTACTTGGAATTGTGGACCGCAATGTACACTCGACGGAATGCATTACGACCCTGCGGTCTATGATGCTGCTGTTCATGTCATGCTCAATGCTTTGCTTATCGAATCTCATCAAACTTTATAACTTCTTGAATCAGAATCAGGTTCTTTCCTTTTTTTGTTTTGGGGTTTTGGTTGTAGAGTTGTAAGAGATGTTCATAGAAATTTTCACAACACCACGTTGGAAGTAAGTGAACTTACTTGCTAGTCTATAGGTTTATAATATCGTTCGACTTTGATGTTCATAACATTTTTGTTATTCTGATTCTTGTTATATTACAGTAGACATTTGCATTCTGTTCACTCTTTACTTTTAGTCTACAGTATCTCCGATTCTTGGCTTCTGTTAACAAAACTGGAACATGGTACACTAGTGATCAAAACCCGCAAGACACTAGCTTTAAGCATTTGCTTCATAGTAATGTAAAACACAATAGATACAATAGTGACGTTTGTGTAATCACTGTTCTTAGTACATTGGTGAGGTTTATACCTATGAGTGGGAGAGAGGGAGACTATGAAATGCCAAAGGGACATACTTTCGACACCCATTCCCAAGTTTCTTTCTTTTCAAACCTATAGATAACCCTTAAGACCAAGATCCATCAAAAATTCATCCCCGGAAAAAAGAATCACGAGATATCAATGTACCCTTGTGCGCACTACGGAGTCTCGAATTGTTTCCCTTCAAAGGTCTGTCCGTAATTCCAGGTTTTAGGAGCGACGTTGTAAGCTGTCACAGTTGATCTGTCACTAGCAGTAACTTCAAAGGAGAGAGCTTGGTTCTTGAGATCGGCATTGATATGCCAATTCTGTCCCCAATTACGACCCATTTGTAACCACCCGGTCCTTGACCCTTTGATCTTCACAGCAGCTACATCACCTGATCCCGCAACATTGGTGATTAGAACTGAAATGAAAATGCCTCCACCGTCGACTGTAAACCGAATGCTCCCTTCCCTTCTACAATTGATCCTGTTTTGGTAAAAGTAAAACCAACAACAACGGTTATATGTTCTGTATAACTCCACAAACTACTCAACACATGATGAGCAAATACTCTTCAGCTTTGCTACAATATGCATCTAAATACCATCAGGGGCAACGATCAGGGGCAATGAAGTAAATTGCTAACTCGGGACAGCATTTAGGGTAAACCCACCCAGGCAATATAAAGCACACGGAAATCGAAGAAGACGGGGAAAAACAAAAGCAAAAGCATCAATCACCATCGCTTGAAATTGTTTAGAATATTCAAATGGAAAAGGGCCCAAGAAAAGCAAACCAGCGTTCCCACCACCGCAAACGCAAAACGCGAACAAATTGGAAAAGCAGCTAAACGCACCTTCGATACTGCACCGGCATGTTCCCAGCTTTCCAGATAGCGACTTTCTCAAACGCTTCAATCGGCAGCACGAAATGTTTGTTCGGAGGGTTGCAGTGACCACCACCGTCGGGATCGAATCCGTAATTAGGAGCGCAGAAATTCGTAGCCGTGAGGATGATTGAAGTTCCAGGGATACACCAACGGAGATCATCGACACATCTGAGCTCGAAACAAGCGCCGCAGATCTGACCGCGCTCAAACAGAGTCTCGCTCAGACCTACCGTAGCCATACCGTACCCGGATTTGACTAGATCTCCGTATCCACACGCACCGCCCACCGCGTCTCGAGGATTCGAAGCGGCGTAGTAGGTGGCTCGAGCTGGACGCCATTCGGATGCGTCGGAAGAGACGGAGGAAGATGAAGGAGAAGATGTCGAGGATGAGTAATGAGAAACCACCGGCGGCGATAGTTCGACGAAGAGGAGGAGGAGGAGTAGAGATAGAAACAGTTTCATCTCCGGCGAGAGTGCGAAGTCTGATTTTGGAGATTTGATGATTTAATTTTGTTCTCTTTTTGGTAGTGTAAACTCTTTAGTGGGAAAACATTTTGCTTTTACCGGTTTGTCGGTTTCTTAAAATGACTAAAATACCCTTGACCAGAAACTTTAAGTTAGATTTATCACTCAACTTTAGTCTTATTGCTTAACTCTCTTAGATTTATTCATAGTTTTATTTTATTATATGATACAAACTTCTTAGAGATTCTTACTTTTCATTATTCATTCAAGTACAAGCGGCTTTGATGATGGCTTCGAAATGATGCTTCTCATGGATAATCCAATGTCCACCATGAGGGACCTCATGGAGCGTAATCCATGGTAGTTTATCACATATATAGATGAAGACTTCCCGCAAAATCTGTTTGTCGTCGAGTCCACACCAAATATGAAACGATCCTTTGTTACTATCCGAGAACGGATTGCTCAATTCGGTTGGATCAAATTCCCAATTCCCATATCCCGCGACAATGTCTCGGTGTGCGCTCACATATTCACCTTGTCGTAAAGCAGTCTCCTATATTAATAGCTTTCACGAGTTAATTTTAAGTAGATAAAAATAAAAAATCTATAGTTGCTATTTAAAGCAGTCTATATGACTATATAAGCATACCAGGTAGGAATCTTTGGCATGTTTTGCTTTTAGTTCAATATCTCGTTCGGTCATAGTTCTTTTGGGATCTCGATTACTTGGGAACCATTTTTGAGTCAGCCACCAATGTAACAACCATGGACAGTAGTGTGCGACTCGAAGTGTCATGCGAAACTCAAATGGTAGTTTCTTGATCGCTGCATTCAACAAGTCTCGAGGCACACGTCTCCACCAAAAATTCACTAACGGAACCACCAACGTTGCTCCACTTAGTCTACAAATATTAACAGAAACATTCAAATAATGAAACATCTTACTATTAATGGATAAACCATATGCATGTTAGGTAAACGTGTGTATGATCATCAGAATAAGTATTGATACGTGAAAGTCAAAAATAATATTTCAATCTTTTGGATAATTTTCTTAAGAGATATCCCATAGATATATTACCTATGAGGAATGTATTTGAGGCAACCGTAAACTGGGTAATTTCCAAGTGACATTCCCAAAACATGGAATTTTGGACCGATTTGCAATTTGTCAGCAAGTTCTTCGATATCGTATGCATCTGTTTTCAGTGTTCGTGATGGATTAGGATCGCTTTCTCCATAACCAGCTCTATCGAAGAATAAGAAATATATCTGGAATTGGTCGATGAGTTCCTGAACAAGCCAGAGGAGTGTTATAGTTGCAACAAAAAATCATTAAAAACCACTAGAAAAACCTTAGTTTACATTATGTGACTTAAAACTTAAAAGAGACTAATGAAATAAATGGCTGGAAAAAACGGTTACGAACTCCCCAAGAAAACTAGAAAAGTTACCGTATACCTGAGTGGTGTATAAATCGGCGTCTTTGGAGTTTCCATATCCATGGACCATTATTATTTTGTGTTTGGCTTTGTCCTTTGGAAACCCTAATTCTTTGTAAGCTAAATGTCTGCCATCATTGAGCTTGATTCTTTGAGATGTCTTGGAAACGTCTGCCGGCAACGGAATCGGCGGTGGCGGTCTTATGGACTTGTAGACATAATAGCTTATTAATCCCACAATCGCAAGTAGAAACAGCATTGTTTTGGTCTATAGATAACACATGACGAAACATTGCAAAGAAAACTTTAGTTTTATCAAAGCCTTAAACATGTGTGTGATATAGTAACATATCAATTTATGAACCATAAGAACATATCCATTTTATAAGACTTTCAATGCCTGTAAAACATGAAAGAAGATGAAACTTAACTGATAATATGATTAGATGAACAGCTAATGGAGAGAAAACCGACCTGATGATCGAGGAGATGGCTAGTTAATGTGATGCAAGGTGATATAATGGAATTATGGAATCCATATATGCTCAAACACCTTATTTATACTTATGGAATTATGGAATCCATGCTTTTGTTCTTGCTGGCTTTTGTGATTCTTTATTTATTTTTCCTTTGTTACACATGTCTTTAAAACTTCTTTTGCATTAATATCACTGGATTTGGTTGCCCCTTTTGCATTATTACCATCAGATGTTAACTCCCCATGAATTTTTTTATAAGGGATTATAACGTATTTTACACTACCAATGCATTTGGTTGTTTTTTAGCAATTTTTTCCCCCATGAATTGTGTAACTCCCCTCACTAATAGTGCTTTTAATTTAATTTTAAATGACCTATACAAATTACAAATAGTCACAGGACAAGAGTATTTTATCTTCCTCTCTCTATCGCTTACTCTTATGACCCGTTTTATGTAACTCGGTTCAAGACAAACAAAAAAAACACCCGTTTGCTTCGTTGTGTAGATCATCAATGAGAAACCACAAGTGGTTCAAGGGTATGAGTCTGGTAAAGCATTCCCCAACCAGCAAATACTTTATAAGCTGGAGAGAGCACTTGGCGCTAAACTTCGAGGAAAGAAATGATCAAAGTCCTGAAGATAACAAAGCTTAATCTGCAGTTTCACTTTTCGTAGCAACAATCAATGCTTTGATCTAATGTCGCAACTCTGCCAAAATTTCAAGAGCACAATTCCTCTTCCATTCTTTCCAATTATTATTTTATTTCTTTTCCTTTTTTCCTTACTATTTTTTCCTTATTTTCCTATTTCCTTTTTTACTAAAATCCTCTATATATTAAAATCATACATCAACAAATTCACATCCACAACCATAAAACATAGAGCCAAAATCCTAAAACAAAAAAAAACTAATTAGCCCATAACATTACCGTGTCGCTTAAGGTTTTGATCAAATCAACAACAGCTTTTGATAACATCGAAACTGACTTAGGTTTTGTGTAGATATATTTTCCCATCGCGATGATGAACATGGAAAAGAAGGATCGTGAAAGAGAGTCTGAAACTTCGGAGCAAGTTGTGAATCCATATAAAGTGTCCGGAAAAGACGGCAAGGAGATCGATTACGACAAGCTTATTGACAAATTTGGCTGCCAAAGGCTCGACGAGTCACTGATTGATCGTGTCCAAAGACTTACTTCTCGTCAACCACATGAATTCCTCCGCCGTGGAGTCTTCTTCGCCCACAGGTTCGAATCTGACCTAAATTCTGTTTTGATGATTCTAGTACAAAATTCCTGGTTTAACTGTGAGATATTATTAACAGGGATTTCAATGAGATTCTGGACGCGTATGAGAGAGGAGACAAGTTTTATCTCTACACGGGAAGAGGACCATCTTCGGAAGCTTTGCATTTAGGGCATTTAATTCCTTTCTTGTTTACCAAGTAAGTGAGATATCATTTCATTAAGCTATTTAGGTCAATGCAGGGATGGTTTTTTTTGCTGATGGTTTGAAATTGGATTGCAGATACTTGCAAGAAGCTTTTAAGGTTCCTCTTGTTATACAGCTAACGGATGATGAAAAATTCATGTGGAGGAAGGACTTGACTGTAGAAGAATGTAAAAGACTTGCAAGAGAAAATGCGAAGGATATAATTGCTTGTGGATTCGATGTAACAAAGACGTTCATTTTCTCGGATTTCGGCTATAATGAACCGTAAGTCGCATTCGAATCTATTGGAAACAAAAATATTAGCCTATAATAATATGTTTGGCTTTTGATGATTATATATTAATCGTAAAAACTTTTCTGTGTAGTGCTTTCCGTGAAAACGTGGCGGAGATTTCAAAGCGCGTTACACTTAATCAGGTGAGTAATTTTACTGTCTAGTCTCCTTGAATTGCACCATGTGTTTTATAGTTGCTTTGAGTTAATGGTTTTCAATCTTTGTATCTCTTTCGTTTCTAGGTTATAGGAATCTTTGGGTTTTCCGGTGAAGATAACATCGGGAAAATCGCTTTCCCTCCGGTGCAGGTACGTCTTTTTTTGTTATTTTTTTCCTGTTGGTGTGAGTACGTGACTTCTAAGTTCTCATATAGACTAATATCATACTTAAATTGGATGATTATATTAATTCCTAATATATATTGCAGGCAGCTCCATCTTTTCCAAGCTCATTCCCACATTTGTTCCCTGGCATGGACAATCTCCGTTGCTTGATTCCTTGTGCAATTGACCAGGTTTGTTCTGTTTTTTTTACTTTATATCCTAAACATAAGATAAACAACTTCTCAACGGTCTAAAATGGTCATCCAAATCTAGTCTCTTTATGTTCTTAGAGTATAAATTTAAAACCAATCTTTACTTTTGGCTTTGTTCAGGATCCTTATTTCAGAATGGCTCGTGATGTTGCACCTCGGTTAGGCTATAACAAGCCTGCTCTAATTGAGTCATCATTTTTTCCTGCTCTACAGGCAAGTGTTTTCTTAGATTTTCCAAGTGACTATAGTCTATAGATATATATATATATATATATGTACACCACACTTTCTTGCTTTTCAAACTATTGATTAATGCCTTGTGGGTCACTTTTCTCAGGGATCTAGTGGGAAAATGTCTGCTAGTGATCCAAACTCCGCTATCTATCTGACTGATACCGCCAAGGACATTAAAAAGAAGGTGAATTCTTCCCTAATTTTGAGTATGTTCTGTTATTCCCATCTATTATTACAAAGTCCATATTGGTTTTTTTTTTTTTTTTCGTAGACATATTCACTGTCTGGTTCTTATGTGCAGATAAACAGTGCCTTGAGTGGTGGGCACCAGTTTCTCAAGGAACAAAAAAAACACGGAGCAAATCTCGAGGTATATATAACGGATTCTTGCAGAAATTGTTTTCTTGATACTTTCTTGATACTTTGTCCCATCGGTTCTGGTGCTATTTAGTAAACTAAAGTAATTATGTTTTCTACTAACTCACAGGAAGACGTACCGTTCAAGTATTTGAGTTTCTTCCTCAACGATGATTCTGAACTTGAACACATTAGAAAGGTACGTACACATGTCGATGTCAATCATGAGTTTGTTATTAATTCACTACGGAGGAAGGAACAAAACAATGCGTCAGGTTTTCTGAATATTTGAAGTATAATTAATATATTTCAGGAGTATGGAGAACCAGGAGGAGGAATGCAAAGCGGATACGTAAAGAATCGACTCGCTGAAGTATTGACAGAGATTGTGGAGAGACACCGTACGGCTCGAGCTGCCGTTACCGAGGAGGTAAATTATCGTTTTTCTCATCAAAACTATGTATCAAGATTTAATAAAATATCTGACTCTTACGTAATATTTACAACCAAACAAATTTCAGATGGTGGATGCTTTCATGGGCGTGAGACCTCTCCCAAGCATGTTCGAGTAGGAGTGTAATCAAATTTAAAGATTTTAATGTTGATTGTATTAAGAACTTAAACAATTGATGGTTTATAACATCGCTTTTATTTATCAAATCCATTCAAGCTATTGATGGTTTTATTTATTTATTTTATTCAACTACAAGCGGTCTTAATAATATCTTCAAAATGCTGCTTCTCATGGATAATAAGATGTCCAGCTTCAGGGACTTGATGAAGCTTTATCCATGGCAGCTTATCACATATGTAGAGTAAAACCTCGCGCGATATTTGTTTGTCTTCGAGTGCACACCAAATGTGAACAGACCCTTTGTTATCATCTGAAAATGGGTTGACGAGTTCGGTCGGATCAAACTCCCAATTCTCGAAACCCACAATCATGTCTCGTTGCATGCTCACATATTCTCCTTGTCGCAGAGCTGATTCCTGGACCGCATAAATTAATATTGAGTATTCTGATTTAAGCCACATGAACATTACACATACTCATATGAACATTCTAAAGCTACCAAAACAATCTCAAACGACATGGTTACCTTGATATAGGCGTGTTTGGTATGCTTATCCGCGAGTTCTATGTCTCGCTCGGTCATAGTTTCTCTTGGATTCTGACTAAACGGTGAGAACCATTTCTGAGTCATCCACCAATAGAACAACCATGGAACGTAGTGTGCAACTCGAAACGTCCATTGGTTCTGAACTGGTAATTTCTTGAGAGCCGAACTCATCAAGTCTTGAGGCATACGACTCCACCAATAATTCAGTAATGGAACCACCAGCGTTGCTCCACTTAGTCTATATAAATTGTTAGAGGCATTGACATAAGTAAAAATAAAATATAATATTCTAGTTTTAAGAGATTGATGATGAATATGGGATACCTATGAGGGATGTATTTGAGACAGCCGTAAACAGGGTAAGCCCCGAGTGACATTCCTAAGACATGGAACTTTGGACCGATTTGCAATTTGTCAGCGATTTCTTCGATGTCATATGTATCCGTTTTTATTGTTCGTGACGGATGAGGATCGCTTTCTCCATAACCAGCTCTATCGAAGAGCAAGAAGTATATCCCAAATTCGTCAATCATTTCCTAAAAGCCAGATGAAAATTGTGGTTATGAAAACTATTCATCAAAATAACAAAATTCTTATATCATCATGATCTCCTTGTTTAATACCTTAGTGATTTTTAAATCCACCAACTTGGAACTTCCATATCCGTGAAGAATGATTATTTTATTTTTGGCTTTGTCCTTTGGCAAACCTAATTCTCTGTAGGCCAAATATCTGCCATCATTGAGCTTGATTCTTGGACAGATCTCAGATACATTCTCAGGAAGCGGAATTGGTGCCGGCGGTTTTATGGACTTGTAAACATAATAGGCTATTAATCCGACAGCTGCACCTAGAAGCAACATCATTTGACCTATAGATAATATATGCGGGAACATTGCAACAAGTACTTTAGTAGAGATATGAAGATAAGAAGAAGAAGAAACTTAAAAAAGAGATATGCGTTACAAAATTAGTGGAGAGAAAACCGACCTGATGATTTGAGAGATGGCTAAGTAATGTGAAATCGTGAGTGGTGATGATATCGATGGGCTACTATTTATACTATAAATTAAGAAGAAATGCAATTTACGTGTTTAGAATATTATCTGTTAAAAATATATTGATCATAATATAAAACGCGTACGTAACACGTCAACATGACACATGTGATTTTCTTTTGAAAAAAATTAAGCAACTAAATCTATGCTCAGATTGCGACATGTATAACATTAAAATTATATAGAAAAAAAAAGTGTTGTTTGCTAGATTATCATTAAGAAGTAATCCACGTATATAATGTGTGTTTGTAAATTATTTACAACAGATAGCTTACTATAGTTATATGTTACTGATATTAAAGGCAAATCTGCTTTTAATTAAAAGAACGATATTTTTTAGCAGTTAGTTATAAATTTATAATGGACTTGTAAACAAGTGAACAAACGTCACTGGTTAGATATCTAACTTAGATACACGTGGGAACATTGCACATTGTACTTTAATAGCTTGCGAGAAAAAGATGATTAAAGACAAATTCCATTTTTTTGGACATCAGCTGAAACTTTCAACACCTCTAGAACATTAAGGTATGATTGTTGTTGCATGATGTATGTATCTGTCAGACTTTATATATTGTATGTATTTGATTCATGGAATACTTCCTATATATAATTTACTTTTACTTCAAACATATATGGTGGATTTATTTCTAAACGTCATAAGAAATCCAATGTATGTTGTTTTAGAATGTAGATTTGTGTATATACATTTCGTTTATTTGATCGATATTTTACCAACTACATTCCTTTGTCTCTAAAATTCATAAGCAAGATCCGACGTATATGGTACGTATACAAGCTGGATTTCATATCTTTTAAAAACTCAAAAGAAACTTGTATAAATTAATATTCTGTCGGAAATTTTGAAATGAAATTGTATTATAGTAATAATAGAATCTGTTGCTGGTAACGTCAAAATGATTCATAAAAGACTTTGGTAAGGCTGCAAAAAAAAGAAAACATCATTTATTGTTTCTTCATTGTAAGTGATGTTTTCACACGAAAGGGTGTACAAGTATCAGGATGTGTCTTCCATGAGAAAGGGAAGAAGACTGAATTTTTCTTATTCACAGGTCCTCGGGACCATTGATGTCCTGCAAATAACACCAAAAGACATTTTAGAACTTCTATCTCCAAAATAAGTCAAGACGTTAATTAACGAAGGGCGTAGAATGCCCCAATTCGGTTTAGCTGAACCGGATAAAATCCCCCGAAATAAACCTACGATTAGTTTTGCTACCCGACACAAATCATAACCGTACCAAGCTAAATCATTCAGTTCATAAAAACCGGACCAAACTAAAAAACCGGATTGAACCAATAAATTAAACGGCATTTCAAGTTTACCTTGTTCTCGATCACAGCGCCGTCGGGGATGACCACTTTTACCCCGGATTTTGCCGTCACGGTCACCTTGCCCTTCGAAAACCAAAAGGAACCATTTTGAGTATATTTATTATGTCAGCACGAAGAACTAATTCACACAGATATATTATATATGTATACCTTGAGAACAACGGAAGAGCCAAACGAGACATCCCCAGACACCTTAAGGCTGTCCAGCTCAACAATACTAGGGATAGACTTAAACCGGCTCAAGAAACTAGCCACCTGTTATTGAAAAAAGAAGATGTAGAGACGCTAAGAAAATGTTTAGAGAAACAAACAAGACTTGTCAAAGAGGTTTTTTCCTTCATTTACCTTCTTGAACTCGGGTCCCAATTCAACTGATGGGTTCTCGGGGTTAGTCCTAGCATTGTTTCGGGTGACGAAGCCATCAACTAGTTTGTAGAGATCAGACTGCAAGAATGAAAAACTTGAATCACTACACAAATCTTTCAAAGGATGTCTCTGTTTCACTTCAAAATGTGGTCAACAGTGTTTACCTGGACGAGCAGCAAGTCTGAAGTTGCCTTCACTGGCAAGAAACGTGAGCGAGGTACATTGACACCGATAGCATTGTCAAAGAACTGTTTTCAGACAGAGAGTCGCACAGTGAAAAGGAGTTAGAAGAAGAAGAAGAAGAAGAAGATTACAGTTTTCGCTCTATATTTTCAATTGTGGCACTAGATAGGAGATGCATATTACCCTGATTGCAGCACCAGCAGCCGTTTCCAGTTGAAGAACTTTGACTCCATCAACTTCCTGAAATATAATTTTCAGTCTTTTCTCGGTTAGATAATCATGGAAATTGCAATAAATTAGCTTTTAAATAGGGCTAGGCATGCACCTTTGGGTTTGGAATGATCTCCATTTTAAGTGCATCAGCTTCCACAAGCTTTTTGATGGCCTTCAAGTTAACCCATCTGTAAATTTAAAAGAGTTAATAGTCTACAAATAAGTTTATATTTTCTGGAAGTTTTACGGACATGATCTACTTACAGGTTGTTCGTGTTGAAGATCTTGAACTTCTCAATTGATTTGAACTCATTGACCTACCACAAGGATCAAAACATGTGCGCATTAACTCTTTTAAACAGGTGATGCAAATGGAATCAAGCAGAAACAAGGCCCAAACAAAATCTACAGTTTCCTCTTCATAAGAATAATCTAATGCAGAGAGTAGGGATAAAAGAGGTTTTGAAGAGTTTCTAGCAAATTACTCTGAAAACTAAGCTCATTTTACCAAAACATTTCTCCACGTTTCTAATGAATATGCTACGAGAGTTTCAAACGGTAACAAATACGAAAACAAAGAAGAAGTATGGACTTACATGTTCATCAGGAACCTGAGCAATCTCCAGAAGCTGGGATAAACCATAAAAATCAATATTAGGAACCTAATAGACAACATACACATCGATACATGTTTTTTTATGCGACAAAAAAGCATCTACATAATCCAAAAATAACAACAGTAGATAAAAACCAAATCTGAATAGCAGTTTTTAAAATAATGATGCATAAGAAAGCATCTACATAATCCAAAAATAACAACAGTAGATAAAAACCAAATCTGAATAGCAGTTTTTAAAATAATGATGCATAAGAAAATGTACATTCTGAACAAGAAATGACACAATTAAGAGCTTTACCTGAACTTTGCCTTCATAAGAAATGAGAGTTCCTCCCTTAACATCAGCTAAGGTTTTGGGTGTAACCTCCATACAGTATTCGTTCTTGTTCAGGATCAAGTGCTTCAAGATTTCTGCAGTAAATAGTCCAAGGCGAGCAAGACAATTAGCATGGGATTTTCATGCACATTTTTGTGATCAACTATATAAAACAACTATGAGCAGACTACGAAAAGGACATACTTAAGTCAACGATGGCACCCAAGTTGTCTGAATTGGCAACGAACACATATTCCTTACCCTGCGATACCAAGATAGCCAAATTTTCAATAAACATGGACATCTATCTTAAATGCTGGGGAAAACAGTAGTCGACTGATTTAAAGAATGAACCTGTGATAAGAAAGAATCGAGCTTTCCACTGTTCATGAGGGATGGGAATACATCACCATGACCGGGAGGATACCTTCACAAAGATAAATCATTAGTAGGCGATCTGATAGACTAAAGAAGGTATTCATTAAAGGCAATCATGGACTGATCTCAGAGAGCACAAGGCATTATTATTTCAGCTATCAGTTACGAATTAAACAGTGTCACCTTGCATAAGAAGATCTAATGTGACTCAATATGAACAAGAACAAAAACCATCTACAAGTATCAAGATTAGAGTAAACATGAAATTGTTTTGAGTCTGTTTACGGTTGCTGTTCAGTATTTAAGGGCAGAATGAAACATTTCAATAGTTTTGATGCAGTTGAAAAACTTGAGTGGTAATGAAGCACAAGAAGGCTAAACAAAGAAAAAACTAATAGGTAAAATCCAGTGGATACTGAATAGTTTGACAAAATGAAACCGTACCAGCCATCCTTGTCGGTCTTTCCCTTGCTCGGCCATGGCACAAACTCATCTGCGACAACACGGGGATATTTGCTCTAGAATATCCAAGTAAACATTATTAGTTGCAGATCTTATGTCAGTTATTCCATACAAACGAAATTGTAATTTGATATGCATCCCCCACCACAAACCTGGTTAAAAGTGTGAATATCAACATTTGACTTGGTGTACTTTTCCACAATCTGAATATGACAAAAACACAGTTAGTCTAACATAAATTTAGAAATGAAGAAATGTGATCCCCAGTGAATAAAATTACCTTTTGTGTGTCATCATGTGTGTTAAACGAGTTCATGAGAACCAATGGAACCTTGCAGCCATACTTGTTGTTGAGATTCTGTGGGTGAGCAATATAATTGGCGATTAGATTAGGAACACTAGAAAGGTACAAGGGCAGAGTAATGAAGAAATAGACGAACCTCAATCTGGATAACAATCAGATCAAGGAATGTCAAACCATCACGAACTTCAATTACCGACCTGCACAGAAAAAAAAAAGCAAAATATAATTTCTTCACTTGCTGAATCTCGGAATGACTGCTATGCCAAAATTTCACATCTGTTCACTAGCTTTTGAATGTTACATCTACACAGTAATGAAAAACAAATTCATACTGTAAAACAAGAGAACAGGCAACCAGAAATTCTAAAGGCTTACTTGGGGCCAGTGCATCCCATTGTTGTCCCAAGACCTCCATTAAGCTTTAACACAACAAGTTTGTCCAACAGATTCTTAGTCTCGGAAACATCTATACACCATTTGTAAACATAAAACGTCGTTTTAGTATCACAAAGAAACTGCAATCATATAAGCAGAGAACAAAAACTTCTAAACCAAATCGGTATAAGTGAAAACGAATAATACCTTCGGAGACGGTAACCATTTTCTCGTAGGGAACAACGATTTCATCAGTAGGTGTCTGGATCTTACTCCACTCAATGTGCTGTGCCTCACCGCTTCAAATTCATATCAAATAAAAAAACCGAGGAGCTAATTTAGTCTACTGTTACGTAAACGATGACAACAACTCAGATCTACATCCAGAATCCAGATCTAATCGGAATTATAATGGTTTCAAAACGCAGCTAGGAAATTCAGACTGAAAATCGACTTCCAGAAATCAACCAGAATCTAGAATGAACCGAAAAGCTGAGAAAATACGGTGTATTGCTTGATCATCACAGAAAATCAACAACAAAACGATCGAATACGAAAGCATACATCCACAACTACATAATTTTGAAGCGGTAGAGAGAAAGTGCGAACCTCAGGTAGCGTGAAACGAGGTTGATGAATCCGCTCCTCTCATTCTCACTGAAACAAGAGGCAAAACAAACAGATCAGTCGAGAATCCATATAATCACGAACATCCAGATCTAGAATCTGAAGCCATAAAATATTGGATAGATTCTCGGAAGAAAAACAATCGAATCCAAACGCGAACCTCATCTCAGTGAGGCCATCGACGGCGGATTTGAGTTGAGGGAGATTCTCGGTAGTGGCGGCCATTTCCGATTATCGATTAGAGCTTCCGATCCAGAAAAGGAAAACAAAAACGAAGAAAAGGATTGTAACAAATGAAGAGAATGGTGATGGAAATTAAAGCAGAGATATATTTATAGGCCAATCGAGTTTTTCGGAGTAGTGGTGATGAAGTGACGATGCGTAATGTTACCGCATATATATATACATTGTCTTGTCTTTACCAATTAAACATTTACACGTTGCATTTTGCATGTCCGTCCGCTTTCGTTTCTTTTTTTATTACTACCGTCAACTTTTCAATTTTTTTTCTCAAAATTACGGTCTATTAACACTAATGAAGAAATTACGATTTGTGTTTTTTCTATACTTTTGAGACATTTAGATATGAAGAGATTGTTAAATTCTCATTCCGCGGTTTGTATAACAGCTAACTTCAAATTTTGTTTCATCACCTTATTCGTTTATTAAAATTTTAATTGTTTCATCTCAATATATATCATCAAACATATATCTCTAAATCAAATGGGAAAAAGTATTATTATAACCAACCAAAAGGTTCAAATTTCAAAACAATAAAAATCAAAAGATCCTTGTCCATCAAAAATCACCACAAGCAATTGAAACCATAAAAAAGAAAATCCAAAAAAAAAGAAAATCCAACATAAATAAAAATATCTCTTAAAAAGAGAGAAACAGAATCTTCCATAGAATATTCCCTCACTCACAAGAAGAACCATTGAGCATGACCTTGATCCTTTGAACAGTGGAGCTGATCAAACCATTCACTGCGTCCACTGACTTCTCATTCAGCTCTCTCCCCTTAGCCTCAAGACCGGAGAGAAGGATCTGAAAAGCCACCGTGAGCAAAGTTCCACCGTCATCACGACCATAATGACCACCGTTCTCAGCATCCGGCGCCGACATGGATCGCCTGCCGTTACTTGCAATTGTGAAACCAGAAGGAAGGATTGGAATGTTGAAAGGGTCGACTTCCCCGGAGACAGCGATTTTCATTGTTGTCGTATCGATAGGAGCGTACACTATCATGCCACCTAAGTCGTCCATGTAACAGTCTTGTACTATGGCCAAGTCGTTCTTGTCTGAGTCAAGTGCCATAAATATGCCAGCATTTTCTGTTTTTTCAGGCTGATACAAGTAAAAGTTAATTTAGAGTTATAAAAAACCGAAGAAGAATTATTAAGCGACCGTTCAGGAAAAGTGTGTACCTGGAGAAGGGTGACGCAGTTGGTTTCACTTGTTCCGGTGTAAACGCGAGCTATCTCAGCGACTAGCCTTCCATAGGAAAGAACGTCCCACTGTTACATGCAAACGTGTTTGTTGTGAAAACGCGATTTAAATCACTCATGTTTTGTTGGATAGCGTAGGAAGCTTTAGAACTTTGGTCAATCATAATCATACGATGTCATGGATGAATTCAAGCAAAAACTACCGAAATAACCTTTTTTAGCCAGCCATACGTACTAACCTACTAGAAGTCTATAATATGAATAGAAATGTTCAATCCAGATAAACCAAGTAAAAAGCAATCTTAATATAGTGGCTTTGATGTCACTATAATTACTATTTCCCCCTAAACCCATAAAAATCTGACCAAAATCCATATTAACACTCCTAGTCTTATTCTTACGTTTCAACTCGACAATGACGATATGTAGGTGAAAAGAAGAAGAAAAAGAACCTCTTGACGATTGACAAAGTTTCGGAGGCGGTTGAAGACTTGCAACGGAGTGATAGGGACAGAGAGACAAGACGCAGCACAGACAACTAAACCGGACGGTTGACCCGGCTCAGTATTCAACCGGACAGAGATTCTGACTCCACATTTCGAGTGTTGCGGAAAGTCAACTTTCCCAGACATGCTCAGCATTTCGTTGAAGCTCTTCGTCATTCTTGCCCCTAATTTCATCACACTCCTTCTTCCTTCTCCTGTCTTTATAACTGCCAAAAACATAATAATTAACTTTATCAAACGCCACACTATTGTGGAAACAAGAAGATCAGAGTTTTCATCAAAGATCTATGACATTTTGACTCATCCATTGCAGAGATTAATTTACGCTGCCCGATCAAAATCAAATAACTTATGTAATAATTCAGTTAATGTTGGTCTTTCACGTAGAAACATATATAGATGGCCATAAGGGTTAGAATCTAGAAATTAAATAAAAATTATCTGAACAGCTTAACAATTTTTTAGCTGGTCGCAACTATGGTATCGTAAAAACATATTATCAAGAGAAAACCGACAAAAATGACATATGACCTTAATCAGGAACGGCCTAACAAAAATGATGGTCAGACCGGACCTAACTTTTGTTTTGTTTTTTGTCAATGACAGGACCTATCTTGATCCATTAAATTTTACAATTTTTTCACTTCAAAAACTAAAGTTACCTGAAGGATAGATCAGTAAACACTTACAAGATAATGTGCTAGTTTTATTAAAAAAAGCAAGCTATCCCTCACAACAATAGTTCACAAAAGTATTTTTTATTTGTAATTTATAATAAATAAAAAATCAATTATCAAAAAAAGTAAATCGAGGTATAAACGGATATAAAATTTCTCTTTCTTAATTTTTCAGCCAATATATTTATTTTTTGGAAAATAATTTTTTTTTATCTAATCATTCATATCTAAATTCGTAGATTTTTTCCATTTCATAAACGTAAAAAAAATATGTCATGGACCATTTGTCAACAGATAAAAAAGTTATATAATTTAACGAAAACACGGAAAAGTGATTGTCAATACAAAAATAATTGTTGGTAAACTGCAATTATCATAAGGATGAAACAATCATGCTACTCAACTTGACTAGTACAAAAGAATGGCATTTTTTAATCCTATCATATTTTTTGTTTTAACGTAGTCATTAGTTAACTTAGCCGTAAAAATAATACATACCTTCGCTCCAGTCATTAGGGGGAATGGTAAGAATGGAGGAGAGAGTCATCCTCTCACACATTCTCTCAAGTGTGACGATCCAACGTTTAGCACTGTAACCTGAACCTCCACGTAAAAGTTCTTTATACATCTTATGTGCTTCCGATTTCTCGTCTACTTCCACATGCTCTATCCATGTTACCTGAATAATTTTGATAACATTAGTAAAAGTACATAATGTATAGATATAAGAATATACGTATACATAGACGTATATGTGCTATATGGTGACCTTGGAGTGAGCATTGGGTAAGGTTTGGATGAGACAACCGGAAGGACGTTTGAAACAAGAAGCATTGACTTGGTCAAAGTTTACGATGCTGTGTGACACGTCAGCAACAATCCACGTCCCCTCATCGATCTTCTGGCAGCATCTGACGATCATGAAGTCCCTTGCTGGCACTAGCGGCGACAGAATGTGTAGTTGCTCCCATATCTATCAATTTCATCCACGTTAAAAACACCAAATGTGTGTATATATGTAAATAAATTCTCATAAGTCAAATTAGATTTTAGTGATTCCATTGATTAAAACAACAGAGCTACGAAAATCTTGGATAAACGTTTGGATATATAGTTCTTACCACTTGCAAGACATTGCTGTTTTCTTTGTCGGATCCGAGCACATGAATCGTCTTGGCCTTGCTCACGATCGTTGGAAAAAGCTCTTTCCATTTCTCCTACAATAAAAATATATATATATATATATATATATATATATATATATATATATATCATCCAGCGTGTCTCAAAAGTCAAATTGTAATTTTTTTTTTCTAGCATCTTAAACAGTCTTGATAATTTTTGGAATGATATACTGACCGAATCTAAGCACATCTCAACCAATTTTGTTGCTTCTATAGGAACAACCGCGACATCCTTGGAAGACTCGATGCGAGCACTCAAGCTCCTGAAATGTCTGGTCGCATGCGAGAACTTCTCATAGCTCTGTTGATCAATCACATATGTTCCATCGATAGACGATTGAACCCAAAAAGCTTCCTCGGTGAAAAACAGCCGCTTGAGCTCTTCAACCGCAACTGCTGCAGTTTCAGACAACTGCGCTATGTCCCTCTCAGAGAGTGGTTGTGGTTGGATGTTTTCACAAGTTGGTGGTCCAGATGAGCTTGATTGCTGGAAGATGTTGGTTGAATTAGTTCCATACGAGATGCGAGTATCAAAGATTTGTTGTCCTTGACCAGAAGCCTTCGAGTCCACCATGGTTGGTTGGATGGGCTTGCCCATGCATATGTCGCTGACCATGCATTCACGCTAAAATAAAAATAAACAGTTATCGCGGATTATCAATTAAAAACTATACACTTTCATGGTTCTTGAATCTTGAGTGTGTACATGCATGTATGAGTTATTGAATTTTACATCAGATTTTTTTTTTTAAATATTTGACAGCATATATACATCTAATATTTTTTTTTTTTCAAACAGATGAATATCTCTGTGTTCTTCAGTTTTAATTAAAAACATGATGATGGATCAAAATGACATCCGAAAACAAATTAAACAGTGAATATTAATGGATTTTTATTTTTAAAATATGAAATCAAATGATTACCTGCTCTTGGAGAAAGGCGTTTTCCAAACGCAGTTTTTGGACATTGTGGTTGCGTTCGTGCATGCCAAAAGGAGGACCACCACAACCTGGACAAATCACACTCTTTAATGCCTCTAGCATTGCTTCGTTCTCACACCGGATCCTTTCGTTTTCTCCACGAAGTATTAGGTTAGCGGATCTTTCCTCTTGAGCCTATAGCATATGAAACAATATTTTAAATAAAAAAAAAAATCTTCGTTGGAATAAAAAAAAAAAAAAAAAGATTTGCAAGACGAATACTTTGCTTTGAGTTCTTTTGTTCTGAAACCAAAATTTGACTTGGTCTGCCTCGAGATTCAGCTCTCTGCATAACTCTTGTCGCTGTATTTCGTCTGGATGAGGACAGTCTATGAAACAACTTCATTCCATTAAAAACCAAAAATCAGTTACTACAATCCAAATTTCATTAGCATTTCGAAATTAATAAAGAATTATTATTAAAAAAAAGTACGCTTCAAGTCTCTCGATCTGTTCCGGAGTGTGACGATGACAAGTCTTCTTCTCTCTTCTTGTGGCGTCTACCGAAGTATGTTGTTCATTGCCTGAGCTTCCACCACCATCAGAACCCATTTTGTTCTACAGCAAAGAAAATCAGATTTGCTCTGTAACAATATGTTTCTCTCGGTTACATCACAAGTTAATCAGTATTTTATAGGGGCAAAGGTGGTGCAACGAAAATTACAAAAAAGTACAATAGTGCGTAAAAGGAAAGGGAAAATATGGATATTTACAATTGGAGTGGGAAAGTTATGTTAAAGGGTAATTATTAATTTTATTTATTTAAAAATGCATTTGAGATATATATATATATATATATATACTTGCATTTTATCTTGTGTACAATGTATTGAGGGTGGGTGAACCAAATATATTTATAAAATATATATCAAAAGGAAAGCTTAATTTTTGGGAGAAACTTTTTTTGTATTTCTATTTATCATTGGTCGGTTCATTTTTGAGGATAAACTCAAACCACATATTTCTCTTTTAGTTTAGAATTATATTAAAGTACTACAGATACAAAAAAGGTTTCCCAAAAACAAAATTAACATAGGAAATTTCAAAATAATTTCCTGATAAGAAAGATTTTGTCTATAACTACAAATTTCATATTTAATAAATCTATAATTTATTTTATGATTTTCATTAATTTTAAAACAATGATAGTCGACATAACCTATAGTTACAGTTACATTAGTTTATCATCTATATATTTATATACCACACGAAAATATATATATAAAATAATCTATAGTGTCAACCAAGCCTTAAAAATTAGATTTTTCTGTTAAATGTTAAAGTTTTGTATCTGAGTGTCTTTATTATTATGAAAGCATGTGTTAATCATTATGTCAAATTTTAGTAAAATAAAAGAAATTTTAAAAATATTTTTTCTTTATTTTTAAATATTACTTAATTAGTTTACTTATACCTTTTTGTAATGTACAGCTCATTCAACAACTTCTAATACCAAAACTAGTGATTTGGTATAATCCAAAAGAAAAATGATTCATGGATGAGTCACAAGAGAAATGAAAACATTGGATTTAGATCCGTTAGAATTAAAAATATAACATATTTATTCAAGAAAATCTAAAGAAGAATAGTTTAGTACGTCTTGACAAAACCGCGCCGAAACATATGTTCACTCACATCCTTAGCCTGTAAATAAACTTCCAACTGGACTAACTTTTTTTTAAAAATGTATTAGAAAATTTATTATACATTAAGTATAATGTATTTAAAAATGTATCTATGAATTAAGTATAATGTATTAAGACCACTCCGAAAAATGTAATATATTTAAAAAAAAAATGTATTAAAAATGTATTTTTAATACCGTCCAAAGAAATGATACCTATAATGTATTAAAAAATTTGTATTCCAAAAACGGACTATTTTTTTTTTTTTAAATGGACGAAATTAATTTGCGAAAATATCTATTTATCCTAAATAAATTACACATAAAATTAAAATATTACGTTTGAATGATTTTTTCCAACTGATGTTTAGGTTTTCTGATAAAAACAAGTTTTGAATCATTTTATTGGAAATAGTTTATTTATAAGTTTATTTGTAGGAAAAAAAAACTTTAAAACACTCTAGAGAATTGCCCAAATATAAAACACACATCGTCTTCGCAGTAGTTTTAAATGAGTCCTCCAAAACTCAATGGACAGTCCTACTAGCTAGTTGCAATCACTTACAAGTGATTAGTCTAACCCAACTCAAGGTGATTCAGCAACGATCGCGTCTGGACCGTAGAGCGTGTATTCTGAATTTTTCCAACCCAAAAATAAGTTTTTCCGAGAGAACCAGTTTTAGTCTAACCAATTCACAATGAAACCCAATTAGCATTGGACTCCCAATGTTCGTTCATAAGCACACTCCGAGCAAACTCGATTAGCTCATAGCAGACCCAATGATCATGAATCTTCTAATTCGGCCTGCTAACCTTAATAAACAAAATCAAGATCCAACCCATACACAACACGTGCCTTGTGTGACCGAGTACTTGTGTGACCGAGTCATCATTCAAGGTTTGAAGAATCTTGTGTTTCTTGTCGTGTTCACACCCAACGGCTGATTCTATATTTAGATTAGTCGAGATCATCAAACCATACATCATTCGATCAACCACAATCAAATCAACGATCAAAATTTTTTTTTCCCTTCGCCAAGTTTCAAACTCAACGGCTCTTTCCATATCCAAATATCAAACATCTTGCACAACGAATATATTCTCCAATTGGATTAGTTTGAAAAATCTTTGTTCTGATTTTTACGTTCATAAATTAAAAAGGTAGCAATACATAACAACAAAAATTAATTTGATTTTAATGTATTACAAGCCTAATCAGTTTTTAGTAGTTTTGCAAAAGGATACAAAATAGTATCAAAACAGTGCATGAGTACCACACGTAACTACTTAATTATTAAGTGGGTCCAAATTTGAAAGAACAATAGACTTTAATTGGCTTTAACAACTGTGACTGGACACGTCGCATTTGTCACCACATGATTGCTCACACTACCCAGCAACATCCTACAAATCAAAAGAAAACACTGATTAATTAATCCACAATTTAAACCAAACTGGATTAAAACTTATTCCAGCTGCTGAGACAAACTAGCTTCTGTTCTGATTGGGTTTCTAGTCTTTTTTGTTTTTGGGTATGAATTAGGTTTCTACTTCCTCCTCTATATAATGAAAATCCGAAACAACTCGAACCGAAATGTACTTATACCTTTTGAGAGGACCCAAACCTCGACTGCCAAGAACAATGGAATCGAGTTTCAGATTTTCGACGGCATCGCATAGTTTCTCCCTTGGATCTCCCCAATACACTTTTGCCACTACCCTCACCTTTAATTTTGTTTTAAGTTTAAAAAATAGTGTTTACCAAAAAGAAAGTTAATTAATCAAATCATTAACCATAACGATAGTTGTAACTTGTAAGATTGCGACAAGAACATTACCTTTTTACACCTAGAGAGAGTATCAAGAACATCAAGAACCTCAGGATCATAAGCAAGTCCATACTGTTTAGAGAAATTAACCTCTCTAAATTCCTCCAGAGGAACTAACGCTGCAATATATGATCAATTATTTTCAAATTTCAAAACAAAAATAAAGAACTTTCTATTTTAAGACAAAAACAAAATAACGAGTTTAGTTGAAATACTATACATACGTGAACCGGTTTCCTCGAAGAGGATCTTGCGGGTGTGATCGGCGTTTTGGGGTTGAACATGAATCAAGATGACGGTGTCGCCATCTTCAAGGATATTCTCCGCCGTCCACCGAAGAGCCGACTTGCTCGTCGGAGAATAATCCATTCCCACTCCCACCGTACGTGCTTTTCCCATTTCTCTCTCTATCTCTCCTTCTCGATGATTTCTAAGTAGAACTAAGAATTAACTACGGTAGCCTAATTTATAGTACTATGTATAAACCGGTTTGATGGTTTTGGAGAATAATAACGCACACAGAATTCTAGATATTTAATGATTGTCTTTTTCTTTTGACTGTTTTTGGATTCTGAGGAGGAGATTCTTGAAGCTACTAGGTCTCTCTCTTGCTTACTTTTTCCTAAACACACAACAAAAAGTTTCTATTTATAAATAGTTAGTGTTTTAAAGATTTATATAAATTTTTAAATAAAAAAGATTTTTTTTTTTTGGTTGTATAAAAGAGATATCTTCTCTTTGCATAACATCCCATAAATCGTGTAGTTAAAAACAATTCACAGTTCAAGTTTAGAGTTGGTGTATTCATGAAGATTTTTCAGCTACATATAATAAACTTGATATTGAACCAAAATCGCAAACTGTTGGCGAAAAAGAAAGAAAATAATTTTTCTATTTTGTTAATGAAGGCCAGAGAAGATACGTATTCGCATAGGTAGTGTATTAATGAATTCTCTTTATTTCACTTGCTCTCCAAGAAAATAATATTCTTTGTAAACTTTCAGCAAAAGGCAAAAAGTATCCTTCAACTTTGCTGCTTTTACTAGTTTTTATTTGTTTATTGATCGATGGAACTAGCTACCAACATATCAAAGCTAACTGTGTTCTTTCATTTTTTTATATAAAGTAGTAAACATTGGGTTTAGAATTTTCGAGGGCTTGGAAAAAATAAATTCTGTTGTATTTTTGTTTTTAATTGTTACCGCAATACTTAAAAGAAAGAAGGTCGTGATACTAAAACATAATTTAGAACAAGAACGATAGACTTAAATAAAACAAGCACAACTAGAAGATCATAAAGTAACCTTAAATGATGTAAATAAAAAAACAGTAACCTTAAACAAATCTCGATCAATTATTGATGTAAGTGCAAAACTGCTTGACGGAACTACTAAAGAAAGTGTTGCTAAACGGTTTGAAAACGGCTTGTGTACAGTCTTCGTCGATCTCAACAATGGCCTTGCAACATTCGGGTCCTATCGTGATTTGACGGTTATAGAACGACCCGAAGATTTCAGCCATGCAGGCCTCTCCGTCTCCTAGGTCCGGGAAGCACCTCGTAGCTAGCTCGCTATTGTTGCCGCTACCGTTACCGGTACTTCCACCGAAGATGGAAGGGAGCGAAAACGGAAGCGAAGGGAATGAAAATGGAAGCGAAGGAAATGAGAATGGAAACGGGAACAAGGAGAATGCAGTTGCGGTTTGCGGCGCAAAAGAGGATGAGAGGAGAAGAATGACGATGAGAGAAATTGACTTCATCGTGAATAATTAACAAACGTGAGTGATGGTGGTTTTTGATGATTGAGTCTTGGTGAGGGCTTAAAAGGTGTTTAGGGTTTTGTATTTATAAGCGGATAAAACAAAAAAAATCTTAGAGAGGAGATCTTTCAGTTACACTAAAATATGAAAAAGATGAGATCTTTTAGTTATGATTCTAGCGTTTAATTCGTTTGATTCCGACGATGTTATCATGTTACTAATTTAATTGTTCAAATGAAGTTTAAATAGTTTCTGGTGGTGATGAGTGTGTTTAAAACACGAAAGCATCAAACTTATACGAGTTTGTAAGTTGTAACCAAAATGTCTTGAAGTATTATGAAACAAAGTTCTCGATTATTAATCAACTTAGTATGAATTTTTTTAGTAATATTATGAGAAACGCAAATATCCGGTTTAGTGGTTTACAATGAAGTTTGAATGTGGCAAACAATTCAAAAATAATAATGTTAATTAGCTAAAAGAAAATGTTAGACATTGAAGCAACAATCCCACGGACATAATGGAACCATTGCAACAATGAAGTCAAAGGTTTCTCAATAGAATGATAGATCAAGGAAGTGAGCGTGGATCCCACGCACGCGTTCTCTAGTTTTTAGCTAATCTACTTATTAATCATTGCATTTTAAAAAAAAAGTTATTATATTTTATCATATCGTATGATTTAAATTTCGAGATAACAACTGGAAGTAAAGCAATAAAATAAAATTTGCGTCCTTCCTTCCACACTTTGAGCCTCTAATTTAGTGTTGACATATTTATAGTAATGTTATTAGTATCATCACCGTCTTCTCGCAATGTTAAAGATGATATAGCTACGTTGACTCGACGAATTAAAAATATGTTTGTTCTTTCCAGTTTAAATAATTTTGAGTCTTTGACTAATGCATTATCATTCTAATCTTATTAAACACTCTTTGTAAGGTTACATAACATAAGAAAACCAACGAAACAAAACATTCCAAATATTACAAAGTTGCATAAAAATATCATACCCTAATATTCAGGGTACGTCCCAATCGAAATATTAACTGTTTCATAAACTCATCAAAACATGTCAATCAATATTCGGTTGATAAAACGCGTAGCAAACTATGAATAAAGACATCGTATTATAAAATGAAATTGTTGAGACTCCATTACCTTTTTACGCGGAGTAAAATGAGAAAACATGGTCTTATACAGTCCATAGTCATCTAAAGTTACGGCTAAATATGTATAAAGTAATAAAAAAACGCGGATTCAGCTTATCTAGCTAATCTAAGGTCAACGACTATTGGCAAAGCTGTCCATCTTCACCATATTTTATACTACTATTGTCATTTTTCTATTTTAATTATGTAAAATTTTCAAAATCATTCTCTCGTATTTAATTCATATATAAGCTTCCCTTGTCATCTTCGATCCTCTCCAAATCAGTTTTATCTCACACTCGTATAATCTTTAGATCGTCGTAATAACAACAACAATCGACAAATGGGCAACTATGTTTCATGCGCTCTAAGCCAAACGACATCGTCTGAGTCATCATCATTATCATCACCGGCGGCTAAAGTGATTCTCCCGGACGGTGGAGTCCGTGACATCCACGCGCCGATGAAAGCAGCCGAGCTCATGATGGAGATGACAAGCCATTTCCTCGTGGACGCCAAATCGTTGAAAATCGGCCGGAAGTTCACTCCACTCTCGGCCGACGACGACCTCGACCTCGGAGGCAGCCATGTGTACGTGGCATTCCCGATGACACGTCTCGCATCAGCAGCCAGCGCCTCCGACATGACTCGGCTCTTCCTCGCCGGAAAGAAACGCACGAAAAGCTGTGACAATAGGAGAGTGTCTCCGGAGGACGAGGAGGAAGATGATGGCGTCAGGCTGATCCGAGCGAAGCTGAACCTGGAAAACATAGAGGACTTCTCGGCGGCGGAGTTTATTCATCGGATCTCTGTTTCGAAATCCAAGAAGCCACATTTGGAGACAATTATAGAAGGACACGTGTCGTAACACAGCGAAAACGATCGATTTATAAGAAATGAAGGATACTTGTCGTAACACAACGAAAACGATCTAATTTTAAAAAAATGTTATTTTCGTTCCTCTTTTTCAAAATGCTTCTCTTTTGTCGTATTAATGTACGGAAGTAGACATTATTAGTCGAGAAATTACATGCGATATATTTATTTATTTTTCAGTTATGTAAATAACATTTTCTAGGAGCTTGTTAATTACTAACGTGTGTGATTTTTTTTTTTTTTTTTTGGTTTTAACTAACGTGTGTGATTTCTTTTCGTGTGTTAGATTTCTTTTCATATGAACATAAGCAAATCTTATAAAAACAGAACAGCTACATAAACACATTATATTCAAATTTACTATTCAACATTAAGGTGAAGAATTTCTCTTAATAGCTAATGCGAACCAGGGGGTATAATTGGTAAATTTGTTATTTCATACTACATGCATGGGAAACGTAAAACATGGGTGGTCAGAAAAAACTCCGTACATCAAATTTGTTCCTTTTATACAAAGCTGTCTTCATCCAACAATGTGACAATGTGACGTATACATATTTATCACAGCTGCCGGTTTCTTTTTTTTTTTTTTTTTTCATCAACCTCTATTCCTAAACCAACTCAGTGATCCCAAGCCCGTGGAACAGAATTTTTACATAATACACATCAGTAGGTAGAGCTCGAGCACTGCGTGCTAACTTGTCTGCCTTCGTGTTCTTCTTTCAGTTTTTTTTTTATTACTGAATTTTAACATTGTAATCAATTAGGACTGAACTTTTTCCTGTTTTTATTTTATATACTAGCAATGTTTAGATAACTAATTTTCCTATTCAAATTTTGAATTACTACGTCTTGGTTTTTTGTTGTTGTTAAAGAACAGTATGTATTAGTATTTCAATATCAATTGATTATATTTGTATAGACTGTCGAAATGATTTTTTGGTGGAGTTGAGCAATGTTGATAATCTGTCCACATCTAACCTATATTCTCAACAAATTTAGAATAAATATCTTTGACGATTTGTCTAATATGTAAGCGTAAATTTTCATAAATGATGTATGAGTAACAAAAGGAAGAAAAATAGGATCAACGCACACCACAAACACACAATTCTATTGGCGGGAACTTTAGCCGGGCAAAATGATACTCTATTTAGTTTCATTTGTAGTACTCTTTATAATTTCGTTTACGTCTGCTGTAAATTTATCCCTTTTCTGTCAACTAATTCATTTACGTCTGCTGTAAAGAATACCACCACATACTGGAAATCGTTTAAACTGAATAAAAAAATTAAATAATGTACACAAACAAAAATAAAAGAAAAAAGAGGTTGGGTTCATCGTTATCCGCCTCTTCTCCATATGGTAAATAGCATTTTGAGAACCAGGACAGGTCACAACCGTCCAAACCTCACAAGGTAATTCTCACTCTACTTTTTATCGTTTTTTCGAGGTGACTTCCTTCTCTCTCTCTTCTTTCTTTCTTTTTTGATCGAAAGCCTCCTTTTTCTTCAATTTTGTTTTGTTTTCTGGGTTTTATATATATGAACATCTGAAAACCCACAAAGGTCATCTCATTGTCATTTCTACTGCTCATAACTTCTCTCACCTCCTTCTTCTTTTTTGATCAAAACCATAAATTTTGTTTTGTTTTCTGGGTTTTATACGAGCATCTGAAAGCCCACATTGCTCATTCTCACTCTATTCATCGCTCGTTCTCACTCTGTTCATCTGAAAAGGTCATTCCCTCGATCTCTTCCTTTTCTTTTTTGATCCAAAACTCTATTTGTCCTAGTTTTTTTTTGTGGGTTTCACTGTTCATCTCTTTCGATAGTGTATATCCTCTCTCTTCCTTTTTTTTTTTTGCATCGAAACTCTCTCATTAATTTTCCTGACTTTTGTTTCTCTGGGTTTTCTAAAATCTGTATCTTGCGCCATTGTTTTAAGTAAATTACATCATCGTCTAGAAAGCATAGCTAATACTGTTTGTATCTTCTCTCGCTTCCCATTTTTTTTTGCATCGAAACTCTCTCTTTTCCTGATTTTTGTTTAACTGGGTTTTCTAAAATCTGTATCTTACGCCTTTGTTTTAAGTGCATTTAGAAAATAAATTACATCATCGTCTAGAAAGCATAGCTCATACTGTTTGTTTCTTCTCTCACTTCCCATTTTTTTTGCATCGAAACTCTCTCTTTAATTTTCCTGATTTTTTGTTTTTCTGAGTTTTCTAAAATCTGTATATTACGCCTTCGTTTTAAGTGCATTTAGAAAATAAATTACATAATCGTCTAGAAAGCATAGCTCATACTGTTTGTATCTTCTCTCACTTCCTATTTTTTTGTTTAATTGAAACTCTCTTTTCGTAAAACAATTTTCTGGGTTTTTTTAAATCTCATTCACCGATTTTTTAATTTGTTTTTGTGTTCGCAGAAATGGATAGTGACGGAGGATCTGGTACCATTGGCGGTGGAATCGGCATGGCAGGTGGCGACGGCGGAATCGGCATGGCAGGTGGCAGCAGGGGGAGAAATGAACTCAAACTTGAAGCTGAATCTCGTCGGAAAGCTCAACAACGTCTTCCCCAAGCTGTGGGCTTACCTCCGTTACGGGTATCTTTGATAAACTTGGTTGTTAATAGTTTCATTAAGAGTTTTTTTTTTCTTTTTAACCATGTCCATGTTTCATCTTTGTCAATCAGGTATTTGCGGATGGTAGTACTTTTATAAAAGACTGTAGCAACTCACATTCAGATCTATTTGATGAAATAGTTGATCAAACCACAGGTATCAAATATCAAAACCTATATGCCAATTTTAATTAAGTTAGATTTTGATGATTGTTTGAGATGTTTATTTTATGTTAGACTAACAATGTTAATTATATATTATATGTAGACATATGCTGGGCTCTAGTTTTGGCTTTGATTCTACAGTATGCCTACAATAAAGATCGTCCACGTAATCAACGGGAAACTTTGGACGTAGAAGGGTTTGCGAGAAAAGTCAAATTGACAAATGAAGAGATACTAGCTCACAAAAAGTTGGATTCAAAGGCCATGGCTGTTGGTTCTTTGAAGAAAGCCATGAACCATATATCCTCTGTAGGAATTGAAAGAGCTGATGGAAGGAAGGTAACAATGTTTCTAACACTGTACATGGTTTTATTCACCCAATAAATAATAATGTACATGGTTTTATTCATGATTAACATCTTTTATTTGTATTTATATTGTAGAGACCAGGACAAGATGTTTTCACAGTAAAAGGTGTATTTGTTCCCGAAGAAATTGTTCAGTTGTTTGACAAGTACGGTCCTCTTGGTATCACTGTTGATTTGACCCCTGGTCTTCTTCAATTAAAAGAGGTAACTGGAGTAGGCTTTTTTTCTTTCTAAGTGGAATTATATCAGTATTCCAACAGACTAAGAAAAGTTAACTTATGCTAAACGTTTGCAGGGAATTTACATGGTTCCTAAGCCCCGAGATGGAGTACTAAGACATGCTCTCACAATCGTTGGATACGGAATGACAAAGGACGATAAGATATTTTTTGGTGTGATAAACACATGGGGGGAGAGGTGGGGAGTCAAAGGGCATGGAAGAATAATGATTGAAGGCACTACCGATGATATTTTTTTCCTGGGAGAACTGAAGTAGTCAAGGGGAACCGAAGAAGAAATAGTTGAGTCGTTAAAAGAGGTATAAACGGGTAGCTTTAATTGGTTTGAGTAAGTCTAAGATTGCTATTTCTATGAGTCAAAGTCTGATTTTATTAGTTTTTGTTTTTACTTCAAATTATGTTTTCTGAAATACAAGTTGGTCTCTTTTGGAACATCATTGCCTGATTGGAAAGTTTTCTACAGTACAAACTCTTAATTATTAAATAGAAATCCTCTTTCGGAACATGAATGGTTGATTAGAAAGCGGTGTACAATAACTACAACAAGAAAAATGACCCGCCAGGATTAAAACTTATCAAGACTGTTGTTCACTATTTTGTTCATACAAATATTTTTTAAGCAACACAAGTACTTGTGAGCTTAATTGTAAGAAAGTGGATCATATGGTAAAAAAAAAAAATTAAAGAGGAGGTGTTGATAATTTATCAGTATGATTTATTCTTAATTAGAACATAATAGTGCACAAAAGAAGAAGTTGATAACATTTTCGACGAGTTAACTTAGTCACACTAAAATGATAATTTATCAGCATGATTTATTCTTAATCAGAACATAGTAGTGCACAAAAGAAGTTGATAACATTTTCGACGAGTTAACTTATTCACATAAAAATGAACTCGGAAGTTTTCAGAGCTCGAGCAGCGGCTGCAACATGCATGGATGGCAAAATTACTAACAAACAACCTATCCTGCATAAGTTATAATCATGTAATATTATCATGACCATACACCTGCCAGTACGCATCCCTCCTCAATGCAGAGTGAAGGTATTCATTTTATAATATCTAAATATAAATAAACATAATCCATAAACCATTTAACTCCACAAATATTTCATACAATGTTTAAAGAAGCTTTTAGGTCACAAACACAGCTAACATTGACATAAACCTAAATCCAGGCTCAAGCTTTATTTCAATACATCATGTTCTTCCGCATAAATGTACCCAATCTGCAATTAGATTGAAGGGATTATAAATAAATTCAGATCTTCCGAAACTACAAGACAATATTTCCATCAATTGAACATAAATTAAATATACCAGTCTAGCGGTTAAGAGGGGCTGGTCTGCAGAGAATGGGAAAGGGAGGCCTATTATACCCTCCAGCAAAATCCATGGCCTTGGCTTGATACTCTACGGGATCCCCACCAGGATGCTCCCGTGCCATGAACGTGATGTACAGCTTCCACCTACCTCCTGCGCATATGTTGCCTCTCACAACACTTAGGAATTCCACCGTCGACCCCTAGCAAAGAAAAGTGAAAGTGAGATTCACATTCACATGATTCAATCATTTAAAAACAAAGAATCATTCATTTAGAAAACAAAGAATTGATTGATCACCTCCTCCTCGTTGAGTTTCTTAACACACAAACGTGCAAGATCCGCCAAGTACTCCCTAGTAGTAGTCTGTGTAGTCCAAGGTTCTTCCAGATCCACAATTGGGTAGATGTTGTTGGCTTCATCTGGTAAAAATCCCTATACCAAAAACCATTTCAATTTTACGCCAAATTGATGTTTGATTAACAAAAGGGAAGGGAATAGTTGATTACCCTGTCCTTCAAAGCCTGTTTCCTACTTTCGCAGAATTCTTGGTAATCCTCGTCGTTCTGGAAGTAGCCACGGGACTCCGGATTCGGTACAAATTCATCAAGATCATCAAAGCTGTCTTTATCCCACTCCGGTTCCACTTCTCGTGCGGGTGGATACTTTAAGTATCCTTTCGGTTTGGCCTTGGCTCCGGCGTCGTCGAATTCCTCTTCGCAATCGCCGCCTTCTTCCAGGTTTACGCCATCTTCATCTTCCATTTTGGGTTTTTTATTGTGAGTTTCCTCTTCTGTCTCCGAATGTCGCTTCGCCGCCGTCACATCGGTGCTTTCGGTGCTAGTCATCGTCGCCGGCGGAGAAACAAACAAACCTAGAAATATCTGATTTGGGAATTTGCAGGAAGATGGAAAATGAATTCCATGGATATTTACACACAGATATATGGCCTATATTTGGGCCAGAGACTAACCAATAAAAGGCCCAAAGTATCTTTTACGACTTAGCCCGTTTGCTAGCGGTTTTCGAGAAAACGATAAACAGAATCAAAATCAAATATTGGGAAAGTACTAATAACCTTGAAAAGTGTCCATGATTATTAATTGGAAAACTGGAAATGATTTAAGATTTTCATCAAATTTTTTTGTAATTGGGCATTGAAGGTTGAAACCCTTTACCTATATCGGTCTAATCAAAATTTAACCTTTTGATTCGTAACGGTCATAATCCTCTGTTTCCATGTATACTTATAAAAAGTTAAGACTCTCTTTTGTCGTATTGATGTACGGAAGGAGACATTGGTACAATAATTGCATGCGATAGTATATATTTATTTTCTCCGTTATATTTTTGGAGTACATATCTTGCTTCCCAAGTTACTCCATAGCATTTTCTTGTTAATTACTAACGTGTGTGATGTGATTTATTTGTTGGCGTGTGTTAGATTTCTTTTCATCAGAAGAAAGACAGATCTTATAAAAAATCAGAAAAGCTAATTACAAGAGCTCAGCATAAATGTAACGAGGGTTTAAGAGGGGCTGGGTCTGCAGAGAATGGGAAAGGGAGGCCTATGATATCCTCCATTAAAATCCATGGCCTTGGCTTGATACTCTACGAGATTCCCATCCGGATGCTCCCGAGCCATGAACGTGATGTACAGCTTCCACCTAGCTCCTCCACTTATGTTGCCTCTCACAACACTTACGAATTCCACCGTCGACCCCTAACAAAGAACGATAGTGAAAGTGAGATTCACATTCAAGGCATGAATCAATCATTTGAAAACAAAGAATTGGATCACCTTCTCCTCGTTGAGTTTCTTAACACACAAACATGCAAGATCCGCCAAGTACTCCCTCTTAGACTGTGTAGTCCAAGGTTCTTCCAGATGCACAATTGGGTAGATATTATTGACTTCATCTGGTAAAAATCCCTATACCAAAAACCATTTCAATTTTACGCCAAAATGATGTTTGGTTAACAAAAGGGAATGGGGAATAGTTGATTACCCTGTCCTTCAAAGCCTGTTTCCTACCATCGCAGAATTCTTGGTAATCCTCGTCGTTCTGGAAGTAGCCACGGGACTCCGGATTCGGTACAAATTCATCAAGATCATCAAAGCTGTCTTTATCCCACTCCGGTTCCACTACTTGTGCGGGTGGATACTTTAAGTATCCTTTCGGTTTGGCTTTCGCTCCGGCGCCGTCGAATTCTTTATCGAGTTCGCGTTCTCTTTCGTCTTCCATGTCCATTTCCTCCGTCATAATGCCAGTCATCGTCACTGGAGAAACAAACAAACCCTAGAAATATCTCCTGATTTCGGAATTTCTAGGTATGATGGAAAATGAGAGAATTCGATGGATGATCATATATATACTGTATATTACAGATTGTATATATGCCTATATGTGGGCCGATAAAAGGCCCAAACTATCTTTACGACTTTGCCCGTTTGCTGGAGACCTTTTTCAACGTGTTTATTCGTCAAGATTTTAGATTTTTTTTCATATGAACAAAAGCAAATATTTTTCCGATATAACAGAATCAAAATCAAATCTTGGGAAAGCAATAATACTCGATCATTATGAAGCCTGTCTCTTGAAAAGTGTCGATGATAGTAATTGGAAAACTGGAAATGATTTAAGATGTTCATTAAATGTTGTAATTGGGCCTTGAAACTAGACTTGAACCATATCTCGGGAAACCACAACTCGACCTTTTGATACGTAACGGTCAAAATGCTCTGTTTCGACGTCTCTATAAGAAGTAGTACGATTCGTTTACTCCTCCTTCATTATCACAAGCCACAACATTGTTGACGATTAACTTTCCTTGTTACTCAACAATGGCCCAACCAACACGTAACCGAGAAAGATCATATTCAGTATCACAGATCGACGACATCGACGAACTCAACCAACCGTGTGATGGTGATTTCTGTTCCGAGTCTATCTACCGTCTGTCGATTACTATTTCCAAGTATAATCATCTCCCGGATCAGAGTGTTTCAGTAGAATACCTGCCAGAGAATCAGAAACTGCAGATCCCAGCTGCGATGGGAATGTCATTGACACCAACGAACTCGAGCCTCTGCGGCGTCACAAACCACACTCTCTATTATTCTACTACGTTCTGGAAGCTCGCTTCAATGTCCTACACCGAAATAGCCTCACTTGTGAAGACGACGACCAATGGTGAGGCGATCCGTGAAGTAATCGACGGTCTTGAAATGGTGACACCCGTTCCCGAGAGACCTAGCCGGTGGGAGACGACGGAGGCAGATTCCGACGAAACGTTTGGTAAACTAAGCAGGATTTTACGTTTTAACTGCGATATACGAGATTTTGGTTATCTTCTTACTGAGGACGCTACTGTCACTGACTCTGCGTGGTCTGAAAACGTTGAGAATGTTCCTCATTCCCGTTTACAGAACAAGCTGAAGCCATACACTCTGCAGATGATCGCAGCTCTTAACCATGGCCCTGTTGGGAACTATCCTCTTGGAGCTTGGGTTCGTGCTTACGGATTAGGGTTTGGGATTTATCCTGATCGAGGCAGCGCCTATAAGGTTGAGTCGGTTTACACAACTGAGATGCCTTCTACAGATGACCAAACCGCGGTTCTTGCGTTTCAACATAGCTACGGAGAGACTCTTGCCAACCTCTGCTTAAACATCTTGGCGGTTTTCGGGTTACTTCACTTGAGCAAGGACAAGACTTACGTTAGAGGAGATGACTACATGAATCGGATTGGGAAATCTTATTTGGAAGCGCTTGAGATTCCGGATACCTCGAAGAAGTTGCTTGGTTTGATGATGGCAAAGCATAAGGAGTGTCTTCTACGCGTCGCGCCTCATCCTTTTGGTCTTGCGCAGACGTATTGGCTTGCGAAAGTTATGTACATGCATGAGCTTCTGATGCCTTCACTAGCTCTTCGTTTCCATCATGCGACTCCTCCTCCGGTTCAGAGGATAATGGTGGTATGTGAAGCTGCTAGAGAGTGGGAGAATATTCCTGAGGCGAGTGACGTGTTGGAAATGTTTAAAGACAAGCTTCCTCGTTTAAAGGCTCAGGAGGTTGCTATAAAGGAAGCTCCTCCTAGGTATTCGGATTTGTATCGGTTATATGGATGTGAAGAGAAGATGGAGATATCAGGTGAAGTAAGGGACGATTTGATCGCTTTTATGCCTGCTACTTACGGTTATGCGATATGGTTGCACATGTTAGCGAGGACGGTAAGAAGAAGGATGGTATCGCTCTGGCTCGCTGTCTCAAGAGTGTCGAACGTGATATGAAGAAATCGGGGATTTTCTGGAAGAAGTTGTGGAGAAACAAGTTGCCGTCCTCCTCACGGTAGAGATTAGAGATGATAAAACTCTATTCATAATAAGAGAAATAAGAATTGAGAAGCAAACCAACGTGTGTTGCATTAATAAGATCGTTAGATTAAATAAAGGATTCGTACTTTATTATTTTTTTGTTCTTAAATTTGGATTAGTATATTTTAATTGTGTAAGCACGTCCGAGGAATTTTTTTTGTGATTTAGTTCTCTTGCACGTAGTTATTAGACGAAAAAATAATAATCAATATGTATTAATTGTTGTTAGAATCAAAGATTAGTAGGAGAAACATGGCGAGATCGCTCAAGAAATCAGTCAAGTTGAGGCTAAGACATGTCCGGATCCGTTCTTCATCAATCAGGTTCAAACCGGATGCGAGTTCCATAGAGAGGGACCAAAGAATCGAGTTTCTCGGAGGAGACAATGGTGTTGTTGAAGAGGAAAACGACGGTGATAGCAGCAGCAGCAGCGAGTATGAGGAGCTTGAAGAGGAGGAGGAGGAAGAAGAAGGAGAAGAAAGAGATCAAGGAGAAGAAGAAGAACAAGATGATGGCAAGAACGTTGTAAGCGGTGACAAATGCGAACGCGAAGAGACTACTGTGGTGGCGGTTGAAGCGGCAGAGGCGGAGATAACCGAGGCCGGGAACAGAGTAATGGTGGTGGTGGACAAAGTGATTGCTTCCACCGGAGCTCTTGAATGGGCTTTGAAGCACACATTACAATCACAAGACTATCTTTTCCTCTTATACTTCTCCAAGCCCTTTAGAAAAGGTTATCTCTTCAACTTTATATCACAAGTTTTTTATAGATTTGATCTCTAAGGGTTTTGAGTTTTGTATAGGCAAAAGAAAGAACCGAAAACGTGAAGTTAAGACTGACGAACTCGTCCATACTCTAAAGAAACTCTGCCAAACAAAGCGTCCCGGAGTGAGTCCAAATTCTAACATTATTAGCGTTTGCTGCGTTTTTCAAAACGCTAAAATGTGATTGATTTGATTGTGTCAATATAACAGATAGAGGTAGAGATAAGAAGGCTAGAAGGGAAAGATAAAGAGAAAGGAGAGAAGATAGTGGAAGAGGCTAAAGAACAGCAAGTGAGTCTCTTAGTGGTCGGAGAAGAGAAGAAACCTCCGGTTTGGAGGTTAATGAAGAGATGGGGATGGAAGAAACGGAGAGGCAGAGCCGGAGTTCTCAAGTATTGCCTTGAGAAGGCTTCTTGCATGACCATTGCTGTTAAACCAAAGAACCGTAAGCTTGGTGGTTATTTGATCACAACCAAACGTCACAAGAACTTTTGGCTCTTAGCTTAAAATTTGAAGCCATTTTCATCTTCCTTTTTTGGTCTTTGGACATTCTTATGTGTCTTTTTTGTAGAGATTGATTTTAGCTTTTGTTGCGTTCTTGCTTAATCAAAAGAGCTTTTGTTTTTGTTGGATCATTGTAATACGTTACTAAAGTCTCAATGAGAGAATAAAAGGATCACATGAATTTTGTAACAAAACAAATTAATCACTGAAAGACATACGTATATATACGTAAGCAATAAAAGAAGAATTAGTGAAGAGTTATTGAGAAAATTGATATAGAGCTAACCCAACAATAAGAATGACAATATCATAAGTCAAAAAGAGTTACTCTAATTAATTTAAACTCAACAAGAAAAAAAGAGAGGTTTAGGAGTCAAGGCTCTTCTTGAGTAAGCTTAGGACTTCTTTGTAAGCCAATTTCTTGGCCATCTTCTTATCAGAGGCCTTTGCAGTGTGAGCAAAACTCATCTCCTTAGCTTTCACTTCAACTGTGAAACAAGCTTCACCATTTTCGAAACCTTTACCTTTACTCAACTCGAACTGCGCTTTGTGGCATAACTCTGTCAGCTCTCTCACAGGATGCAACTTGACAGTCTCTGGAGTTATCATAACACCCAACAGCGGTTTTATACTCGCAAACACTACTTCCTTGTTGTAACCCGAATCAACAAATATCGCACCGGCTAAAGATTCTATCACGTCTCCAAGAACCTGATAATAGCAAAGACAAGCAAGACATTTAAAAGCTGTGTGAGAGCAAAGTTGTAAAGTAGATAGATAAAAATGTGTTTTACTTTACCTTAGGGAAAGATATATCGGAGTCCCATCCAAAAGTGGATTGCAAAGACGAGTGTTCAAACTCATTGACTGTTCTAGAGATGTGCTTGTGGAGATCATGAGAAGCATGCAGAATGTGTTTGTGTAAGTTTGCTTTCGCAACCACTTGAGCGTAACATTCATTGTTCACAGAAGCTGATCGCATGTCAGTTAGCAGTCCAGGAGAAAGACTAGGATATTCATCGTACAGATGCTTGGTTATGAGATATCCAACACCGAGTCACCGAGGAACTCCACCCGCTGCAGTAGAGTCATGTTAGTTTCATTAACCGAAACACCTAAAAATGGTAGATGATTTGCTTTATGGAGAAAAGATGTAACCTGATAACATCTTGGAATTTCAGGAATCATGTATGAGCCATGAGTCAATGCCTCAACTAGAAGAGACTGATCCTTAAATTTGTAATTCAACAGTGACTCCATATAGCCTACATTCACAAGCTTCTCTGCTTGTATTGAGAACTCTCTTTCAATTGGCGTAGTTGTGAAATCGATCTTTATACCTACCCAATTCATGAACATCAAAGCTGCAACTTCACCTCCTTCGCTGAGGTATGCACCAATTAATGCTTCTACAACGTCGGCCACACGCTAGCGTTTCAAATTCCTCATCTTAACAATGTATATGGTTCTAGAATCGGGTAGACTGTCATTTACAAGAGCATAAGCTGCAGATGGTTGACCAGGAAACATCCAACCTTTAGGTTCAAAATACTCATTGCGGATAAATCCCTGTAACCAAATAAGATAGTTTTACATGTCACTTCCCTACTCCATGAAATCATTTGATAGTCCTTTCTAGAGAACCTAAACAATCCAGAGGTTTGGGAGCCGTTAAGACTGAAAAATGTTTACCTGAAGTTTCTGGTTACATCCAAGTTTGCAGAGCATGACATTTGAAATCATTGCATCTTTCTTTGTGCTGAGGAGACCCTCGTGATGAGTATTATACTGTTGGAACAGTTGCTGACAAACAGCATACTTCAGAAAAGAGTCGCCAAGAGTTTCTAGTGACTCCAAGTGAAACTGATCTTGGCACATTTTAGTCGTGATGGCTTCAAGAACCTGTAGTCACACGAAAATCGAAAAGAATTTGGTGAAAAATCAACATGAAAGTTCCATGCATGATATATGTCAGCTAGAAAGTCCAAAGTTCTACCTTGATGGTTGGAATATTGACTTCTGGGATGCTCTTTTTCAGATTGTATGCTATAAGCAAAGATTCAATGCGTTGCATAACAGATGGGATGAATGTATATGAATAGATCATATCAACTGACAGTGGGGACAAAATGACGTGACACAATTCAGGAGGTAGTTCAACAAACTCTCTTTCATGCTCTGCAACAAAAGAAATTTTACTTCATATGCAATAAGGAATTCAACAAGAACTCAGGTATGCAATCAGTAAGACTGGGATAAAAGATTAAACCTTTCTTTTTCTTCATCATATTCAAGCGAAGATGATTATGCAGCGTGAAAGTGTGTCTCCCATTCAGAAGGGGTTCATCCACAAAATCTAATTGAACCCCATGCCTGCAGTTAAACTAGAAGAATTCAGCATCTGAAAAGTAGAATGTAAATAAGCGAAAATATAAAAGGTGTGTGTACCGTTTCTTATAGTGCTCTATGTAAGTCTGATTGGAATATGTCATCAATGAATTTGCGTTTAGATTGTTGAGAACACCTTTGGTGCAGTAGACGTATCCATTATGTGGAGTGTAAACCAATGCATTTTCCACGGCACAAGTACAAGCCAAACCGTCTTTTGTGTGTATAATGCGAGAAGCAGCCTTGGCAGAACAATTAATGTGTCTTTCCTCAGCTTTATGACAAGTTGAATTCACTGATCTAACCACATCCCAATTGATAAGAGATGTTCCATGCTCATGAGTGGATGGAAGTAGTAGATAGTCAAGTGCCACCCCTTCTTTGTGATGCAATCCATCCAATGCCTTCATCAAATTTTCCACACTGCGATCCAAAAGAACTCGGAAAAGAGTTAACTGAAACTTTCTACACAAAAGGACCTGAACACACGAAAGAAAAGAGACCGATGGAATTGGAGTTAAATGAGAAATGACTACTATAATATTCAATGAGATATAACTGATATAGAAAAATGAGCAAGCTTACCTCCTCTTGAGTAAAGTGAAAAGCTCCCACATAACTCAATGTCACAGCTATTGTACCAATATGGTCTTCCAACCGGAAGCAAGTGTTCCCAATGTCATCTTCAAGTTCAACTCTGGTGCCCAGAAGAATATCGGTAAAACGAAAATTTCTTGGAGAGTCTGTCTTCATTCTTATTAAGTAGAAGTGGTATGTTGTCTGCGACTGTGCTGAGAACTGGGAGACTAGCTCTGGGGGAAAGTAACATGGCTGTTCTGTGTTATACTCGATTTTCCCTGCTAACTCAAACCTCGTGGGTGAGATAGACAGTCAGAGCCCAAATTTTAAAAAGGGAGATGCAGAAAATTACCGAGTTTTTGTTGGACAGTTTCCGCCACAACTATGTCAGGCACAAGATTATCAGTCAGAGCTCCAACTTTGTGCAGCTGAATGCAAGCTTTAAGACAGGCAGCTTGTTTTAACACATTAGCATTTGCTTGAACTCTTACTTCTTTTACTGGGCAGCTCTTAGGTAGGTAAAGGGTGCAAATCCCCTGATCCTTGTCTACATCAAATCTAGGAGCTGGTTTGAAGTATCTTTTCCAGCAATGAAACAAAAATCAGAAGAATATATAAAAAAGCAAGTTGCATAAAAGAAAACCAACTGATGAAGCTGATAGGTAGCAAACTAACTCATCTGAAGGAAGCCTTGAGCAGTAGAAATAGATTAAGCTGACGCTTGAGCTAAGAGTTACAATTTCTCCCGTACTGTTTACTCGGAAGAAATCCTCGGATGAATCTTCTGGAAGAGGTGGACAGGGGACAAGAGAATGATCCAAAGACTCTTCACGCATTCTTTTCCCACCAGAAAGGAATTTCATTAATCGGTCTTGTGTTAATAGGTCTCCACTGCCATGAGTGAAAAGGAAGTTAGATTTTGTCAAGCACAGAGCTAATGTGTTATTAAACCAATAGTAAAATATATGAAAAGACAAGCCAAATGTGTCTCAGACCTTTTCACCATCATCAAATAATCTGAATTTTGCATTCTAGCACGCCCACGAGACTGTATGAAACTGCAAATGTTGGATGCAGGATCAAATCTGACAACCAGATTGCAACTTTGAACATCTAGACCCTCTTCAAGAATAGATGTTGCTACAATGATGTTTACCTACGAATAAGAACAGTTTATTCATAATTAACGATGGCAGTAAGCAGATCACTCCAACAGTTTATAGAAATTTGATCTTACCAAGCCTCTCCGGAAGTCTTCCACAATTTCATTTTGCTTCTTCCTGGTTTGACTTTGCAGACCAGAGTTATTTCCTGCAACGTACTTGGTTTTCCAGTTATTGTAGTTTGGAAGAATCTCAGCCAAAAGGGATTCCACAACCATTGCTGTTATCACCCTATCCACAAAAACAATGCACCGTATGTTCTCCAAGGACCTATATCAACGAAAATTCAGAAAACAGAATTGGAAAATAGAAACAAAATCAAGTTAAAGAATATTGCACAAAAAATTGAATTCAATTGGTTAAAACCGCAAGAAAACAATATGCATTGACTTTAGCAATGTCAAACATTCAGACTTTAATTTCATTTCTCAAGTTCAAAGTATAACAAGCAGAAAGAAAGAGTGCATGCAATCCAAACCTATAACCAAGAAGAGATTCAATGAGGCAGAATGTTTTTGACGTTATAAGACCTGCCTCCAAATTTTCTTTCATGTTAGTGACACCCCAATCAAGACCTGTATACAAAAACAAAGAACAAAGAGGTGAGGAAAAGGACTAAATTCATGAATCTTCAATCATAAAGAGTTAGGAAGCAAAAAAAACTACCATGAGGTATGTCAACTAAGAACTCTTGTGAAGCATCAGAGCAGAATTTTTTGACGAAGGTCTCACTAAACATATTTAGTTGGTCCCACAAGAAAAAGTCATTCTGACTGGTTGACAATGACTGAGCAGCCTGTTGAGGAAAAACAATAAATATTACAATCTTCCTTACGTTCCTTCATAATCTAAAACCTTAAAGCAGCACCAAGAACAAAATACCTTCTGCGCCAGCAAAATTCCGAGATCATCCAAACAATAAGTTAGGCATGAACTTATCTTCCGCAGTCTCTTCTCTATAGAATCAACAGTAGAGGCTTTGAGATCCAAGGTTGCAAGTGAGAAGCGATGCTGAAAATAAGTCTACCATCAGTTAATATTGTCCTAGAAAAATGAATGATACAAGGATGGATATATTCTTAAAATTCAGAGACTTTCTTTCTATGATTTTAACATTCAAAACTCACGAGCATCTCTAATCCTTAGTGTACACATACCTTTGTAGTTAGATTTTCCAGCATCCCTACCAAGCTTGCGCGTTTAGAACTTGGTATTTCCATGTGCTCGTAGTACCTGAAGTGTGGTGTAGAAAAGGGGACAAACCCAGCCAGCACGGACTCATTCACACAGGTAAAGACCTTTATTATTCAAACAAATTAATCACTATTTGGAATGCGGAAGATAAAACCAACACAAAAGTTAATAATCTTAAACAAAAGTTTCTGATTTTGAGGGCACCTTTCATAGATCATGACTAAAAATACCAAAATAAAGTGAAGATAAAGAGTAGAAGAAACCTTTGAATTCATTAGAGTTTCGAGTTCATGAATCTTTTTCCAGTAGCTATCTAACTTCGCACCTTAGCTCAGAAAAGAAAGGCAAATAAGAAAAACCAAACGTGAATAACGAATATGTAATGTACAAACACAACAAAGAAAGAACGTTAAAGGAGGCATATCAACCTTTTGTTTTTACAAGGGATGCAGTCATCCCAAATATCCGGGGAACTTCGGAAATTGCAGAGTTTAAATCCTTGTGATAGAACTCCTGCATGAAAAAGAGCTATGTTGTCAAAAGGTGCATAAAAATAGATCTCTTTAAGATAAATTTCCTATGTGTCAATGAGATTTCATTCAGGTCTGAGCTCACCCTCATGATACAAGCATAGGGATGCTTTCCCCCAGCATGATGGCACTCATCAACTATTAGAACCTTGATCATGTTCATCTTCAAAAAACTATGTCTCAATGCATCGAGCAAAATGGCAGGGGTCATCACAAGAACCTGCAGTTGTGAAAGCAAGGGAAAAAAATACAGAGTGAACACTTGAAAAGCTTCAAACAGGTTGAAAACTTGGACATATATGGGCGGACATGAAACAGTAGCAGCGAAAATGAAGCATCATAGTGACAGGATCCGTAAGAGATTGAGAAGCATCATAGCAAGATTTTCTGAACAACAGACTCATGAAATGGCAAGAAATCCAGCTAAGAAAACAATACAACTGAAATGCACCCTCAGACAGTTCAGCAAAAACAACGAAATGTATACAGTCAAATAAGGAAAGCAAACCTCATATTTATCGACTTCTTGTTGCCATGTTGAAGAATCCCAAAAGTCAACTCCCATTTCTCCCCAATACATACCAACTTTTAGATCAGTGTGCATCTTCAGGGCTTCTGCTTGCTGAGTAATACACACAAGGACGAAATAAGAACATCTGTGAAGGATAAGTGAATGTATTGGTGCACATCTGTATTCAATGTTTGTGTATCCCTTTATCTACAGCTTCCACCCTTTACATAGCATTGATCCTACTGAATGTTACTCTCAGGTTGAGCGTATGTGCATAAAACCCACAAACTCAAAGAGATAAATACATAAAGGAGGTCTCATTCCATACACCTATTGTAAGAGTTGACATAAGATAGAAACATACTTGACTGACAAGAACCACTTGAGGAACCAAGAAGACGCTGAAGCAGGGAGAGGGCTTGCGGAAAAGGTAGGCATAGCTACGAAGAAGCATGATGGCGATAAGGGTCTTTCCAGAGCCAGTCTCCAAGAACACAATTGTGTTCTGCTTTATAGCTTTCTCAAGTGCCTCCACTTGGTAACTGATAATAGAGCATCATGTTAGACTTGAGATACAAAACAAAAAAAACATTTTTTGGGGAAAAAACAGAGCTTACAAACACTGTAAGAAGAAGATAGAAGATCAGCTCACCTTCTAGCAAATGGCAGAGGACTGGTAGTGACTTGATCGGCGCTCTCAGTTTCCATGTCATCAGAATCCATGGCCATCTAAAATCATAAACTTTATAAGCTAAAATGAGAACAAAACCCAGTCTTTCTACAAAAAAACCTGAGCAGAAAGATAAATAGAGCAAAGATCAAAGATTTTTATTAAAGCTCTCAGTTTCAGTCTATTTTCATTTCCTCACGGTGAATGATCATAAGCGCCGAAAGATAAAGTTCAGAACTTTAATCAAATGTATCACACGAAACAGACAACAAAAAAAACCACAGATGAAAAACCGAATACGACCACTTTAATGTTACAAAAACGAAGAAAATCGCAGAGTTTCTGCAGTTTTGCCAAGTTCATACGAAAACCCAATGATCAAATATCAAAACAAAAAAAGGAGAAAGAAGAAAACCTCGAATAGGAAAATAAAGACAAACCACCGATCAAAGACAGGAGTAATGAGAAAAAAGGAGCTTCGAGTACAGAGACAATGGCGGAGAGAAAGCTTAGTGAAGAAGAAGACAAAAAGAGGTTTAACGAAAGATAAAGGAGATGCTGAGAGAGTATATTAATGAGAAAGTATTCGGCGGTTTCCGAAAAGACCTGAAAGAAGAGAGTGTTTAATTCTAATTTTGACTCAAAAGTGTGGGAACGAGACGAGACGAGACAAAAAATTAGGGAATTACTGTGTAAATTGTGTGTTGTGTTGTTGATAGCAAAACAAAAGTAGAGTAGATCAAGACCCGCTTTATCACTCTTTTGTCCACCTCTGCAAAACGGCAGCTCCAATTTGTGTGTCGAAAAAGCAAATTCATCATCAATCATCATGAACACGACAAAACGATATAACTGTATACATATGTATAATTATTTTTTATTTTTTTTGTTATGTAGCTCATTTGATTCACCTTACGATTTCGATTAAGGCAATGGAGAGGAAAAGAGAGGAAGATTTTGTTTCGATTTTGATTCATGTTAACAGAGAAATAAACATGTTAGTATCGTAAAAATCAACCGCCATCTTCTTTAAATGACTCAAACTGTGGTTTCTCAATCATAAAACACCTTCCAAAGAGTGTTCTTTAGAGCTCTCATGGAACTTTATGGGTTTTGCAGATAACGTAAAGTAGCAACAAAGGAACCACAAAACTGTAACCTGGAAAATGAAGCACCATGTTCATCTCATACGCTCTAGCCAGAGCCCAGCAATTCTGTAAACAGAAAAAAACAATCAGTTCTTCACAACTGAAAACTGAAAACTGACAATGGTTGAGACACAAGATCACTTGAGTATTGCAGAAGTGATGATACCTTGAAATGTTTCCAGTATAGAGCCAATGAAGCCAGCAAGAGCGATTTCCGAATCAGTCTTCTGTCAGAGAACAACAGCGAACGGCGTTGCCATCTCTTCTTCCTTCCTCGGTCATGGTCATCCTCTTTCTTACCAGAGTCGACTCTAATGTGATCTTTGTACATTTCTCTCTCCGCAACCAGACAACACACGACAAAGACACTGGGGATCACAACAAAGATCAGATGAGGGATCACCAGAACCATTACATCAGGCTGTCCAATGTATTCATGCTTCCTCTCCCCTGCTCCTGAGCTCGTGACCACCCATCCCATTATAGTCATGTACGTTCTGTTCCCGGGATCAGTGAACACTTCACCGGAGAACCAAGGAAAGAATATGAGATAAAAGAGATACGCCATGTAACCGAACCAGACCACAGGGATCCTGCAAAGGTCTTGGAGAATCCAGAGCACAAGTGTGATTGGTCCTTTCTTAGCCATGAACTTTTTGAGAGTGTATTGCTTCTTGAAGACAATGATAATGCTTTTGGGGATGAGAAAAACGAGAAACAAGCAATACAGAGCAGACCAGAGAATCGGGTAATATAACGCCGCCCATTGGCATCCCATGACACGAAACTCATTCCATGTCCATGAGACTTTAGAGCTTAGACTATTGATGGAAAACGGTCGCATTTCTGAGAAAGTTGATCTGCCTTTGACGTCAGTCACTTCTATTTGCAGCCAAAATCTATCAGGTAAGGGATCTTCAAAGGCTCTATAGTTCCATGGAAGCGAAAAAAACGATGCCCCGGAAGAAGAAGAAGAATCGTCTCCGTGTTTTCTCATTGGAGCTTCCATGACCAGATTGTTGAATCCAGGGCTTGAGTCATAAACTCTAGCTACAACTTCGACAACCAGGGAATGAGAAAACACAATGGTTCTGATTGCGTCGTAAGATGAAGAGATCATATGTTGGCATTCGTATCTGTGGCGTGCAAATGATGTTGACATGAAACGAGAATCTAATGGAAAGGTTGGTAATATGATTGTCTTCTGGGATTTTGACTTGAAGTCAAGATCAAGATATGAAACATGACCCCTATCAATGGCCATGATCCGCATTGCCCTGTTTTTCCTCCAGTCACCCATCTCCCATTCCCAGAACTCTGCAGCTGGCAAGGCTCCAAACGAGCAGTTGGAAGTGCTTTCAACACTACTCTGCCTCATATTCAGCTGAAACAAGTCATTATCTGATAAACTGATACCACCACCAGAGTGATGGTGTCTTTTAAGGTTCTTGCCAAACCTTGAGTGAAGATGGCCACACAGATAAGCAGAGATGGAGTGCTTCAAGAAAACATCTTTAAGGCTCTTCTTAGAATGTGTCAGCGCCGAGAAGGACAACGGAAAATGCCCAAATGATATCTTCGTCACAGGCTTTGTTGATTGGTTGTCCCACTGCGACAGGTGTGTGTCAAGCGAGCTCAAAAGTTCATCAGTTGGGTGCCCAAAGAGATTCGTGGGTCCTCGTAGTCCAATATGCATCGTTGTGTCAACACCAACAAACAAATGTTTACGTTCACTAGTCTGCATAACAAACAAATGATCTCAAACCAAATGAATCAAGAGGTAAAAACAATAGACTGAGTTTGGGAGAGAGAGAGTGTAACGAACCTCAACAGTGACGGCGTTAACATTCTCTTTCCTTCCCATCTGTGCATTGATGCTATACTTGGAGAAGAAATCAACAGATGAACCAACAGAGGGAACACCAAAGTTGTCGTGGTTACCTCTAAGATCATAGAATAGTGACTTATTCAACCCACTTCTCTTCACAACATCCTGCATCACACTCTCATATTCTAACCACTCATCTTCATTTAGCTTCATTGTTAACATGTCTTTGCTCTTCCCATCTAGTTAACCAATTTAAGGAAGATATCAATCAAACAGCAATATTCACAATTAAGAGCTTACAAGTAACCAAAGACTGAGTGCCAAAGATATTAAACCACAATGCTTCTCAAAGCTAAAGTTCAAAATTTTAATGGAGAAAGCAAACAAATTTGTCAGAACAAGTATCATTGAAGCTTGACTAACGAGAGATTCACAAATTCAAACATATGGGGAAAAAAAGGTCAGTGATTGAGGAGAGAAGTGAACCTGTGAGATCGCCGGTGATAAGGACAAGAGAAGGGTTGATCAGAGAGAGAGCAGATCCCACTATGTTTTTGAAATCAAGGGCTCTTTCTGGGTGATGAACACTGAAATGGAGATCCGATAGCTGAACAACCCAAATCAAGTCTTGCCCAGTTCTCGCTTCAATCACTCTTCTTCCGGATTCGTCTATCGAACCAGAAACCCTCGAGCTCAAGGAGATTAACAGAAGAAGAAGAAGAAGAAGAATCGTAGAGGAGATTCTTCTCCCCTGAGAAGCTGTGCTCTTTCTTAGCTCATCGTCGTCGCCGATCGCTTCCATTGACCTCTAAATCTCGCGAATCAGTAGCATTTGCAGATAAATCTCCCAATTTTGATTGTATTTGCAAAATCGTCACGCTTAACGACGAACTTGCATTGTGTTCCCAGAAAAGTCTACATTTTTATTACTTCTTAATCCGTTTCCTTGTCGTGTTTTCTTTATTAACATGTTAATGCAGAGAAAAATCAAATTTTCTAAACCTTTACATCTACCAAAGAATCGTAAAGTTGTTTAATTTTAACTTTCAGAAACCTAAAGAGAACAAACTTTTTATTCCACGCACACACATGTCACAATGTACAATAAAATCAATACTATTACAATCACACACATTCTTCAGTTCTCCACTTTAACTTATTCAGACAAGATTTATAAGTCCAGGCTTTGAATTTTTAACAAGAATCAACAACTTTGCGCGTCTTTAAATTCTTCCGTTTGGCCTTCTTCTTAGGCTCAACTCCTAGCCATAGCTGGATGAGCTCAAACACTCTCTTATCGCGGAGAAGCCCGCGATGTGTACCGGAAACTCCTACGCTTGCAACCGATTTAAACCGAGCAGCCTACAGACAAACATAATATGGAAATGTAAGGTTTTGGTGGAGGTTCAGAGAAGTGGCAATAGGTTTTGATTTTACAGATTTACTTCAAGAAAACCAAAAAACTCAGGATGAGCTAGAGAATAGCTTACTGCTGCTGATTCAGCTGGTACTGTTCCATCGCCGTCTACATATGTATACTCAGGCTGCAACAAGATATTAAGTTTCAGATACTTTAGACCAATGATGATGTAGCAAAAGATAAATGCCAAGTGAAAGAATGTCAATAGATAACAAACTTCAGATGTCACTAACCATAGTTTGACATATTTCAGACAAATCCCCAATTGGAGAAGTCTCTGTGCCATAACTGCAATATAGTTTGGTATGATTAGAGAGAATGAGAGAGATTACTCTTTATGAACCAATCAACAATAAATAGGTAACTAGAGTGGTATTGATGCATACCAAACATCAAAGGGCGTGTCCTGTGATACACCGTAAATGTTATAGAAGGAAACTCCATCTGGAAGCTGTGCTTTGTTGAGAATTTCTCTTGTCTTAACCGCCCAATCGAGGATGGAATTATTAAAGGGTAGAGCTATTTTATTCCCTCCATAGCTTAGCTACATCCATTGAAGTAAAACTATGAGATACACTGACCAAGACATCATCTCTCAAGCCAATGAGAAAAAAACAAAAGCTGAGTGTGTCAAGTTTGATACCTCGTTATCTTTCAATGCATCGTTGAATAAACCTACACTCTCAGTTGGGCCAAACGTTTCCACTTCTACAGAAGTATCATCGTTTTCAGATTTCTTCTTGCGCCAAACTAGAATCTCTGGTTGTTTCTTCCACTTGAAATCCGGATTTGCCATCATCTCATAGATAGATGGGCACTCAATCAACTAACACCAAAAAACATTAAAAAAAAAAAAACACATTCATTAATCTAGAATAAGAGTGTTTCATGGATCCTGAAGAAGTCAAATCTTTTTACCAGTTGGTGCATCGTCCAACGTGACACAAAGAAGAAACTCTCTAAGCCTTCCACAAATTGCACTCCAGTCAAGAGTGTATCATTGATGCATCCTGGAGCTCCTGTTAACCAATATCCAATGAAACAGTCTATTTCTCTGATGAACAACAACTTTCCCCAAAATATATAATTTGTAATCACCTTGGAAAGGTGTTGCAATTGTAACCCATTTCTTTACATACTTGGAGAAAGCCTGCCAACATGAGAAAAAAAAAAAGAGACTCATAAACTTCAGCTAGAATCTGTGAAAGATCACAATGGTTGGTGACTGTAATTACCTCCGGATGGAGATACATGAAACATGAAACCATAAGTCCTCCCATTGAATGAGAGATGATAGTGACTTTTCGCTCCCCTGAACGTTTATATGCAGTTTCTAGCTTCTTCTTCAGACCTAGTATAAGTTGACCAATCCTGCAAGAATCAAATAAGTAAAAAGAATCTGAAACAAAAACTACAAATTTAGATAACATCAGAGAATCTTTTGAAATTACCTGTTGCTTTGCCGGAAATCGTAACCATATCCGAATAAAGTAGTCCCCTTCTTATAACCACATCCAACCAACATTTCTATCATATCGTGAAAGTGATAAACATCCGTCAAGTGACAAAGCTTTACAAACTGGAAAAACAAGAAGACAAAATATAACACTGAGATTAGAATTAAGACAAAGCGACCAAGAAAAAAAGAAGTAAGGCTAATAATTTCAGAAGAACAGACACTGAAGTCGGAGATTGCACATAAAATATTGGTTCTTAAGGAATATAGAGAGTGATCTTACCCAGGAAGGATCTAGAATGTCAATTGCATAGAGTCCATGATCATCATCAGGGACTGATATTTCAATGTTATCATCCAATGCCTCTGTATAACCTGCCAACAAAAGATGAATTGGTAAAATTCAAGTGCAAGAGAATTATGACATAACACGTCAACAGAGTAGTAGAAGATGACAAAGAAACATCACAACTTCTGAAGGAAAACAACAAAATTATTGCAAAACAAATCGGTTGAAGCCAAGAATATATCAATTTTAGTGTTACTTCAATCTTGTCCTCTACTGAGTTCTTAAAAAAAAAAATTAAGCAAGTAACCACTTGCAACACGCGATCACAAACAAAACTAGCACAACTGAGATATGATTTAGAAGGATTAAACAACCTTCTGGTTACAATTTGACTTATTCCTCCGATCAAGCACTTCAAAATTTCAAGTACGACTCAAATACTAAAAGGAAAATAAACTACAAAAAGAAGAAAAAAGAGCTGATCATCAATAAAAATATCGACTTTAAGCTTTGGTTTCATGTGATTATTACCTGTTTTGGGATTGTAGAGAGACCAGAGGCTCTGTCTGAAAGCAAGGTTGGCGAGAAATATTCGGACCCAAACCCGGATCTCGTACTTGGAACCCTTCTTCTTAGAATGCAGAATCGAGCCTCCGATGCCAGAAACGAGGACGACGGGATCTCTGTCCGCTACCTCGCCGGCGCTTTCATCGTCGTTGGCTCCCCAGCACGGGCACGAAATCCAAGCCATCAAAGCGGGTCACAGGTCACGGTCTGTGCAGACCCGGAATATTCAATCCGGATCCTTCTACAGAGCTCAAGAGAAACTGGAAAGGTTGTTGGGGCTTAACAGAGGTATATTAGTCATGGAAGATTTTCTGAGAATATGCCATCTGTGAGACTGTGACAGTGTGTGACTGCGACTCTCTGCACGAAAGCTTCACGTGCGACATTCTCACTTCCCTTCTTTAGATTTGTTTTTAACTCCGTTAGTTACACGTAGGTAGACGGAGGTCTTTTTAACTATTTTTTAAACAAATTGGATCATCTTGCAATATTTACAAAATACAGGGTCTTTGTTGCCATATATGATGTGACTTTTTAACTCGTAAATTTACACGTGTCACAAACCACAACTTTTTGAACTTCCGTGTAAATTTTAAACTCCGTCACACTACAACGTAAGTAGACGGAAGGTCTTTTTAACGGTATTTGAAATTTTGTTTGGATCATTTTGCAATATTTTATAAACTGTAGGGTTCTTTCTAGGTCTGGGCACAAGTACCCATTACTTGCTCAAAACCCGCGACTTGCCCGTACCCGCCTTGTTCAAGCAAGTACTTGTTCGAAACAAGACAGGTAACAAGTCGGAAAGTTTGAATACTTGCAAGTAAGGGGCAAGTATCAAGTCACAGTTTTAATCTTGATACTTGCCCCGTTACTACTTACTACTTGCCCCGTTAAAATACTAAACATGTTTTCCTTTACTGGATCATAGCTAGGGGTGTTCAATCCGGATATCGGTTCGGTTTCGGTTCGGTTTTTTCGGTATTTGGTTTTTCGGTTAATAAAAAATAGCTACCATAGTAGATCCATACTTACTTCGGTTTGGTTCGGTTTGGATTCGGTTTTTGCGGTTTGGATATTTTCGGGTCGAATAATCTCGGTTTTCGGTTAATTTGTATTTTTTGTTTTATGATTATTTTATTAATTAGGGTTTTCGATTTTTCTCATAATCAAAATGATCAAATTCAAATAAAAAATGCAAACTCATGTCTTATTCCTTTTGCTCATCTACAAGTGAATAAGTATTAAAAGAAAATCAGTTAACTTATGAAACAAAAAAGTAGAACAAACGGAGAAAACTTGTTTAAGGCATACGATACCTTTAGTTCACGTCTAGGGTAAGAGAAAAGATTAACGAAGAAGAAGACAATTGCTATAATAATATTGTTGTATGAGAAGAGGAAGATCGCTTTATCTAGGTTTTTTATTTAGTGTTTCTTAATTGTTAAATTTTAGTTAATTAATGATTTATTACTCTAAACTTATATTATTATATGAGTAATTTAATATATATAAAGTTATTCGGTTTTTTGCGGTTTTTGCGGTTCGGTCGGTTAATATCCAAACCATATCAATATCCACGGTTTATATAAAATTGCATCCATACGGTTTATACAGTGTATCCAAATCCAAACCATATGACTTATTTCGGTTCGGTTCGGTTCGGGTCGGTTCGGTTTTACCAAATTGAACACCCCTAATCATAGCCCATTCCTTATATCGGTCTTACTCTTTATCCCTTTTGTTTCACCCATTTTTTTAAGTTTTTAGCAAGTTTTTTAGCTTAACTGCTAGTAATCAAAGCTTATTTCGTGTTTTGTGAAGTTGAATCGAAAAGAGAATACTTGAAAACTTGAATAATATGCTTGAATTTTAAGACATTTTTGCTTCAATTGAATTTGTTGCTTCGTCTTGTTGGATTTGGAGGGAGCAAATACTTGTTATTGGCAAGTACTTCTTTCTGCATCTTCTCAAGAGTTTTGTTCGTTGATTCAGTTTGGCGTTTTGACTTTTGACGGCGAAAATGGAGCAGCCACCGTCGCCGGGAATGAAGTCAGTGGAACTCGGAGAAAGCATGGAATCACTTTTACGGTTTACTCTGCGCTCTTATTTGGACGAACAGGTTCCAAGTTTCGATCTTGACTTGACCAGAGATTTCTGCCTCCATCTCCTTGAGGAAGATACAGATTCAACAGGTAAAGTTCTGTTTGAGTTTATAAGGTTTCGGAGGTCTCTTGCTGGTTTTACCAAAAATTACAGCTTTTCCAATTAGCAAGCAAAATCGTAAAAAATGCTGAAGAGATAAACAGAAACTGAAATTTCTCAGAAATGTTCTGTTTTACAGAAAAACCTCCCGTGTACAAGCTTCTAGCAAGGGCTTTGTCTGAATGTCTAACCTCCGAGGAGCAGGGATTGTCCGTTGATAAAAGTTCAAACTTTGGAAAGTACAGCAAACTGTTTCATGACTTAGAAAATGTATGGAAACTTGTTCTCAACTGCTGACTGGATCAGAAAAGAGTGTTAAAAATGGAATTTTGAAAAATAATGCTTGTTCTGTCAGATGTTGAAGAAGGTGAACTTTGAGCTTCATGTCCAAGAGCTTTACTTGAAACAATTGAAAGGTACATTTTCTCTTTAACTTGATCGTAGTCTTGTAGATGTGTTAGTTTGCTCCATCTCATTTTGACCTCTCATTTGCCAGATGGTCTGAAAACTGTTGAAGGAAGATGTGCAGTAGGAGACTACATGAGGTCTGGTGCTTTATTCTATATCGATGAACCTGTGATTGGTGATTTATATGAGCTTATGATCTTACAATACTCTTGTTTCTTATGATCTTCTTGCTTTTCCGTGTTTTCCAGTTTGATGATTCCATCATCTCGTTAAACTATTTACTAGTTAGCTTTGTGTGTCTTTGTCCTCTCAGGATTAGCTCAGGAGCTTTTATCTTGTTCAATAAATGCTTGCTGCTTGAAGTTCAGGTACTCACTAATCGTTATATATGCGTCCTTTTGAGATCAAACACTTTTCATCTTCTTACTTACCAATTGTGGTTTGACGATGGCAGGAAGTTCACCATTATACTTCATTCTCAGAAATGCTGAGTGTGGAGGGTCTTTCCAAAGTTCTTCCTGGAGTGGAGAGTATAGAAGAAGGTTTCGAAGATCTTTACTAACTTACTTAACACAACATAGAGCATTTAAAAAACATCTCTTTTGCTATGACTTTTGTTATTACCTGAAAATGAAATGCTGTTCTATCTGCAGGTGTTCAAGTTTATCGGAATTTTTATCCTGAAGAGAAGGAGAGAAGGAACGGTGTTGTAGCCATTCTTGTTGCAAAACCAGCTGATCAGCCTTATGCAGCTTTGGCAGGAGCATTGTCTGTGAGTTTCTGGCAGCAAATGAAATCCTGAAAGCCTTTATTTGGCTACAATATCCGCATCACATAACTATCTTTTTGGTTATTTTGTAGGAACTGAAGTCCACTGGGATCAAAAGTCTGTTGGATGACTATACAGCACGAGTTAACTTGTAGCTGCCTCTGGAAACCTTTGAGAGCAGAGAGAAGCTATTCAATTCTATGGAAAAGAAGAACTGTTTTCAAGATTGGTTTTGTTATCTTTAATTCAGATGGTTTCAAACTAATGGTGACGTCGTGTGTATCTTTTATTGCTTTTTAAGCTCAAGCCAGAGTATTGAACTATTTCACCAAAGTGTGCTCGTTGGTTTGCATATAACTGACAAGATTCTGGATCATTACCAATCACAGTAAACCACAGAGGAACTATTACAACCAATGCCTATAATCCAACTTTTCTTGCTGCTAATTCACCAACAAACTGTTTACTGAGGCATTTCGCAAGTTATTTCACAATCAAACAGACTTGAACACAAACACTAACTACCGTGACAAAGACTCCAGAGGAGCTTATTCTCAGATACAACTTTCTAGACAAGCCAGTTTCAGTTTGTTTTAGTCTTCTTCTGGAACAGTAAATTCCATGAGTACGTGTTGCCCTTCTTTTCCGCAACCTCCACACGTTTCCCTCCAACCTGCAAAGTCAATTCATTATCGTTTAAAAAATGCTTCTAACAGAGTTATCTTGAAATTGTATTAGTCAAATGTTTTTGTCACATGATAATGAGAAACAAAACGACATCTAATACCAATAACTCTCAAAGAAGATAAAACAGCTTAACAAAGTACCTTGTCCATGAGCCAGAAGCCAAGGGAAGGCATGTACTGTACTAGATACATCACGAGCAGTACTGGCTGATAATGACCGAAAACAAGCTTATATATCAGAACTTCAGAAGTCTAAAGTGTAGCATAAAGGATTTTGGCAAAGAAGTACCTGATATGAAATCCAAGCTTCCTTCAAGTTATGAGATGCAGCGATTATGGTCAGTTCTGCACATCGCTCAGATGACACACGCTTCTGCATGGCAAGAGAAAAGTCATGTATAAGATGCTTGACATAACTGAAGAAAGCAGAAGAAGATAGAAGATCCAAATGTCGACAAAGAAGAGGATTCAATGTGTGTCACACAACTAGTTAAACTGTAGCAAAGGCAGGAGTACTTAGAATGGCTGACAATTTAATTAACAAATAACAATCGTAACCCCCGTTAACTAACCTCAGGGGATTTCTTGTCTTCCGAAGTTGATGTTCCTGTACCATTAGAGGTTTCTATTGGACCGGGACAAACAACAGTGACCTTGATTCCCTTCTGAGCAAACTGAAATCATTCGCAGATGATCGTGAACAAACTGTTAGATTACAGCAATAAGTGAAAAGGAACGTAAGAGAGAGAGAGAAAAAAAACACAAGCAAATCAGAAAGCAGGAAATGAAGCTTATTAACATTCTTCTGGGGCAGCTGTCCTCTCAGCTGTAAGTTATCTATTGTGTTATTCTGTAAGTCATTTGTTCCCAAATAAGCATGCAGCTTTTTTACTTCAAACATACCTCAGAACGCAAGCTGTGGAAGTAGCCCTGCAGAGCATATTTTGAAGCAGAATATATAGCCTGTCCAGGTGATGGTACCTTTCCTGCGGCACTGCTAATCTGAGTATAGAATGATGTCAGTTTCTAATCATGACATTTACACCAAGGAAATGGACAATCTAGCTAGCCTAAAAATCTCAGATGTAAACATATCTTAGTCAAGATTCAATAGTATAACTCCAAAAATCAGAGCATTAAACATTGACGTTAACAAAAACTATCCCTATTGGCCATTAGTCTTTACGTACCACAACAAAATGACCGCCTCCTTGTTTTAGCATATGAGGAGCTACCAACTTTGTCAGAGATATTGTCCCAAATACATTAACCTCGAAAGTACTCTGCACATAAAAATCATTGATTAACCATACATTCTCTACTCGCTACAGGCTAAGAAATCTCTGGCAAACGAAACACAAGGAATTATATTGCCTACGGATTTTACACAATTAATTCAATACCTTAAGACTTTCCTCACTCGCTTCCAGTGCATTGGATTTCTGCAAGAAAAAGAGTATGTTTATGTTGACACGCTCTTGAACAACTACACCAATAGCTTGAATTAAAGACTCTCTATTGACTAGATACAGAGCTTTAGCAATGAAATTACTCACCGGACGCTCATAGGCAGCATTGTGAATCAAATAATCAACACCAGCCCCAGGGAAAAGCAACACCGCTTGCTCTACAACATGCTTGAGCGACTCTTCTCCACTAGCTAAATCTAAAGGCAAAACCTTGACATCTTCCGGTGCATATTTACCTACAAAGGATTGCTGAGTCAATTACTGTCGTGTGTGTGCCAACAGAAACAGAAAGCTCACACAATTCAAAATTTGAGACCTTTCCTTGATTCATTGTGAAAGGAAGTACCTTTGAGCTCACTCTTAACCCGATTCAGCTCAGCTTCATTCCTCGCAGAGAGAATAAGCTTGGCGCCTAAACTTGCAAACTGTTTAGCAAGAACTTCCCCTAAAAGCAAGTAATCAACAATAAGCACCCAAGATTTATAGGAGAAAAAATGAAAATTTTCTTCACAGATCATCCGCAATCATTAATTACCAATTCCACGGCTAGCTCCTGTGATCCAGACGACCTGAGACAACACAAATCAACCATAAATCTGAATAATTTATCCCTGAAAATGCTCACAAATTGAAACTATCGAAAACTAATCACTCCCACTAAATTTTTTCGATTCCATCAATCAATCCAGTACCTTGCCTTCTATGGCTTCGCGCTTCACATGCTTCTTCGAAATCAGAGTAAAATCCCCTGCAGAAGGCAGAGAACAATCACTTCTACTGAATCTACAACTAATCTCGATAACAAAGGAATTGGAGTTGCAATAGATATCTGAGGAGTCACAGTTATTACCATCGGCGAGTGCGAATTTGATGAGCAGACCAAGTAGGAGGAGGAGCCCGAGAGAGAAGAAGAGTAGAGTCAGCATTTTCTCCGGTTGAGCAACGGCGAAGAAACTAAAAGAGGTTTAAATATCAAAAAGACCAAATGAAGGGGCAAATCACAAATTATTGATATCTAGTGTCCTGATATGAAATTAATACACCAAATGTCTCTGTTTCTATCATTGTGCTAAAAGAAAAACCCCCAAATCTCTCTGTTCGCAGAGAGAGAATTCGATCGATTCGATGGACGCCATAAGGAAGCAGCTCGATGTGCTCATGGGAGCGAACCGAAACGGCGACGTTGAGGAGGTGAATCGCAAGTACTACGACCGCGATGTGTGCCGTCTTTACTTGTCTGGTCTCTGTCACGATCTCTGCCAAATGACGGTGCGTATATATATTTGAAACTTCCATAGCTTCACCGATGTTCAGGGCTTTATTATTTGCTGATGCTTCTTTTCCAATTTGTGTTTTATTATCAGAAAATGGATATATGGGACCTTGCCCAAAGGTGCATTCTTTGGGGAAGCTTAGAAAAGAGTATCCTTTTTGAAAGAGAAGCAACTTCGTTTAAAGTGTTTCTTTCCATTTCTGTTTTGCTGTAACTCGTTCCCTTAGATATCGAGAAGCAAGGGCCAAAGGTGTTGATAACTACGACAGGGAATTGGAAGATGCGATTGATAGGCTTATCGTTGAGTGTGATCGGAAGATTCGTAGGGCCCTTAAGCGTCTTCAGGAAGAGGATGCCAAAGCTGCCATTGTAATTTCCGTCTCTCAAGTCACTCAGGTGATGATTTGATTTTGTAATTTTTGTTGAGGTAGGTAACTTCTAAGCTTGGTACACTCAGGTTTGTTTTATCAACGTTTAACTGCAGACACCTGAAAATCGCGAGTTACCTGAGAAAATTAAAGAGAAGATGAAGTAAGCAGATCTGCTCGGTAAATGAAAACAATCTTGCTTCCGCTTTTGAATCTCTCCTTTTGATTTGTGGAGGGCTTTTGTTCTGTTAATTAGGAGCATTCTCTGGTTTGCATGCCACTTTGCAGATCTTGAAGGCAAAACGGATCTTAAGATTAGAGCTCTTGAGTTAGTTGAAGAGATGAGGACAACAAGAGCTGACCAACAGGTGAACTTTTTGTTGTTGCTGGTTTGTTGCGCATTGTACTTTGTTAAATTTATTTACCTATGGCAAATGGAAAGTCATTTGTCGCGTTTTGCCTCCAGGCAGTGCTGCTGCTGGAAGCCTTCAACAAAGATAGAGCAACCTTGCCACAGCCAGTTCCAGCTCAGCCGCCAGCTTCAGCATTACCCCCACCGGATCCTCGCACTCAAGAAATGATAAATGAGAAACTGAAGAAGGCAGAAGAATTTGGTAAGGGAAGTAACCTTGATTTGTATGCTGTTAGCTGTTTATGGTCATCTTAATTTATAGCTCTTTAAGAAGCCGTTATAGTGGAATACTGAAACTGCTAATTAAATTATCCACGTTCTTTTGTTCCTAGCCAATGTGAGACTTTCGGTTGGCTGATCAAAGATTTCTTGACCTATTAACTGCTAGTCATGAATGTGTATAATGTATGTTCTTTGCATGTTATTATACCTATGTTAAGGAAACACCTGAACTTCTCATAGTTGGAAAGATGGTTATAGTAGCTATTTGTTTTCTCAGGCGAACAAGGAATGGTTGATGAAGCGCAGAAAGCACTGGAAGAGGCTGAAGCTCTTAAGAAGGTTCATCCTCTTTCTTAAGCTCGAATTCTTTTCCTCTGTTAGTAAAATAGGTTAGTCAAATAGGCTGAAGCTACTTCTGTTAGTCAGTAACTAATGACTGTTGTGCCAATATTTGTTTCAGCTTACAGTTAGACGAGAACCTGCAGTGGATTCAACGAAGTACACTGCTGTTGATGTGCGCGTTGTAAGTTTACATATTCCTTTCAGTGACGCCCTTAAGATTCATATTCCTTGTCTATTTATCAGTTTGTTTATTCAAAAGGAGAGTTGACTTCTAGAATGAAAACAGTCATGTTTTGACGTCTAGGTGAAGAATAATAGTAAATCTGAATAGACTCGTTTGATTTCCTTCGTAAAAGTATTCTTTGGGACAGAAGTACAACATCTTGGCATTCCCTGCTTAATATATGTAAACATTTGTTTCATATTCTACCCTCATTTGCTGTTCCTGTATCATCTTAGACGGACCAAAAGCTGCGTCTCTGTGACATATGTGGAGCCTTCTTGAGCGTATATGACAGGTTAAGTTCCTTACTCAACTTTCAGCTTTATTGTTTCCCTTTTGGGTTGAAAGGGGGAAAAAGCTAGAAATAGATTCTTGGGTTACAAGTGCCTCAAGTTTTGACTCCGGCTCTTGTACCTCCTTTTTCCACCAGCAGGCTTTTTGGGCAGGATTACTTTTGCAGCTATTATAAATGTGCGTTCTTTTCTTGATCTTATTGTGCCTGAAGGATCATACTATTAGAGATTAACTAATGGAGCTTTTAACGTTAAGCTGTTTTTATATGTAATATGATTTAGCATTTGTCTAACGCTAAAGGGAACTTTTTTGCTGCTTCAGTGATCGTCGTTTAGCTGATCATTTTGGTGGGAAGCTTCATATGGGTTACATGCTAGTCCGTGACAAATTAGCAGAGCTTCAGGTAACTAATAATAAAAAATCTATCTTTTGTGATGATTGGATGAAATCTTTCTGTTCTTATATTTTCTCTTCGTTTTCTTTCAGGAGGAGAAGAACAATTTCCGCAAGGAAAGGTTAGGTTTCGTTCCAGCTTCTTCTTTTTTCCATTGTTTTTACGGTTTTGGATCTTTAACAATTGACCTAAAAGTGGAAACACGTTCTTAGATCAAAGGAACGGAACAGTAAGGAGAGGGAATCGAGTAAGGACCGGGAGAGAGAGAGAGGAGCTAGTCGTGAACGTGGAAGAGATTACGATCGTAGGAGTAGAGATCGAGATAGGTACCATGACCGTGATCGTGAACAAGACAGAGACTATGATCGGTCACACTCGAGAAACAGACGCAGGTCACGGTCTCGGTCCAGAGACAGACCAAGGGACCATGATCGCCACAGGTATAAATTCAGTCAATTTAGTCTTACATCCTCAAGTACTACAAAATCCTTGTTACTACAATTGCAAATCATTTATGTCAAAAATGTCTTTTGCAGGCGTCACAACCGCTACTAGACCGATCTCGCAGTCTAAGAGGGCTTAGAATCTACCATCAAAACTCTTTTAAGTCCAACAAGTATGTTGCTAAAGTTGGGTATATGAGCTTTTCAGACATTGTTGGTATTGACCAAATGATTACAGTTATTTTATACCAAATAATACGCAAAACCCATTAGATTACAAATTATTTGAAATTGTCTTGTTATGTCAACTGAAAGCAGAAACTATTGGTACTATGATGAACAACATTGAAAACGAAGATTTATTTATTAATTATTAGTATTTAAGTAGTAAAAAAAACATCAGAGTTTATAAAGGAAACAAAAGTGAACATGCATACATAACATACAATATGACTTAGAAACACATAATACAAATAGTAAACTACTCAATCTCTCTCTCAAAGGTGAGATTAAGAGTCACATTCATATGGGAATGGATCGGGAGACTTTGGGATAAACGTGGGTGGCCGGATGACCCATAATGCGGCGACCCTTGGCGTGTTTGAAGATATAAACCAATGCTCCCACCGGCCATTCAACTATTCCGGCTGCTACAAACGCCACCAGCCCTAACGTCGGTCCTACCACTTTACATCTACATGGGTTTCCACCAGTCCCACACTGAACGCATATCGGAATCATCGTTGCGGAAATTCAAATACTATAATGAAGATCAAAGAGATAAAGTGTTTGTGGATGTTATTGAGATGTGATGTATGGAATATGAGTAGAACAAGAAGTGTAGGGTTATGGTTATGGAGAGTTGGATTGTCATGTTTATATAGAGACTCAGGCGAATCATTTTCAGTCTTTTTATAATCCTTCTTCTTGTTCTATCCAATATTATAAGTAGGGTCGGTCCATGGTTTATTATTTTTTCACTTTAGAATCTTGCTACGTGTTGTGTTCCGAACTGAACATGTGGTTTTAAGCAGGATACGTGTATTCTTCTCTCTATCTTAGTCATCGTTCTCACAATATCATTGGTTGACAATTTGTTGATGAATCGAATTCTTCGATTTGTTCTCAACAAAATCATTAGAAGAAATTGGACCCATCACCAAATCAAGTATTAAGTGGGCCTCAAACAGGCCGGACATAAAAGTAACCGGGCTAATCCATCACAACAATCCTAACAAAATAGAAAATTGACGACCTTGTCAAAACCGAAGACTTGTTCAAAACTGAAGTATGATCCGGTCTTCACCAAATGTATTATGTGTGATGTACAGATATGACGCTGCATGTTACTACATGCACATGTATGTGTTTATATATATGATCTGTTGCTTTTTTCAAGTCTTGAAACTAAAATACATTTCCTATCAAATCATGATCATGTTAAAACTCAAACATATAATTCTAGTCTTGTTCCTCGTATTACACTATCGTACTCATCAAGCCAACTCCAAATTGCCAATGGAACATTCTAAAATTACCACTCTGCCACCGGTTCAAGACTCTTGCGTTAACTCTTGTGCTCAGCCGCCACCGTTGCCACCTCCGTCACCGCGGAAGCCACTTTACTGTAGTAGGTCGTCATCACCTCCACCTCCGGCGAAGTTCATGTACGACACCGGTGTGCCTGGAGAACTTTACCGGACCGAGCCGATTGATCAGTGGGGCTACTACTCTAGTGCAAACCGGATTTCCGTTAAGTACCTCGTGGTTATGATTATAATTGTGGGTTTGGAGTTGTTATAAGTTCGTGAGGAAAAGCCATTAATGGTGTTAGCGATTCCTATCATATTATGTATGTTCGAGACTTCGAGTTATTATTGATTACTATGTGAAATTTTCTACTCCGATTAAACGTAGAGTATATGCTAAAAACATGAACACTATTTTTTTAAAAATGATCATTCACCAATCTCAAAGCATAATTAGTGTCAAAAGTCAAAGCAGCTTTTTCACCAAACAATTCTCATAAGCTAAAGAAAAAGAATCATACAAAAATCAGTATAATTTTTATACTTTTATGGGTCAGCTGTGAACTATGGGTTAAGCCTAGAGTCTAAAGAGTAAAGACTTATTGGTGTTTTGATGTCAATAAAAAAAGACTTTGGAGTTTACTTTTGTATAATTGACATTAGACATGCAAAACCTCCACTACCAAATTAACAAGTCATATAAACTATGCTGAAGTCTCTCTAATCTTTTCATTTTTGAAGTTTTATTTTCAGAGATTGTTTTGCATAAGTTAAAGATATTTCGTTTTGTCCACAAAATAAAGTTTTTATCTGCATAAATATTAATTTTTCATTAGGAAAAAAACAAAGCAGCAGTTTTTAATGAAATGGCAATATATCATCATTCATCAGATTTCATTTCCCCCAAAATCTTGATATCCTCCAGGGTCTAGAGAGAAGAGAGCGATCCAAAGCCCTAAACCCCATTCCCGCGGATTTTCCCCCTTTCACTCTACGAAGACCAAATGGGAGATCCGTTGGAGAGGTTGGGATCAGAGGCATCAATGGCAACGGAGTCTGGCATGAAGTCGGACTTGTGTCTAGAGATCGATCCTCCGCTAAGCGAATCCGTCGCGACCGCCGAAGACTGGCGTCGTGCTCTCAGCAAAGTAGTTCCCGCCGTCGTCGTACTTCGCACAACGGCGTGTCGCGCCTTCGACACCGAGTCAGCAGGTGCTAGCTACGCCACTGGGTTTATCGTTGACAAGCGACGTGGGATCATCCTCACCAATCGCCATGTGGTTAAGCCAGGTGCCGTTTTACTGTAAAGTTTTAATTTTGAGTGAATTCTCGATCGGAATATCTCCATTTGCTTCCCTGCCTAGAAACGAGTTTAGGGAGCAGCTGATTTCTCGAAGTTTTGTAATTTCGTTAGGATTTTGAGTTTCCATAGCTATTAGATTAGGTGGTCCAGTATTGCTGTTCTATGTAACTAAGCTCAGCTCAGCTTGGAAATGAAGTTTTTTTCTGATTCTAATTTGGTCAATCCTTCTCTGTCTTCTTCTTCAGGCCCAGTAGTTGCTGAGGCAACGTTTGTGAACCGCGAAGAAATCCCAATCTATCCTGTATATAGGGATCCTGTAAGTCTCTCATTCTAATCCCTAGATTTGATTTAAATTTTCCTTTTTTTCCTGCTTCCCTTTGAGTGAGTAAACTGGCATAACAGTCCAGAATCTCACTGTTTGACAGAGGCCGTGGTTTCGCTTATGGATTTTTTATGTTATCATATCATTAGTTACAGGTTTATGTTTCGCTGAAATGAGCATGCATGTGAAGAACCTAAATTTTCTCCTTTATGATCTGAATTTGAGTCTCATCTTAGTATATTTACTTTGCTCTCTTCTTGTCTCCTCCCTCCTCATTAAGCTGACATTCTTTGGTATCCTTTTTCAGGTCCATGACTTTGGCTTCTTTTCTTATGATCCCAGTGCAGTACAGTTCCTAAGTTATGAAGAAATTCCTCTTGCCCCAGAGGCTGCTTCTGTTGGACTCGAAATTAGGGTTGTTGGAAATGATAGCGGAGAAAAGGTAAAAAGGAATAGCTTAGCGGAGAAATTAGGGTTATATCTAGTCATTACTAGTTTACTTAAAGGACCATAATCTATCCTTTGGCTATAGAAGAGATAGTGGTCTTTGGCTATAGATGAGACAGTGGTCTTTTGATCCAAACAGTAGACCATGTTTCGGTTGACATGAGGGTATATGGAATGACACTAGCGAGTTTCTTGATATTGTCCTGCAATCCGTGTCTCTTGTTATATCGTAGATTGTTCTCTATTAATCATGTACGCTGCATAAAAAAAATGTAGTGTTTTTGTCTTTGTTCAGACGTATCTATGTAGAAGTAAAGCTTATAGTTTGGATTTGCAGGTTTCCATACTGGCTGGTACTATTGCTCGGTTGGATAGGGATGCTCCACATTATAAAAAGTATTATCTCCTTCACTGATCAAGTTTTTATAGTTCTACTTATTTCTTAACATGAATTTTTCTAGACTTTTTTATGGTTACTTGCTTTGTAAAAGTTAAATTTTATTTGGTGCAGAGATGGTTATAACGACTTCAATACGTTTTATGTGCAAGTAAGTGATTTTGATTTAATTCCTCTTTAATTTTTAATACTTTTATTCAACTCAATAGATTATTTTGGAATGAATCGCTTCCTATCTCTCCTGACTCCCTGAGTCAAAACCTATTTTCATCTTTTCTAGTCGTTTCATGCTTATGATTATTTCCCATTTCCACTACAAGTGTCCTTCTTGCACGTATTAATATTTTCATTTAAATATCACGAGACCACATACTAGGGTAAAAAATTTCTGTTAGCAGCTTATTGTGCAGTACTTGACTATTTATGCTATTGTTATTTGAAGCGTAAGCCTTACACAGATGCTAGTGTTTGCTGATATTTTCACCTTCTATATTTATAGGCAGCATCCGGTACTAAAGGTGGCTCAAGTGGTTCTCCTGTCATCGATTGGCAAGGCAGGGCGGTAGCCTTGAATGCTGGCAGTAAGTCCTCAAGTGCATCAGCCTTCTTCCTCAAGTGTATCTCCCTGATTTCATTTTTAGTGTTGCTTCAACTATGGTTCTTATATGAAATTCTCTTATGACTCTTAATCAACTATGGTTCTCTTGTTCGGAAGGTTGTCAGGCGTTGAGTTTTCTCCAGAAAAGCATCGACTCGTGCACAGATAAGCCAAAAGCAGTTCATATACCTCGTGGTACCCTTCAGGTTTGTTTTCCACCTGTTCGATTTTGAGTCTCTTTATAGTGTAGTTAAGAAACTTCCACGAATATTAGTTTTGACGTCTTTTTTGTGTGGAAATAGTTGGGTTCAGGCTGCCTAAAAGTTACTCGTACTGTTACATGTTATTGTTATGTTAATAGAATGTATGTGTAAGGTTTTATCTGTTTTCTTGTGTATTTAGATGACATTTCTTCACAAAGGCTTCGATGAAATACGACGACTTGGTCTCAGGAGCGAAACTGAACAGGTACATCATTTTCCTTCTTACCATCATGTAGGGCATCTTTCTTGTGTTACACACTGATACCTTAAAAATGCTATACTTGGCCATGTAGGTGGTCCGACATGCATCTCCACCAGGGGAAACCGGAATGCTTGTTGTCGACTCTGTGGTGAGTGCATTGCTTCAGTATTAACATGTGATACAATACAATAATAGTTTTCAAGGAAATGGATGCTGTATATCTGGTGCCTAAGCTTAAAGATTTTCATCTATATATGATGTCTTGACTTGTGGTAGGTGCCAAGTGGCCCTGCTGATAAACATTTGGAGCCAGGAGATGTTCTTGTTCGTGTGAATGGCTCAGTAAGTTATCTCGATTACATCTTTTTAGTAAGGACTGTTTTTCTGTTTGCTTCAAGGAATCAAGAATTGTGATATCTTTGCTGTAACATTAGTATGAAACGCATAATTTAGAATTAGTTATTTATTCCCTGACCATAGAACAATTAATCAGTGCATTTTCATTCTCTAGTTATTTTTTCCTCGTTCTGCTAAATCTCCCTCTCTGCATTTTTCCATTGTTATCAGTTATCACAGGTGCTTACCCAGTTTCTGAACTTGGAAGGACTGATTGATGATGGTGTTGGCGAGATACTTGAATTGGAAATCGAAAGGGGTGGACAGCCACTTTCTGTTATTGTATCAGTGAGTTCCTTTCCTAACTTTGGTTTTATGTGCGCCCACTCTTCTAGGATTTTGTGTTTAGTCTCTACCCAGTCACATACAGGCTAGAAAAACTAAGCCTATGCAAAGACTAGAAGTAAGATACATGTAGCCGTCTCTTCTGTTTTCTGTTGGTCATTCAATTTGTTCTTGCCGCGCTTTTTGTTTTCCCAGAGATTATGTAATTTTCATCTAGCATATCATAATCTGCTAATGTTAGTCATACTTCTTTCTTTTATAAGGATACATAACCTTATGTGTTTGTGTATTACCTGACACAGGTTCAGGATTTACACTCAATCACTCCAGACCATTTCCTGGAAGTAAGTGGTGTTGTGATCCACCCTTTGTCCTGTCAACAGGTAACTACAAAAATATATATTCTGCCAATTTCTGCTTCTATGTGCCTGTATGCATATTGATAATTGTGTGTCCTAAATGTGGAACTGTTGAGTTTATGGCTTAGGGTTTATTGTACTTGCTAATGTCTAGGGTTAGAGTTTATCTGTTATTGAATATGGGTGCTGATATTGCCAATTGATGACTAAAACCACTTTTCTCGTTTCCAAAGTAAGATGTTTAGCTGAAATGTTGGCTTGTCCATAATATATCTTTGGAGGGGCATGCTCTTTGTGAATTTAGTAATGCTTATTGTTTGATCTTGGAACTTGTTAATGTACTATCAGTTGGAGGATCGTATCAATATGCTAGTTATATTATTCGTTACAAATGCTTTGGAATTTTTTTGACGTTACCCTTCACATGCCACACTTACTTGCTAGATCTGAGCTTTGAAGCATAACTAAGTGATCTCGGGATGTTACTACCCCACCCTTATGCTGATAAACAAGCTTACTTTTTTTTTACTGACCTCTTATGGGCATTGGCTAATCTTTAAAGTTCTTGACACAACAGGCTCGTAATTTTCGTTTTCCTTGTGGCCTAGCATATGTTGCGAACCCTGGGTACGCTGATCTACTTCCTTCTCCATCAAAATTTTCACATTTTCTTTATCCATTTGCTATTCCTCAATAGAGTCCAACGGAAAGGAGTGTTTCCTTTCATGTTCTTTTATTTCTGAAATTATTTATCTGCATACTCGATACAAAAAGTCAGCTGTAGCTTATTCTTATACCCACTCAGTTTATAAAATGGCACACTTTTATAATCTCTTAACCAGAAATCTTAGAAAAGTTTGTGTTTAGCTTATAGTCTTTCTGTTGACTTATTTTTAAATCTTCTTGATTGTTGTGTCAATATCCTTAAATGTGAGCTTATTGTGAATGCAAATGATTCCATGATCAGAAGATTTATTCTTATACACTAGATATTACAAGTCACTGTATTTCTGGACTTACTTAAATTAGCGAGTTTCTATGCAGATACATGCTATTTAGAGCTGGGGTCCCTCGACATGCTATCATCAAGAAGGTTGCTAATGAGGATATTTCTGGTCTTGGGGATTTAATATCTGTTCTTTCGAAGCTCTCTAGGGGTGCTCGTGTTCCCTTGGAATATATGTCTCATACTGATCGCTATCGCAAGAAGGTGATATATATGATCATTTGTTAGACTTCCTAACCCACTGAAAACATACACTGGTTATATATGATCATTTGTTAAGCTAAATCAATCAGCATCTGCATTCTTGCATGCAATTTGTTGATTCTGTGATAATATTACATTTCTTCTCGCTGTTCAGAGTATGTGAATCTTATTGCTACTGCGGTGCTGATTGATCTCTATGATCACTTTCTATGGAAAAAAATAATCTCTGAAGCTCTATGATAATCACAGTGGATCTTTTTTTTGCAGACAGTTTTCTTGTCATTAACATGCTTGGCGTCCATGTTTTTTATTTAAAATCTTTGATATTATTCAAATGAGAGAAGTACTTATTTTGGATTTTCTATTTCCTGCAGTCTGTGTTCGTCACAATTGATCATTTGATCGTCATGAATGGTACGCTCCTCCACAGTTGTATACCCGTAATGACAGTTCTGGTTTATGGGATGCGAAACCTGCAATCGAACCTGCTGCTGTTCCACCATCTATTGGTAATATTGGTTTGCCTATAAACCAAAATATTACTCTCTGCCATCACGATACAGAACCCATGCATGAAGTGAATGTTCGTGGGGTTACTGATACTGCAGCTATTATGGAAACCTCTAGCGGGGATGGTTCTCAGAATGACTTTGGGTCAGAAGCAAAGAAACAAAGAGTTGAAGATGATTCTTTTGATGGAACTGTCGCAGACGGCTTAAATGGCAGTGAAATTAAATCTGATGATGCAATGGCAACAGATAATACAGTTTTAAGCGACTACGAAGGTGCAACAGCACTGCTTGCTAATTCTTCATTGGCTGAACGTGCTATTGAGCCTGCTCTTGTCATGTTTGAGGTAATGATTAAGAATTCTCTCAAATTTGGGTGTGGCAGTGGATTCTTTTAATATGCTGAGAAGATGGGGTTGTCACTGAATACAATAGTGTACAAAATTGAATTCAAGGTTCAGATTTCGTACTCACCAAAGCTACGAAGTATAACATGTTAGATTTGCTAGCTGTCTGAAAAATAATAATCTATGGATGCTTAGAAGAAAACCATAGAAGTATGGTCGTGTGAACGGGATTACTGTCTTTGCTAAACATGTTTCTGGTGTTTGTGATTTTGATTATAGTTTCTATTGTGATTAAAAGGCAACCTGCATATGCTGAAACCAAGTTCTCTTATACAGGTTCATGTACCACCCATCGTGCAGTCTTGATGGTGTACATTCACAACATTTCTTTGGGACTGGCTGATAAGAAACTGCGTATTATATAGATAGGACTTGCTGTGGTCGACAAAAACACTATTGCAATTTCTTCATCTGATGTTATGTTATCCTTTGCTGCTTTTCCAGTCGAGATTCCTGGAGAGGTTAGATTTCACTGAGAAGCTTACAGTTCATGGAAGGAAGCTTTAGTATTGATCTTTCTTAACTGAAATGCAGGTGGTATTTCTTCATCCTGTTCACAACTATGCTCTTATTGCGTATAATCCGTCAGCATTGGGCCCTGCCAGTGCTTCAGTCATTCGTGCAGCTGAGCTACTACCTGGTATGTCAGTACAAATCTGTACCAAAGCACCTTGGGTATTATAGTCTTGTCAAATGAACGAGTTCATGTTGCGATGACTTGTCTGAACAGAGCCTGCACTGCAACGTGGAGTCAGTTTATCTTGTCGGATTGAGTAGGAACCTTCAAGCCACATCAAGAAAATCTATTGTAACCAATCCATGTGCAGCATTAAACATTGGATCTGCTGATTCTCCCCGCTACAGAGCTACAAATATGGAAGTAATCGAGCTTGATACTGGTAAGGAATGCAGAGCATTTGACATTAAAATTTAGGTACTTATGGATCTGTTGAAAATCTCACTTTGTTTTTTTCTTGTCTCTCGGCAGATTTTGGTAGCTCATTTTCAGGGGCGCTGACTGATGAGCAGGGGAGGATTCGGGCCATTTGGGGAAGCTTTTCGACTCAGGTTCATCTTCCTACTTTGCAATTTACATAACTTTTGTGTGTTTTCCTCTAACATGCTACTTTCTTGTGGATTGATCACAGATTAAATATAGTTCCACTTCGTCAGAAGACCATCAGTTTGTCAGAGGTATCCCGGTCTATGCGATCAGCCAAGTCCTTGAAAAAATCATAAGCGGTGGAAATGGACCAGCTCTTCTCATAAATGGTGTCAAAAGGCCAATGCCACTTGTTCGAATTTTGGAAGTTGAGCTGTATCCTACTTTGCTTTCAAAAGCCCGGAGTTTTGGTCTGAGTGATGAATGGATCCAAGTAAGCCTTGTGTTGTTTATATACTTCTTTATCATATCAGTATACACGTCTTTCAGAATGTGTAAACCCTTTATGCATAACCATAACTTTGACAGAATGTCAGTCTGCTAACAGTATGTATTCTCAAATCGATTTACACTATTGATTTTTCTTGCAGATCCTAGTGAAGAAGGATCCGGTTAGACGACAAGTTCTGCGTGTTAAAGGTTGCCTGGCAGGATCGAAAGCTGAAAATCTTCTAGAACAAGGCGACATGGTTCTGGCAGTCAATCAGATGCCAGTTACATGCTTCAGTGACATTGAAGCCGCTTGCCGAGCATTGGATAAGGGTAGCTACAGCGATGACAATCTCAATCTAACAATCCTTCGTCAGGTGACACCATTACCTCCTGTTTCTTGAGACATGTTATTCGTTATTTGTTTCTCCGTTATCACCTTAGTCTCCTTGTGTCAATTGATCACACCAGCTTTGACTATATAGTTCCTATCCTTTATTTGAGTTTATTGACACTAATAGTTTAGGTGAAGATAAAGAAAGTCTACTAGTTTATAATGCTCAGACACTTGTTCGTTATGCAGGGCCGAGAAATAGAGCTCGTAGTTGGAACTGATAAAAGAGATGGGAATGGAACTACAAGAGTGATAAACTGGTGCGGATGCGTTGTTCAGGATCCTCATCCTGCGGTTCGTGCTCTTGGATTTCTTCCCGAGGAAGGTCATGGTGTTTATGTCACAAGGTACGATACCAAATTATATGTCTCGGCCGACTAGGATTCATCGGCTGCTTGGATATTCTCTCTGACAAATATTGCTCTCAGATGGTGTCACGGGAGTCCCGCGCACAGATATGGCCTCTACGCACTTCAATGGATAGTGGAAGTTAACGGGAAGAAGACTCCTGATCTAAACGCATTCGCTGATGCTACCAAGGTTTATTTTACTTTCCTCACACTCTCAACTACTTAAAATGGCACTTTCAAGCCATTCTTTTACTTTGATTTGAAGTTGAGATCTTGGATTGTTTCTATGCGATCTGGTTGCAACAGGAGCTAGAGCACGGGCAGTTTGTACGTATAAGGACCGTTCATCTAAACGGGAAGCCAAGAGTGTTGACTCTGAAACAAGATCTTCACTATTGGCCAACTTGGGAGCTGAGGTTCGACCCAGAGACTGCTCTCTGGCGGAGAAATATATTGAAAGCCTTAAAGTAAAGACTAAAGAGCCTTTACCTTTAGGTGGTCATTGGTTTCCTTTGAAAAGCTCTCATGTGCTGATCCAACTTTGTTGTATTTATACTCAAAAATCTCATCTCTCTTATTATTACTTAAACAACTGTCACTACCATTTACAGTGAAAACGTCATAATTTATGTTTATTTTCCAAGTCTTACTATTTAATTTTGTTTTGGAGCCGAGCAACTATGATAGTCTTACGATATGCCAAGTCAAGTTTTGAGGACTTTTAATTCAAAACCAGTTCTGACATAAAAAAAAAAGGAAAGAAATTGAATTCTGTCCGAAATGAAACGATAAAATATTATACGGTTTTAAGAGTTAAGAGTAATAATCTATCTACTCTACTGGTTAAAACCCATCATAGTCTTGAACTCGTCATAGCTAACATAACCATCACCATCTACGTCGACAGCTCGAACCATCCCCTCACAGCTCTCGGGCGTACACTTCTCTCCGAGCCGAGTCATCGCCACATATAACTCATTAGCCGATATTTTCCCATCACAATCAGTATCATATAATCTAAACGCATCCTTCAACTCCTTTTCCACGTCACCACCACTAGATCGAGCGGTCTGGTCCATGCACGAAGCGAACTCAGCCGCATCGACCTGACCATCACCGTTGGTGTCAAGCTGGATGAACATCTCGACAAGTTTGTCCGAGGGAATGGTCGGACAGAGAGCAAGAATCGCGTCACGAAACTCTTCGCATGAGATCTTACCGTCTTTGTTCTTGTCGAACTTCTCGAATATATCGCTTATAGACAGATTCGTATTCATATTAATGATCTTTTTTTTTTCTGCAAAAATATGTGAAATGTGACACATTTCGTTCTTATATTTATAGGATTTGAAGTTGTTGTTTTTATTTCTAAGTGAATATACATTGAACAGGGTTCTAAATATATATGTTAATAATCTGACTCGAAGAGAAATATATCTGTTTTGATTTCAGGGAAAAGAAATAAATATTTTTTCATACAAAGAAAACTCTAAAATGGATTTGTTTCATCTTATTGATGGTTCTATGCAGCTCTCATTCGTTTACTCTCCTCCTTTTGCGTCCTCCTGCATCTGCATGGTGGCTTTTCAAAAGCGGCAAGTCTTCAAATTGCACTGTTGCTTCCTTTCTCTTGATTTGCAGTAAACTCGGAGCATAAGAGGACACATTTGGCTTCCATTTTGGGTCTGCAGGTTCTCCGAGGAAATCCAATTTACTAACGTATCCAGACTCTCCAACGATGACAAATTTCTTGCTATATTTTTCATAACCCATGACTACTTTCCTCTCCTCGTCAATGAAGAAACTTCCTTTTATATCTAGAACCATCACAACGTCTTCATCTTCTATATATGGAGCCATCATAACGCCTTCATATTCTATATGTGGAACCATCATCATCATGTCTTGTATATGTGGAAGGATCATGTCTTCCTCTTGTATATGTGGATCCATAAATCCCATATCCACTTTCAAGAACTTGCTCCACGACACCTCTTGGGCCTCAATCTTAGTCGTAATCCATATCTCAAACTCACTTAGATCTTCCTCGTCGTTGTGGTTAAGTAAAACAGAAAGCTTCTCTTCTCTAGCTAACACTAGATAGAGTCACAATGTCATCATAACGCACAGCACTAAACGGCAGAGGCAAGAGAGGCTCAAATCTCTCGCTTGTGAAATCAAAACATATTATGTGATCAACAATGACATATGTGTCTGTGGTTTTTTCTCTGGCACACCAGTAAGTGTTTCCTTTGAGAGAAACGCCACCGCGGCAATAAATCTCCTGTGGAGGGACATCAAGAGTCCTCCACGTATCAGAGTCGAAATCGTACATTTCATAACCAAAACATCCTTTGTTGGAAACCCAGTAGTATTACAAGAGTTTGAGGCTACGACAAGACTTGTCCTCGTATCCGAGAGCGTACCTGAACCAGCGATGAGAAACTAGTGGTTCGATCCACCTTGTTTGCCCTAAATAAGGATTCCAAGCTAGAAACCTAGAGTCTCACCTTCCTTCATCGCGGCTGATAATTTACCAAGGTGCAACTTCCTAAAGCTCTGGCTTTGGCATAAATCGTTCCACTTTCTGCATGTTAATCTCACAGGTTTTAAGGGAACCCTAGAGAGAATCTCCTCTGCTAATTCCTTTGGAAGATTCGACATCGTCGTCGTCGCCGTCATTTCTTCAATAAAAAAAAAAACGTTTTCTTTTTCCACTGTGTTTCTTTCAGAGAAAAGTAATTATATTATTGAAGGAAAACACAGAAACCCTAATTATATGTGGGCCAGTCATGAGCCTTCAAAATCTAGTTAGGCTTTGTAATTATGAAATTTCTGCATGAAACTAAATTTCTGCATGAAACTAAATTTCTGCACGAGTTAGAACTTTATTGCTTTTTATAATCTTCGCTTAAAATAACATCATAATATAATTATTTTACTTCAATTGAAAATCAGTAAACTATAAGAAAAGAAAAAAAAAAAACACTTGTGGAGGGCCAAGCAATTTAAATTATTGCATACAAGTACAAAACATCATAGCTCAAAGATCGTTCTTGGTCAGTAACATCTCAGTTATATATATGCCTTTCATCTTAATTTGATTCGCCAGTAATTAAATAAATTAACATCAAATAGAGTATAATCTTGTTCGAAGAGAAGAATGAGAAAATGAAATAAACGTACATTAGGCTTTGTTACCTAAAATTCATATGAGTCTAATCATCTTGTTTTTCCCTCACATGCATGTGTTTCTTCCTTTGTTTGTGTATCTTCTTCTTTGTTATTGCTTTTACACTTGGTTCAAGTTTTTTTCAACGGTAATTGGGTATTGGTCTCAATGGTGGGCAAAAATTATAGAGAGTTTCTCACAACTCATTAGACAAATAATAATATTATTATTATGATAGGAGTATATGTCTCTCACCACTAATGGAGATGCTCGAATAATCTCCTAAACTTGTTTTTCCTCCGCCTCTCTTGTCGCTCTTCATATGCCACAAGTCTCGACATCTTTTCATCATATCGAAGTTTCTCTAACTTGCTTTCTTGTTTCCTTTCTCCTTCCGCAGGCCCCTTGATTTGCAGTAAACTCGGAACATAAGCGCACAGATGTGTCGTGCACTCTAAGCCTACAGGTTCTCCGAGGAGATCCAATTCTGTAACGCATCCATCCTCTCCAATGATGACAAATTTTACGGGATAGCCGTCATTAAAACCCATGGCTACTTTCTTCTCCTCGTCGATGAAAAAATTTCCTTCTATAAATGGAACCTCTTGTATATACTGACCAATCATGTCATCGTCAGGTCTCGTATCCATTTTCAAGAACTTGCTCCAAGACACCTCTTGGACCCCAATCTTAGTCGTAATCCATATGTCAAGCTCATATGGATTTGCACCGTTGTTCTGAAGTAAAACCGCAAGCTTCTCTTCTCTAACACTAGATAGAGTCGCATAGTCATTATTCCCAACACTAAACGGCAGAGGCAAGAGAGGCCCAAATCTCTCACTCGTAAAATCAAAACAGACTATGTGATCACCAAAGACTCCCTTGGCGTCTAAGTTCCTTTCTACAGCAATCCAGTAAGTGTTTCCTTTGACTGAAACGCCAAGGTCATGAAAACCGTCACGCCAGTGTGGAGTGATATCAAGAGTGGTCCATAAATCAGAGTCGAAATCGTATATTTCATACCAAACAAATTGTTCCTCGGGTTGCTTCTGGTAATAATCTAGAAACCTCAAGAGTTTGACGCTACGACAAGACTTTCCCTTCTTGTTCTCGTATCCGAGAGCGTAAGTGAACGGTCTGAACGTGTCCTTCAATCCGTGTGGATGATGAGGATATCTTGGTTCGATCCACTGTTTTAGCCCCAAGTACGGATTCGAAACTAGATACCTAGAATGATCTTGCAAGATGCATAGCCATACACCGTCGCAGTGAAAGATCTGATATATCTCATCTGTTTCGTTTAGCAAGTTAAGTTTGCCTTTGTTCTCTGTAGATGGATCTCCGTTGACGTCGATGCTCGCTAAATAAGTATTGTTGCCGATCATCGCGACCATCTGAGTCTCACCTTCCTTTGCTGCGGCTGATAATCTACCAAGGTGCAACTTCATAAAGCTAGGGCTTTTGGATAGGTCGTTCCACTTTCTACAAGTTAACCGCACAGGTTTGATGGATTTCAAGGGAACCCTAGAGAGAATCTCCTCTGCTAATTCGTTGGGAAGATTCAACATCGTCCTCGTCATTGCTTCCATCTGATTTCTTGAAATAAAAGTTATATACTATTATCGAAGAAAGACACATAAACCCTAAATTAATGTGGGCCATTCGTGGACGTCTTTTAATTATGAAAGCATAAACCATATGTAAACCGTCTCTCATTAATTATTATCCAACTCGTTTACTATATGACAAAGTAATTGCTTATTAGAATCTAGCTCCGTTTATGATAACATCATAATATGATTAATTATTTTACTTCCATTGAAAAATAATATAAACTTTAAGCAAAAAACACACTTATGGAGCGCCAGGCAATTTAATCTTTGAATGCAAGTACAAAACATCATAGCTCAAAGATTGTTCTTTGTCAAAGAAAAAAAACAAACACCTCAGTTATATATATGCCTTTCATCTTATAATTTGATTTGCCAGCAATTAAATAAATTAACATAAAATAGAGTATAAACTTGCTGGACGAGAGGAATGAGAAAATGGAACAAAAAAAACGAACATTACGCATTGTTACCTAACATTGATCTGAGTCTAATCATCCTGTTTTTCTCTCTGATGCGTGCTCGCTCTCTAAATGCGGCAAGTCTCGACCTGTTTTCATCATATCGACGCTTCTCTAAGTTGCTTTCTCGCCTAGATCTCTTTCCTTCTCCTCCCGCAGGTTCCCTGATTTGCTGTAAACTCGGAACATAAGAGCACAAACGTGGCTTCTGCTTTGGGTCCACAGGATTCGGGTCTTCGAGTAGATCCAATTCTCTAACGTATTTAGCCTCTCCAATGATGACAAATTTTAGGGGATTTTCTTCATTAACACCCATGGCAACTTTCTTCTCCTCGTCAATAAAGAAACTTCCATGTATTTGTATCAATGGAACAAACATGTCATAGTCAGGTCCCATATCCATTCTCAAGAACTTGCTCCACGACACCTTTTGGGCCTCAATCTTAGTCGTAATCCATATGTCAAGCTCATATGGATTACTTTCGTTGTGCTGAAGTAAAACCGCAAGCTTCTCTTCTCTAACACAAGATAGACTCACATAGTCACCAGGATCAGCACTAAACGGCAGAGGCAAGAGAGGGCCATATCTCTCTCTTGTAAAATCAAAACATATTATGCCTTCTGCGTGTGAGTTTCTTTCTTCGGCACACCAATAAGTGTTTCCTTTGATAGAAACGTGGCCCCAAGACGTTTTAAAGCATGTTGGAGTGACGACATCAAGTGTTGTCCACAAATCAGAGTCAAAATCGTATATTTCATACCAAAAAAAATCGTTCTGGGGTTCATTATAGTCGTAACAATCTTTATACCTCAAGAGTTTGACGCTACGACAAGATTTGCCCTTCTTCTTATCCTCGTACCCGAGAGCGTAACTGAACGAGCTATGAGAAATTCTTGGTTTGATCCACCTTGTTTGCCCTAAATAAGGATTCCAAACTAGAAACCTAGAGTCACCTTTCAATTTGCATAGCAATAAACCCTCGCAGTGCAAAATCGGAGATATCTTTTCTTGTTCGTTTGGCTAGCTAAGTTTGCCTTTATGCTCTATAGATGGATCTTCTTTGTCTACGACGATTCTCTTTAGATAAGTATTGTTACCGATCATCGCGATCATCTGAGTCTCACCTTCCTTCATTGCGGCTGATAATCTACCAATGTGCAACATCCTAAAGCTCTGGCTTTTGCATAAGCCGTTCCAATTTCTGCAAGTTAATCTCACGGGTTTCAAGGGAACCCTAGAGAGAATCTCCTCTACTAATTCATTGGGAAGATTTGACATCGACGTCTTCGTCATTGCTTCAATCAAAAATCACCGTTTTCTTTTTCCTCTGTGTTTCTTCAGAGAAAAGTAATTATATTAACGAATCAAGACACAGAAACCCTAAATGCATGTCGGCCAGTCATGAGCCTTCAAAATCTAGTCGGGCTTTTTAATTATGAAATTTCTGCATGAGAGAGAAGAATCGCATAAGACCAATTTTATTTGGACTTGGCAACTAATTATCCTACTGCACCAGTTAAGATGAAATATTTTAAACTGAATATTGATGATATTCGCTGAATTGTGATATATATATATATATATATATATAAACCATATAATATAAATCGTCTCTCATATCTCCGTTTTAGATTACATCTTTCGAACATCTTGAATTTCTGCATTGTTTGGTTGAACAGGATTTGAAAAACAATGATTTTTTCTTTTTTAGTTAAAGGACCATAACATTTGGCCTTTTTCAGTATTCGACAACATATATATACTGTACAAGTTAATTTATTTATATACAATTAAATAAAACACCAATGAACATCCATAAACAGTTTGCTCTTTCTTAGAGGTCACCAATTACCATGGCCATGAACTCCTCAAAGCTCAAAAAACCATCACCATCTGCATCAGCGGCTTGAACCTTATCAGCACAACTCTCCTCGGTGCACTCCTTCCCGAGCCGAGTCATGGCCACATACATCTCATCGGCTGGTATCTTTCCGTCACCGTCAACGTCACAAAAATCAAACACTTCTTTCAACATCCTCTCAATGCACGTAGTGAACTCGTCGGCGTCGATCTCGCCGTCACCGTTCGTGTCCATCTCGTTGAACATATTTACGATCTCCTCTTGAGAAAAGTTGTTATCCTGAGAAAGGTTGTTATAAAATGCAAGAGCTACTTCATGAAACTCGTCCAGTGAGAGTTTTCCGTCTCCGTTCTTGTCGAACTTTTCGAAGATTTGTCTTGCAGACATCTTCTTAGTTAGTTATATGTTTTTGTTTGATTTTTTTCTTTCTTTTATTTATGAGAATTTGTGTGAACTATGACACGCTTTGTTCTTATATATATACGGTTTCAGAACCCTAAACCAAAACTATAAAAACTGATGTATATGGATTACTTGAATATCAAAGGATTTTTTAAAAAATTAAGTGATTTGGAAAAAGATTAGACTTTATCCAAGACTGGATTTGCATCAAGAAATAAAAAAGTTTTTTGTTTTGTTTTAAGGAATCTTTATTCAAAATTAGATGGATTCACTTTGACACATGTTAAGCTTATAATTTAACTTGTTAAATATCAAATCTCACAAAAAAAAAAAAAAAAAAAAAGATGCATGAAATAGATCAAATATGAAGATCTCTACTTTAAGTTTAAAAATACAAAAGGAAACATCTGAGAAGCAACAAATCTTTCAAAAATTTCTAAACATATAGGGAATGCAGACATGTCATACTTATCTTAAAATTTTGTATAAAAATGTATAGCCCATTATCAATTAAAATTTTGGGGATAGAAAAAACTGTAATATTTTTCAATAACTTCAAATAATTTAAATTGGATTCAGTCTAATAAAAGAAAGAAAGAAAATACGAAATAACAAATACACAAAAAACTAAGTAAGACCAAATTAAAACCGGATTGAGTAAAATACAATGATAAAGAGATGATATGATCTACTGAACTACGTGTAGTTCAAAATAGGTTTGACTTTTCAAGGTTTTAAGTCCGGTACGTTTTGATGGTTTTGCAACCAGTTGAAAACCGGATAAAGTAATGAACTCTCGACAGTTAACCGCCGTTTGACATAATTAACCCTCTAATCAAAAGAGATAATTAGAAGAAACATATTTTAACTTTCAGCTACAAATTATACTAGAGGTTAATTACCTGTTAAATATCTGGTTTTTACAACTCAAATCTTAATTTTAATCCAAATTAAAAAGTTATCATATCACTGTCGTGAGAAGGTTACTTCCGTAATTACACATTTAACCTCCCTCTCATTTTCCCATTTTCTTTCTGTCGACTATCATCGATTCTCCGGCTTCGAAAGAGAGAATCTACCGATTAAGAGCGAAGCAGAGATCGAATGGAAGATGCAGCTGCTCCGAATTCTGGGTCCGATTTGAACCTTGGTAAAGGACGCGGTAGATCAATCGAAGAATGCCAGGACATGATTCAGAGAAGTTTCCGAAGTAAATATACATTAAGCATCTCCTTTTCAATCTTCGTGTTTTCAGTTTCAGTTTCAGTTTCTGAATCCAAATTCATTGGTTGTCGTTTGATTAGCTCCTCTGTTTCATGAGAAATCATTTTGGGGATTTTCTAGGATTCTAGGGTTTAGGGTTTTAGAATCATTGGTTACATCACATTCTTTGATTGGTCTAATTTGTGTGTTTTGAGACTATTTTTGTTTGTTGTTTGATTAGACCCAATTGTGAAGTTTCTGATGGAGCAAATGGAGAAATCTGGGTGTAGAGTTGGTGATAATTTCGTAAAGGCAGTAGTTTGCACTGGACCTGTAGCTGGAGGCTTCACTAGAGGAAAAGGGGTAAAATTTGCTTCCATGTATGCTCTAAAGCTCTTGGTTTTTGTTTATGTTGATATAAGCTCAATTCCTTTTTGTTCTCTGTGTTTCAAGATCACTGTCTGCAGTAACTATCTCACCATTCAAGATGAAGTGAATCAAGTGGTTATACATGAGTTAATCCATGCTTATGATGAGTGCCGAGCCAAGAATTTGGATTGGACTAATTGTGCTCATCATGCTTGCAGCGAGGTGATTACAATGTTTAGATACAGCTTTATTTGAAATACTTTTGTCGAACTTCTTGATAGATTCTTTGGTGTGTGTGTCTGTGTATTGTTTAAACAGATACGTGCAGGTCATCTGAGCGGTGACTGCCATTTCAAGAGAGAGCTTTTGAGGGGTTTCATCAAATTAAGAGGGCATGAACAAGTAAGTCACACTAATTACGTTAGTTAAGTCCATAGAAACACCTGTGGGATCATAAATAGTTCTTGTGGTGTTTAACTTGAGTCTCTTTTGTTTTCAAAAGGAATGTATAAAAAGAAGAGTGTTGAAATCGCTTCGTGGCAATCCGTATTGCTCGGAAGTAGCAGCGAAAGACGCCATGGAAGCAGTGTGGGATACTTGTTACAATGACACTAAGCCTTTTGACAGAGCTCCTTGAAGGTGGTACATCTCTCAAAAGACTTACTTTTGCTTCAGAGTTATGACTTCTCAACTTCATCTTTGAAGATTGATAAAAAGCTAGAAAAACCGTTGGATTCAGCCGTTGATTATTTTGTCACAGTCCAACCATTTTGGCCAAGTAAACTTTTGTATTTGTTTAGATTTCACACATTGTTGTTTGAAACAACGGAAAAGGTCTCAATACAAAATCTTGATTTCAAGTGAATTGGCTTTAAAGTGTTACTTTGATTTATGGATTTTGTATTTTGCAACACAGTGTGGAGGATATTAGCTCTGAATCTAACAGTATCATTTTGGAAGAAAAATATTACAAAGAAATAATCATTGTATGCATGTTATGAATAAAAGCTGAAACTCTAAAAATCAGAGAGTTCTGTAATTTTTGTAATGTCAAAATACGTGTTTGCATAATCAAGTAAAGTATGAATTTGAGCTGAAAATGACATAAAGGTCGCAGTTTTTAACTTATATCATCAAATATTATTGATCAATGTTTTCAGTAAACTTTTCTTCTTTCAACCACAAAAAAAGGGGAAACAAAGACAGTTAACGAACGACCAAGTCACATTCTAATTATGGTGATTTCTCCTTAAATCGCCTAATTTGAAGCATAGCCTCAACTTCTTCACATTCGAATATCTTTATATAACACATTCAAATCTAATCCTTCCGACCAAAAGAAAAGAACAAAACTAACTATAAACAATGGCAGACAAAGCTGAGCACGAGCGTATTTTCAAGAAATTTGATGCTAATGGAGATGGGAAAATCTCTGCCGCCGAGCTTGGAGATGCTCTTAAGAACCTTGGCTCCGTCACGCACGAGGACATCAAGAGAATGATGGCCGAGATTGACACCGATGGTGATGGATACATATCGTACCAAGAATTTATCGATTTTGCAAGCGCCAACAGCGGTCTTATGAAAGATGTTGCCAAGATTTTCTAAGCAACAATTTCAGACCAATATTCATATGAAAAGGATTTTATATTTAATCAGTTTTTTATTTGTTTTGACTTTTTGTAATGACAATCATTTGATAAAGTATGTTTTTGTTTCTTTGTTTTGATTTCATGTAATGGGAATTCTTGGATTGTTCTTGAAAACAGATTGTAAGGACATACTAATGAATTTTCCATTCTTTGCTTTTGTTTCCACTATTTTCGTTCATTTGATTTCTACTGTAGCACTAGCATCAGTGAAATGCTGAAATGTATGCTTTGGTTCTAGACATAACATATTCATCGCAATAGAAAAATAATTCCAAATAAATCATAAAATTGTAACAATTAAAAAAAAATACTAGAACGCAAATGTCATTTTAGTTGTATAGGTGACTATAATGAAATGTGCTTAGTTTTATGATCCCGATATAGTTTTTCTTTTAGCAGAATCTAGCATTATTGGAAAGAATTGTAATATATGAAAATAAATGTTTAATTATCATTTGTTTTGACCAAAAAGAAAAAAGAAACTAACATTTGTAAGTTTATCATTGGCTCTCCATATTTAATATAGTCAGCAAAATATGTACCATTTTGTTGTTGCTAAATCTAGCTATGCATAAGATAAAGACAATATAACAAAGAATGGTTGGTAATTAATCTTGATATTGAGGACCAAACATATTATACTTTATTAAAATATTGAAAGAATAAAATCTCACAAATACCTTTGGCCCATCTAACATCACTGCTCATTTTTTACAATTAAAAACATGTACTATAGGGAAATTGAAGTCCATCCCTTAAAGTCTTTCAAATCTTGTTCTCCTATAATTTAGATTTATTGTTTTTTTTTACAATTGGCTTTATAATAGACCTTTATAAATCAAAGTATTCAACACCAAATGAAATTTCCAAAATAAAATATTTGACTAGAGAAAATAATCAAAATATTGTACATACATATTGCCACTCGTGTGTACATGTATATATATATATATATACACGTACTATGTAACCGTTGGCCAACGCCTTACTCCTACGTCTCTCTCTCTCTATCTCAAACAGATCTTTCTCCTTTCTCTCTGAAATGGACGTCGCCGGAGAAACCAACAGCCTCGCCTCCACCGTCGCTTCTTCTTCCTCTTCATCCATATCATCAATCGACACCAGCCATGATTGCGACTCGCCACGTGGCGGAGATGTAGATCACGAATTGCTCCAGACGGCGTCGGTGTCGGTTTCTGTTTCTTCGTCTTCTTCTGCCTCAATTCAGCGAGTTCTCAGCTTAATCCGATCTAAGGATCCTGATTCGAGGTTGTTCGCCGCCAGAGAGATCCGCCGGCTCACTAAGACGTCGCATAGATGCCGCCGACACTTTTCCCAGGCCGTTGAACCGCTCGTTTCGATGCTCCGATTCGACTCGCCCGAATCGCACCACGAGGCAGCTCTGCTTGCTCTCCTTAACCTCGCCGTCAAAGACGAGAAGTAAGTTCTTCTTCTTTTTCTTCTCCCCAATTCGATTTCTTCTGTTTTCTTACGCTGAATCTGATTTAGTGATTTCTGGGCTTGGAATTGCTCTCTATTATTCAAATTCAATGTTAGATTACGTTATCTATACAGCTAGGTTATCAAAATTCATAGAACATAGAAGATAGATAGGGATTTTGAAGATGTGAATCACAATTTACTCTTCAATTGTTCTTCCGACTTTTCTCTTTTCCGGTGAGAAAATCATGTCATCATTAAAAATCAATAGGTCACTTCGTGCCTTTTTGGTCCGTTCTCATGTTAGTTTATGATTGGATAATTGCATCCGATGGATAATCTCGATGGCAGCGAACCCGTTTTCTACTTAACCACTTTCTTTCATCAGATTGGGTGGATCCATCAACTTTTCTGCCTCTTATCTTTGTTGGCAAATTGCTTTTTGTTTGCTTGGAGTGTACTCTATGTCTTCCTAAAGCTTTTTTTGCTTCCTTTTGAAGGGTTTTTGTTACTGGGAATTCTAAATTTTCCTAGGGCTCATCCATTTTTGGGGACAGGATATTTTCGTCGTCACGGTTCTACAGGATACTCTTCTTTATTCCTTGTTACTTTTAAATGATTCTTTGGCTTATGCGGTTTCTGGAGAATTCTGACTAAACTTCTCCTTTTCTTGTTATACAGTATTTTGTTTTGATTGGTTTCTAGTTGTAGATGAAAGTTTGATTGATCTACACAAAAGCTAGCGTCATCTTAGCTTTTAGCTTTTCCTTTTCTTTTCCCAATTCTTGACATTCCGTAAGCAAGCAAAGAATCAAGTTGCAAGATAAGACTACAACAAGAATCTTTCTTTCTCTCCCTTAGCTCAGCCGCAAATTCCTTCTCCTTTTGATTCCATTAGAAAGAGAGGAAAATAGCAACCGAATCTCAAAAACCTGGTCCTAGAAGGCTCTAGCTTGCTAGCTTTTGAGTTGATGCCAAACCATAGCAAAGAAACAGAGGATGGTTTAAGTCAAGTAGTAGTTTAGATTGAAACCACCTGAAGCTAACTAACTCTTGCTTTAGGGGCAGGTATGAATAAGTTTTTGCCTAACTTAGTTTATTAGCTCTTTTTGTACATCTGTAGGGCCCTGCTTTTACCAGACTTAAGTATTTTGTGAATTTTCCTTGCTGCTGAATCTTCCTTAATTTATACGCAAACGACTTTTTGTAGTCAATTTCTTCTTTGGTCTAAACTCTGATATCATCACTTTCTTTTATTAATGGGATCCATCTAGTGGAGAAGAGAGAAGGAGCGCAAGCAAAGTAGGGAAACTAAACCCCAAGTCTTTCTTTATTTTCACTTTTCCTCTCCTGTCTTGTTTTCATTAATTATCTTTTTCCTACTTTAATTAATATTAATTCAATCTATAGCCTTAGGCCGGCTTGGTTTTCCTAAGAGGTTAGGTAGATGGCTACAACTCTATTTCCCTTTTGATTACAATACAATTCATATGACTGAGAAATTGAATGCACTAAAGTCTAGGAGAAAGAAAGAAAGATTGAGTTTGCCTATTTGCTAAGATACATGAGTGTCATTGTCCAAGACTATTCTAAGTTTTTGCTGTTGATTTTTCTAATTTTTCAGGAATAAGGTGAGCATAATTGAAGCCGGGGCTTTAGAGCCAATCATCAACTTCTTGCAATCAAATAGCCCTACACTTCAAGAATATGCCTCTGCATCTTTGCTCACTCTCTCCGCGTCCGCTAACAACAAACCCATCATTGGAGCTAATGGAGTGATTCCTCTATTAGTCAAAGTCGTTAAACATGGAAGCCCACAAGCTAAAGCCGATGCAGTTATGGCCCTCTCCAACCTCTCTACACTCTCCACCAACCTAAGCATGATCCTAGCGACCAAACCACTCTTACCGATACTTAGCCTTCTCAAATCATGTAAAAAGTCATCCAAAACATCTGAGAAATGCTGTTCTCTGATAGAATCCTTGATGGTTTCTGGCGACGAGGCGAGAACCGGGTTAATCTCAGATGAAGGAGGAGTTCTCGCGGTGGTGGAAGTTCTCGAAAACGGGTCGTTACAAGCTCGGGAACACGCGGTTGGCGTGCTTTTAACGTTGTGCCAAAGCGATAGGAGTAAATACAGAGAGCCGATTCTTAGCGAAGGTGTAATACCGGGACTGCTTGAGCTCACGGTTCAAGGGACGACGAAATCTCGGACTAAAGCTCAAAGACTTCTCTGTTTACTTAGGGACTCGGATAGCCCGAGATCAGAGGTGCAACCGGATACAATAGAGAACATAGTGTCGAGCTTGATCTCTCATATAGACGGTGATGATCAATCCGGTAAGGCCAAGAAGATGCTAGCTGAGATGGTGCAAGTTAGCATGGAGAAAAGCTTGAGACATCTACAAGAACGTGCTTCGACACTTGTCCGTCCTTAAAAACCCCGGTTTGATTCGTGATGAAGATTGAAGGATATATGCCAGTCCAGTACCGGCGTTTTGGTTCTTGGTGACTGGTTTCTTTTTACTCATAAGTGTCCATAACAAACAAAAAAATTAAAAAGCTTTTTGTAAGTTAAGAAGTCTTTTGTGTGTACATTTCTATAGAAATCCTTTTACTTTAAAAAAAACTTTCAGTGATGTTGTTGTGGCATTTTATAGTGTTCATTTTATACGTATTCAGAAGATTAGTCATCCAGAAATTTAGATGCACGAACTCCTTCGTAGAAGACCATTGAATTTGAGGCTTATGATCTCATAAAAGTAGAATAATTATCGCCTCACTTATTTATATCTTTTTCTTTTTGTTCTTAAACTCGAATACGTACGTCAAGATCAATTTCACATCTATATTACCTCATCGAACACATCCTAAAGAGAGAGAAAGAGAACAATCTGTTTGTTCTTTTAATGTTCGAAAACAAATATGTACCGAAAATACTTTTGATAAAATCTTTTAACAAAGGCTGACATCAGTCCTCGAAACTGAAAGTACGTTTTGGATCCGCCTTTTCAGAAAAGCTCACGTTCACCTCCCATGTTATCAATGAAACGGTCCAAACTTGAAAATTGATTTGTACAAAGAAAACATTTTATTTATATATTGGGTGAAGTAAAAACATACAGAATCGTTATCCTTCCATTTATTGAAAAAAAGAAGAGCTAGCTCAACCAACGAGACAAGATTTACTCCGTTCTCTTCTCTCCACTTTCATGTTTCAACGATACGCGCACAAGGTCCCAAAAGATAAAAGATGTGAACATTTAGGCAAAACGGTTAAAACAAAAAAACATCGGGGTTAAGCAGTAAAACATAACTAAAGTTACGGTCCCTTTTCCTAATTTTTTTTAAAAACATTTTTCCTTATTTTCCCGGTTTTTTAGCGAGTCATCTCTACGGCGGCTCCGCCGAGTTTCCACGCAGAAGTGGTGATTAATGGTCGCGTCTGCCACCCAAGCATAAGGCAACCGTCATTTTCTTCAACTCTGTATCCATCCCCGCCGGCGAAGAGCGATAAGAGCATGCTCGCCTGTTTAAACGCGCTGGATCCGAGAGGAACCGGAGCAAACCCTGCGGATCCCATCCGGGTTTTCCACTGTGACAGCGTCTCGTGTCGCTCGACCCGATCGGATCCTTCCGCCGCCACCACGTTCAGTATCTGTCTTCCCAGGTACACCTCTGACATAACTCGGTCTTGACTCGGTAAGCTGTAACTGTCTTCGAGCGAGTCGAACAAGCTCGAGTAGTAGTGAAGCGCTTCGTTGAACCTATCCAGGAAGACGATTCCGTTGTGGTTCGCTTCTTGCTCCACCACCGTCACGATGCTCGGCTTCACAGCCTTGACGGTTGCCAGAAGCTTCTCGATCGAACCGGATCGAGCCAAAAGCCGGTGGAGCTCAAACACCGAATTGACCACTAAGGTTTCTGATTCGGGTCGGGTCTCAAACATTCCGGGTTCTAGATCCGATAAAGTCTCTGCGGCTAATCCCTTGAATTCGAATTCGACGCCTACCGCCTGAGCGAATTGAGCTAATTTCCATCCTAATTGCTGAAGCGAATCCGAATTCTCCGTCTGTGGAGGTCCGATTCCGGTGAGACGAAACGACGGAGGTCCACCGGGTCTCACCGCTAAAGCTTGCATCAAAGCCGGCCACTGCATCCCTTGATTAAGCCCAAGATCGATTACGTGAACTCTACGCGCCGTCGTGACAGCTTCTAGAATCGCTTGATTCACCGTGAAATGAGCGAATTTCAGGTAAGGGCAGGACTCGTAAAAGTGCATCTGCAAAACCTCTTCGAAGGATGGGCCCACCGCGGAACCACCTGAGAAGTCCGTCTCCGTCGTCATGTAAGCACGATAAATCCGACGTGTCAAGGCCTGGGCGAAATACGTCGCGACTTTCCCCATAGCTCCGGCTTGAGAAACCGCGAGTGTTCCCACGCGTTTCACGAGCGCGTCGGCTAAGTTATGATCCTCCTGCTGAATCGCTTCAGCGCACGCCACTAGCGCGTGAACTAGTCTAACTCCAGTCTCCTGCGAGTCAACGAGCACCATAGACCGAGTTGACTCACCCGCCGCATCGCACCAGGATCCGACTGGTCCAAGTCGGATCCTTTTGCTGCTAGCTTCCTCGTCAACGACCTCTCCTTCCGCCGGAAACGCAGAAAGTCCCGGAATTGCTCTCAGATCGGAATCTTCGCAAATTCGGGTCTGGTCGAGATCCGAAGAAGCCGGGTTGTTGAGCTCGGAGAGCATGCTCTCGACCCAGCTAGAGAGATCAGAAGGGTTATAGTGAACAGTGTCGTTTAAGACAGTAGAACCAACATCGTCATTAGACAAGACCATCTCGAGCTGTTCAAGCTTCTGTGCTACTTCAGCCATTTCTGAAGATCGAACCTTGTAGCCAAGAACAGCGAGAAGCTCATCCATGTTGCTATCATCCGCCGCCATCTTACTCTTGTTATCCGCCATTGAAGGACCAGAACCAGACGGTGGTTGTGGTGGTGGGTCCCACGTTTCTACATGTCCTCTCTTCATGTTTCCTTCTTGTGTTGAGAGACTGATGAAGTTGAGAAAGAAAAAAAAGAGTGTTTCTTTGGTATAAGAAAGGAGTTTACTTTACTTCATGGGTAGGTAAGGTTTTAATGGGGATTTGAAAAGAAAAAAGAAAAAGGATTGGGTCTTTCTGAGATATGGTTACAGACAATTTGTGGAAACAAAGGAGATTCTGGGAGGAACAATATATAAACACGAGAGAGAGTGAGAGAGAGAGAGGTCCAATGAGAGAAGTGTTACTGAAAGTGTGTTTAAGAGATAAGGAGAGAGCAGATGATGATGCCACTCTAGTTTGGCATCTGTTTCTCTCTTTTCTTTTTCCTAACTTCAAGAATTTACTCCCTTTTTTTCTTTTTTTCTCCCATAGATATTTGGTTCTGTAAATAATGGATCTTACTTGAAAATTGAAATTAGTTCTCTTACACTGACAATAAGACTGGTTGTGCGGTTTATAAGGCGACATAATTAAAATCATTTTCAATATAGACAGTTGAATAATAGTCTAAATTGGTGAGTTCATATGAGTATAAGTTTATAACCAACCAGTAGTCAAATTAAGAACAATATTTTCCAGCAAATTTAGAGGTTGTCAAATGTTCCAACATTTTCAAAAAAATAAATCACAAAAGCGTGTTTTAGCTTTCTGAATTATCTGTTTCGAGTTTTCACCTGGCTGATTTCTAAGATTTCGTTTAGTAGTTCTACCAATCAAACTTTATAACTTTTAGGTTGTAGTGTACTTTCGTAATAGTTGTAGGTAAGATTTCTAAAGTTTGTGAAGTATAAAAGTGTCTTTAATAGACTGTCATAGTCCTATATACTACGATTACGACTTAATTGTTCTTAAATGACATTAAATATTGTCATATTCTTGCATACGACTTCGTTGTTCCTAAACCGGAACGGCACCAAATGCGTGTTAAGAAAATGGCACTTATAAATGTAGTTTTCTTAAGTTTTTTTCCATTCTTTCTTATGTGGATAAGATATTTTATCGACATTTTACATATTTTAGTACATATTATACTTTAGAAATATATTATTGGATTAACATGTTTTGACTAATAGAACTCTACAATCTTAAAATCTGACAAGAGAGAGATTTTTTTCATTTAGGAATTCAAGAAATTCTACGTTTATCCATTTTCTTATAGATGTTTAGTTCTAGTTCCTAGCTATTCATTTCGTGATCTTAATCGTCAAATAAACAAAATTAAATCAAATGGTAAAACCATCTGAACTTATGATCTAAAACACTGTGAGTCTGTGAGGTCTGTAACGCTTTCAAATCGAAGCCACCATGATGGTGTCACAGATTTTAAAGTTCGACAATACACTGAAGTAAGGATCCTATGTTGCTTTGTCTGTATTAAATATATACTCTTTCATAGCAAAGAAGAGTGTCTGTTTTCAGCAGGTTTTCAGATCGTAAGATTAGTTTTTAAAGATCTAGTTAAACTCAGACATCATTAGATAATTAAAATACTACCGTTCAAATACATAATTCGATTCAACTAATATACTCCATATCTATTTTCTTTACAACAAACAGTCGAGTCGCCCTATTTAATGGCGTGCGAAACTCTTTTTTATGATAAAATAGTTGTATATATTCAGTATTTTCATTGAGAATCTGAGATCATAAAACCATCGCACAAAGTAATATTTTTTGATGGTGAGGCCGACACATGAGCAAACCTGTCATGTGCCACGTAGAGGAAGACATAGCCTACGAGACGTCCACAACATAAGGTTACTTTCAATGATTCATTTTACATTTCTTCCTCCATTTTTATGTATATATGTATACACATCACCCATGCATAATTAATAAGGTTTTCTATTTATTTTGGGAATAGTGGAATCGTTTGGAAAACGGTAAAAAAGATCCTTTTGGAATATTGTTGTATGGTCCCAGTCGCACACGCTGCTAGAAGAAATTGATATTCGTTGATGCCTTTGAAGTCACGTGGTGCATGCTTTTCCATTTTTAGGCGTTTGATGTTACTAGTATCTAAAATTTCCCGGTTTTGGGTTTGTGGTTTAGATTTTTTTGTTACTCTAATTTGTAAGAGAATTGAAACTAAACTACTTGTGATTTGACTCGATATTTTATCGATATGGTTAATTAGCAAAAAAAATTTAAAGTTGAAGAATAGTAAACTTCCCATCCATCAGCATAATCTAATCAACTTTCAGGTTGTTTTTAACTACACTCATCAAAAAAGAAAAAAGAATCTTTGTTTTCGATTTACCGAGTATTCAAATCAAATTCCCCATTGCCTCGCCAGCTCTCACGTTGACCAGTTTCTCCATTCTCATGCTCTTCATCATTCAAGAAATCTTCTAATGGCTCCTTCTCCTCTCTCTGTCCATTGAGATTGTTGTTGTTGTTGTGATTACCCCATCCATGCATCATCATCATCATCATCTCATCAGGGTTCATGTTACGTCTCTGTTCTCCATGGTTCCCAATCGCATTAGCTCTCAACGGGTTACAAGCCAGATGAGACTGGTGCGACTCTGCCTTCACTTGTCCTCCTTGAGCCGCCGCAAAAGCCGTCATTCTAAACCTTGCCTCCTGCTGAGCCTTAACCTCTCTATCCAACTCCGACTTCACCTCAAAACATGCTTGCCTTTCGTCTTGCATCAAAGCCTGCTCAATCATCAACCTTTCCTCACCTCTTAACTCTCCATTTCTTCTCTTCTGAGTTATCTTGTTGAATGTTTCAGCTTGTTTCTCAAACGTAGCCATGTACTCCGCAACCTTGGCTGCAATGTTGTTGTCCCATTGCTGACACCGGGGTATTGTCTCGCCTGTCGTGTCCGATTCGAGGATCCTGTCGTCTTCTTCTGCTTCGTAATCCGCTGCGACGTGATAAGGCAACAATCTTGCATAGATTGTAACCGAAACAGAGAAACATCATAAGCATTACAAAAACGATGATTTAACAAAAGCAACACTGTAATAAAGCTTTGGCCTTTATGTCACATTTGCACCCAAAATAAAAGCTTTCGCCTTTATGATTGGAAATGAGAAATGAAATCCAGAAAACGCTTAATACTCCACAGAGAGATCATCCATCACTCTTACAAGATATCACTATACTGTAAATGAATTCAATTCTGCGGAAAAAATTCGAAATTGGGAAAAGTGAAAGGAAGAAAAAACGAACCTTTCACAAGCGTCTTCGAGAGAAGCGAAAGGTCGTTTGACATCCGGATGACAGACACGCCAAGCGTCTTGGTAAGCGAATTGTAGCTCCAATTGATTCGTCGGACGCATCGATTTCTGCTGCTGCTGCTGTTGTTGTTGCTGCTGCATCATCATCATCATCATCATCTGCTGACTGTTCACATTCTGCTGCTGTTGCTGCTGAAAGTTATTGGTTTGTTGGAACAGGTTAGGGCCGGAATTCGGGTTGAATAAAATCTTGTTGGATGTTGTTGAATTGTTCAACAGCAATACCCTAAAAAAACTTTAAAGAAAAAATTATTTTAAGGAAATATTTTAGGCACGTATAAAAATGAAAAGTTATACATATATTAAAAAAGATATGCACTTATCAAAACTAAAAATTCGTATCTGTATATAGTTTTTTGGCCCTTGATTTTGCAAAAAAAAATATGTCACTAAAAGAATTTCATCAATACACTTCTTTTTCGTTTGTAACTTTTTTTTTATTCACTTTGTGTGTGTGTGTGTGTGTACATGTGTGTGTGTGTGTGTGTGTGTGTGCATGCATTGCTTAAAAGTTTTGGTTCATAATCTCTTTTAAGGCTGTTGAATTTTTTTTTGTTTTTTAAAACTAATTAGCACTCTTTTGAATGATCATATTTAGTTTTATAACATTGGTTCATTATGCTGCTTAACGTTTCATCGATTGCTTCCGAGGAAGATATGAACGGTGTGATTGTGAAAAGAATTGTGGAGGATATTAAGAAAAGAGGTGAAATACGGTTCGGGTCACGATTATTCTTAAGGATTGCAGATATTGGAAGAGAAGAATAAAGCTGAACTACGCTTGTGATGAAGCCACATTATAATTGTTCAAGCCTAGCTCTCAGATGAAGGCAGCTTTGTTTAAAAACCACACTAATTGACATTGTCACTATCTTCACTATGTGAAAAAACGAAAGAGACTTTTATCTCTGAGAAAATATGTTTTTCATTCACCAAAATTCAGTCTCTTACACAGATGAATTCTATTTATACAGAATCTAGAGAAGATTCTAGGGTTTTCCCACACTAAAGGATCTAGTGACATCTGTCAATCATCAAACCACACTCCAAAGACAAGAGAGAATCGTATTAATTGTGTAGTGGGATCTCTGAGCTACTTGCTCTTACTTCCTCTGTTTTTCCATTCTTCCGTAATGTTGTTTTGGTGTATTGGAGAAGACACTCGTGCTGATCTAGATCTTTCTCTAGACATGGGCCTTGTTGATTAATTGGGCTTTGTATACTTTCACACTAACTACTTTTTTCATCATTTAATAGTTGCTTGTGTAGTTTGTCAATGTTGTGGAGCTTCTTCTTTTGCTATTTGATATGGACTGTTCTAATAATTTTTAGTTTATCGAGTTCTTGTGGCATTTCGACCTAATAAGATAGCTTGCTTGTAACTAAAGCAAAATAAGCGTACCAAAATAAGCAATAAAGCGTACCCAAAGATCTCTTATATACTAATACAGAAAAATTGTACATCTCTTATTAACTCCTAGCCAAATATGACATAAGTTCCGAATAATAAACTTAAAAAGACTGATATAAAAAAAGTGGTCTCTTAAGCTAGAGAACCATACAAGATTCTAGCAAGGAAGATCACAAATAACTTGTGTGCAGAGGAAGAATGCAAAGGTACAATGTTGAAACCACAAGAGCTTATCAAGACTTTTCAAACATACTAACTTGTAATGTGTATCTCAAAGCAAACTATTTCTCGCGAATGCAATCAGGTTTATATAGGTTTATGCCATATTAACTTACCTTTGTACTTTCTATGGTTGCGGATGCGAACAAACTGAATACTGTGGAAATCCTAAAGACATGTAAAACTAAAACTGAAACTGACGATAAACAAAAGTAACAATTAAATCTTATTAATTGTTCAAAAAGAAAATATATACTCCATACAATTGAACACGCGTCGTTCTCTTTGCGGTCCTAAATGGATAAATGACGATTTTCATTTTATGTCAATGATATAAATTTTAAAATAATAATTTCAATCAGATATGGGAAGCCGAATCGAAAAAAAATCCATAACGCATAATCGCAGATATGTTTCCAGCGTTATCCGTAACCAAATTTGACTTTTCGGGAAATGAAATTTTTTGTGAAGATTAAATTACGAATAGTTTACTTAGTGAGAAATCAAAGAAAAAGTGGGAAAAAGTCAAATAAGGAGAAAATCAGATTGTTATGCTAACACAAGATACTTTGACCACAAATAATTGTACTTTAATTTAGACCCAAAATAAAAGATTGTATTAAATGTTATTATATACGTATTCTCGTTAATAAGCGTTACACAATTATTTAAAAACCATAAACCCTTCTATCGTTCTTTGTGGACATTGTGTAAAGTACTGTATCTGCGTTTTTTTTTTCGTGTGAGGTAAGGATGTCTCGGCCAACTTTTGATCGATGTCTTATCTTCACTTTTATCTCATCTTGCTTTGATCCTTTTTATCGAAATACAAAGTGAAATCATCTGAGGATTAAGTAGATTCGAAGGAGCTTTGAGATTCATAGCAATACTTTGTGATCCATTGTTCTAAATAGTTTCTACTTGCTAGATCTGCCTCTTATTGTGCTTGTTCGTATCTATAATGGTTCTCGACTTGGAAGATCTGATTATATAGATTTTGAATTTGTTTATTGAGACTTGCGATTGATTTTCCATGTTATTAACGTTAGGAGTTTTGCATTGATCTATTTTCTCTTTGTCCATATAGTGGAGCTTTTTACAGATTTCTTTTTGTGTTTGTTATCTAAGATGGTTTTCGAGTTTGGTGATGTGATTACATAGATTTTTAATTTGTTTAATTGAGACTTGCGATTGATTTTTGAATGTTATTAACGTTAGGACTCTTGCATTGATCTATTAATTTCTCTTTCTCTGGATAATGAAGATCTTACCAACATCAAACCATGGTTGAAAGGAAGCTAACTACAAGTGATGCACTTGCATACCTTTCGGCCGTGAAGAATACATTTCAGCATAACCGTGATATCTATGATAAGTTCCTTGAGATCATGAAAGACTTCAAAGCTCAAAGGTATTTTGTTGTTTTTTTTATGTTAATCATTGGTTTTTCTCTTTTCATTAGTTATGATCTCTCGGAAACTGAGTTTTATTGTGTATTGTAGAGTTGATACTGGTGATGTTATGGTAAGAGTGAAAGAACTATTCAGAGGAGAAGACGAGATGCTTTTGGGTTTCAATACATTTTTGCCAAAGGGTTACAAGATAACCCTTGACGATGACCAAACCCTAGCAAATGATGTTGCCCGTGATGAGGCAATTAGTTTTATCAACAAAGTTAAGGTAGGCGCACTAAAGCTGGCATAGAAATAGGATTTGCAGTTTTGATTCCTTGAGATTTTTGAATTATCTTGTGTAAACATTTCGATTTAGTTCGGTTGGAATTTTTTTATTTAGATTTGTTTTTATATTTTTCGTCCAACTCTACTAGAAATTATACTCCTCTTTTCTGCTTTTGCTACCTTTATCTTATATATCATTTATAAGTAAATTATGTATCTGTAGACAAGGTTTCAGTATGATAGGCATGCATACGACACCTTTTTAGACGTTTTAAGAAAGTATAAAAATGATTACAAGAGCACTTCTGAGGTCTACAATGAGGTATGTTTACTTTGCTACTTATTGTATACACATTTACTTTTTTTGCATTTCTCTTGTTTTGGGTTTTGATGATATGTTTTTTTCTTGCAGGTGACTATCCTTTTCCAAGACCATCAAGATTTGCGTGTGGAATTCGATCACTTTCTCCCTCATTTTATAAGAAAATAATATTATAGAGAAAGGAAGGATTGTGTATTGCTATGTAATGCAGTGAAGACCATGAAGCATTGTGTATCTGCTTTTCCATCTTGACTCACAATAATAACACTTTGAAGATTTTTCATGCCATAAGATCAGTAAAGTTTCAATAAATTATATTTTACAAAGTGGAAACTTTTAATTTTGAAAACTAAGAACAATTCCTATATCAACATGGCTAAAACTTTATTTATTAGACCACAAAGAAAATCTTTCACTTTCTATTCATGTTGGAAAGAAAAATATAGGAGTAATATACAGTATATCGTAGGTTATATTCACATCCAGTGATTGCATCTTTAGAGCATGAACATTTATTTATAGTTATCTAAGCAGGGGACTATTGAAAAAAATGCTATGTTAGATTAGAGTTATCACAGGGGTTTTTTCAAGTTATTACGCGCAGTAGTTCAGGAGTATTATATTCTAAACCCTATAAATAAACTTTAAACCCTAATCCCTAAAAAAATGTAAAACCCTGAATACAAAATATGTAAACATTTTATTT